ATTTCCCAAGAGCATTTTCGGCAAAGTTTCGGGCATATTACACCGGGGCCCTACTCGAGCCATGTCCACCCGCTAGCTAGCTGTACCGGCCTTGCGCCGGGCCGGGGTGCATTCATCATGCATATGCGCATGCTCACCGGTGGTGGAAGAAATAATACCGGTAGTTACACTGAGTCTTGTTAGTTGTAGTTGTGCACCACAAGGTTCCTTTCAGCTTTTTCACGTCGTTGTGTGTCGACATGTCTTTCACAACCGTTTCAGGAGAAAAATGCTGGAAACGTGGCATTTATACGACTCTTACAGCACAATCATGCACAATCTTGTCCAGATGCAAAGGTTAGCCTAAGTTCCCCCACCAGTGCACCCCAGTTCTGCTTCGAAATATCCGGAACTCTGAACTACATACAGTGCGTATCGGTTATAGCGTGGTCGTGTAACAGAATATACTACCAACAAGAATGAACTCTCATGTTTTCATAATCACACCATGGATTTCAAGTGCACCTTTATTCTTACAAGCAATTTTATCGTACAGCAGAATATATCGGTCCTAAGAATGGACTGTCACTTTGTGTAGCAAAACATACCAGATTAGTACAAAGTATATCGCCTATAGTAATAACATCCGTCCAATGCAGTTCCGACCTGACTCGCGTTGGGTCCGCGCTGCAGGTTCAACTGTTATGGTCATGTAACTCATATTGCATAGCCACATGGTAAGCCTATGTGACTATAACCAGCCGCATGCACAGTAACACTACATTGCATGTACGATGATCTTCCTGCCTCTGCGTACATGCACGTGATACCGTAAAATTCCGTTAATAAGCCCCGGGCGTATACTTTGCAGAGCGTCAAAAACCGGGCGTATATTTGGGCATGGGCTTATTTTAGGGCATGGGCGTTATTTCGGACGCAGTCTATTGGCAGTGCTGCTGCGCTGCAACTGATCTCCTTCAGAGTTCCGAGCTCAGTGTCAAGTGGTTGTTAGGCACCGGCGGATTATGCAGGCAGAAAATTTGGCAGAATTCGGTACTTTTTCTGGTAAGTTTCATGCATGTTTGGTATGTGGATAAAGAAATGGAGCAGAATTCGAGGAATTGCCCACCATAAGGTTTGTATGGTTCTGCCAATTTCACTGCTTTTCGAGCAGAATCTGCCACCTTTTCGAGCAGAATCCGCCGGTGCCTAGTGGTTGTACTGGTAATTTCTAACCTCATAATACTGATTAGTCTGGTGGATATATCTAATTTTGCAAAAAAGATGTTGAAGAAACACCTTACTTGAGAAAATGTATAGCCCGGGCCCCCTGATTACGCCTTGTGGGCTTATTTCGGGCATGGGTGCTAAAACGGACTTGAAGTGTACACCTCCTAAAACTGGGCTTATTATCGGACATGGGGCGTTATTTAGGGTGGGCTTATTTACGGAATTTTACGGTATGTCACACTCGATTTATCGTGTGTAAGAAATATCGGAAATAAGTATAGAAAGTCGTTTTTCAAACACCCACGCTATAGCCGATACCAAGAGTAAATAAACCGGTTTATGTACTCTTGCCGTTACCTACTGTACATAAGTAACTCGTTTCAATGGGCCAGAGATCTGGGAAATGACGTCACTATTTAGACAAAAATAATTACTTCAGTAATTGGCAAGCCAATATCACCTCCTCATTTCTTTTGTTCATTTGGCTTACTGTAAAGCCGGAAAGTTTAACGATCAAAACGTTTAACGTTTTCGTAATTTTGGCATGATTACGTGCAGAAAGTTTAACGATGGCTACCTGGCCACCCATCTGTTACTGTATGCGCATCTTTACACAGACATCTAGCGATAACGGGGTTTTTTCAAAGAACAAAAATATAATTGGTCGTTAAAACGTTAGACTTTGTGACGCGTTAGACTTTCCGGTTTTACAGTATGCGAAGACTTGCCAAGCTTGCTTGGTGATATCAACACGAACAAGTGTATACTAATAATAAACCACTGTATTACTATTCCACTAAAACTCACCAGCATGATGCCCGATAGACCGGGGTACCCATAACTAATATTTCGAGGTCCAGATATCTAGATAAGTGGAGATTATTATTATTATGAGGGTGTATTGTCATAACATGTTTTTTTTAAGAACTCCCAAGCTCCACTAGCACTGCATGCAGTACATTCTTTGCACTCGAGCGTGATGGAGATCAGTGTTTATAATATAAAAAATAAAAATTGTAGTCAAAGGTGTTGCCTCTCTTCTTGACTGTCTTGCATGTTGTGTGCGGGATTGGGTGTTTTTTAAAGAGAGGTGGAGCCTCCTACGCAACAGACAAGGCTCTATTCTCCTATCTGACTGACCGGTTTCACCTTGTTTTCAAATAATCATCAGGGTGAACAATAGGGTTTTTAAAAAGAACACAATTTGGTCGAATGTAAAGGCAACTCAACACTCAACAGAATTAGAAACGGGACCTGCAAAAGCCGCTCGGGCCCAAAGAGGCGTAGGGATAGGGGTAGGGGTAATTGAACTAGGCTACTGCGCCCATGGCCCAAGGACGTGTGGAGCTCAGAATGGAACCGTGATTCAAGTCTTTAGTGATCCGCGTTTGGACATATCCATATAAAGATCCATTGTACAGCAAGTTTGGGAGTTTCCATTTACGGATGTTTCAGTTTTGAGCGGTAGATCTATGGAAGTTTCAGTTGCTGATTGAGTTCACAAAGGACAAAGCAGTTCTGTCCGCAGATTGAGAGGTTTTAGTCGGTTATGGGGGTAGATCTACTGACACTGTGACAGCACTGCTTGTTTGCTGAAGGCATCGTATTTTCCGGAGTATATGCTGCACTTTGTAAACACCAGCAATTCACCAAAAAAGTTGCTACGGCTTTACTACGATGATCAAATTAACGGTGAGTCAGGGTTCTCAAGAGCTCTACATCACAGCAGTTAGAGTGGTTTAGCATCTTTGTTCCGTGACTAACTTTGGGTGGAAAGTGATCTTGGCATAGGAACAGTGGGACCAACATGGTAGTCATAGCCCAAATTTGCTAGCAATTCTTTGAGCAAAATATCGGATGCGCAAGTTTCCGGCAAGTTTTGAGCAAAATGTTGAGTTTTGGTGGACTTTTCGAAAAATCCAAGGCTTCTTAGGGACTTCCTCAACACAATCAGTCACCAAGGTTGAAAACAAGCACAAAAGTTGTAGAAAACAGACTCATGGCTACATTTCAGTGGAAAGTTGAGCAGCAGCAGGAGCTCAATCAAAAGTATCGTCGTCATCAGCGACAATTATCGTTGAGTTTTCCCTAAAACTCATTTCATCTCGAGCAAAACCAAAGAAAAATACCGACGGAGAAAGGAAATGCCAAGCAGAATATCGAAAATTTTGAGGCAATATTGTGCGGCAAAATATCGATGTAGGCCGAGCAAATTTGGGCCATGACTACAACATGGCCAACATCATGTGACCCATACTAGTACTCTCGGGGGTTGACTGGAGTTGGTACCAACATGGCTGTACCGTATATAGCCCTTTCCCAAAGATGCCATTATTTTTCGCAACTTAAGGCCGATTCACAATACAACTTTCTGCGACGCGACAAGCGACTTGCGACACATGCGACGAGCTGCGACAGCGACACACGGTTCACAATATTCTTCATGTTTGCGACATCATCATGCACAAGTAGTACTATGCACGTGCACTGCACGTGCACCCAGGGTCGAAACTGTACTCCATTTGTGTATGTCGCGTGTCGCATGTCGCAAAAGTTGAACTTTCTTCAACTTCTGCGACAGGTGCATTGCGACAGCTTGCGACAGCTTGCGACAGCTCGCGACAGGCAGTTTCTTGTCGCAACTGTCGCAAATCGGGTGTCGCGTCGCAGAAAGTTGTATTGTGAATCGGCCTTTATGCTTTTCGCAACCGTGCCAAAACAAGTGCAAGTTGCTGAAATCGCATCCATATTTTCAGAAAAAGCTCAAAAGTTAGTTGCTAATATCGCAACTTAAAATTGGAGAGTTCTTGTGCAAAAAAACACCAAAAAAGGAGATGAAATACTAGTAGCAGAAGTGCAGCCACAGCAAACTCGTACACCCTTTCCTGCTATGAACCACCACTTTACACAATGCCAGTGGCCTGTTGCATGTATCCTACATCATTCCAGTGCACGGAAAAGGGAATGCACATTGCAGCATGGCAAACGACAGTATCATGGCCTTTTCAGATTTTCATTGTACAGTACCTATTTGTAGTACCTCCTGGGATCAGTATTTCCACTTGAAATAATATTCACCAAAATGCCTCATTCTTAGCATTCTTTTATTCGCTTCCATGTAATTGGGCTTACTGCCTGTTTGGTTTTGCGAATTCAAATAAAAAACAACAACAACAGCACATTGTCGTAACTGCCGTTGATCTACTGTTCCTCTGAAATGAGTCTGAAGGCAGGCGATAAATGAGCGAATATGCAATTTGTCCGACATGTAGTCTGACTTGACCTTTCGGCCCCATGCCATGGGGCCAAGGTTGCGGAAAAGTTGCGAAATAGTTCGCGAAAATGAAGAAAGTTGTGAAAGTTGCGATTTCTTCCTAAGCAACGAAAAGTTGCGAAAAAAGTGGCGAGCATCTTTGGGAAAGGGCTACCCGTATGTCTATGTGATAGATGTGAAACTATGTGAAACCACCCACTATAAGGCCACACGTTTTTATTTCTATGTTTCTCGTCACCTGAAAATCTAAAAATGTATGCGAGAGGTGGAAAAAATAAAAAATGACCGAAAAATAAAAATAAAAAAGACCTTTGTTCACACTAAAATCCTCCAATACACCATGTAAAATAGGATCCATAGTTAGCAACTAGTATGTGGTAGGAGCTTCTGTCACAATCTGTGCATGTGCAGCTAGATTGCTCACAAAAAATGCCGACCTCGCATCATGTGTTGCGCAGGCCAGGCCACATTATGTACATGTAAATGAGTGTGCTGGTCCCCACATGCACAGTCAGTGCAGCACAGTTTTTTTTCTTCAGTTTTTTCTTCCAGACTCCTGAATCGTATGCGAGCGGGTGACGAGAAACATAGAAATAAAAACGTGTGGCCTAAACCTGCTTGCACTGCCGACGCACATCATATGTCCGGTGACGGATGGACAACGCCGGTATCCATATTTGTAATGTGACCTGTGCCACACTACACACCGTGCAGAGATTTTCTTTCACATCAAGGCCACACGTTTTTATTTCTATGTTTCTCGTCACCCGCGCGCTAGTCATTGCCCAAATTTGCTAGCAATTCTTTGAGCAAAATATCGGATGCGCAAGTTTCCGGCAAGTTTTGAGCAAAATATCGAGTTTTGGTGGGCTTTTCGAAAAATCCAAGGCTTCTTAGGGACTTCCTCAACACAATCAGTCACCAAGGTTGAAAACAAGCGCAAAAGTTGTAGAAAACAGACTCGTGGCTACATTTCAGTGGAAAGTTGAGCAGCAGCAGGAGCTCAATCAAATATATCGTCGTCATCAGCGACAATTATCGTTGAGTTTTCCCTAAAACTCATTTCATCTCGAGCAAAACCAAAGCAAAATATCGACGGAGAAAGGAAATGCCAAGCAGAATATCGAAATATTTGTGGCAAAATTGTGCGGCAAAATATCGATGTTGGCCGAGCAAATTTGGGCCATGACTACCGCGCGCATACGATTCAGGAGTCTGGAAGAAAAAAAGAAAAAAAAACTGTGCTGCACTGACTGTGCATGTGGGGACCAGCACACTCATGCACATGTACATAATGTGGCCTGGCCTGCGCAACACATGATGCGAGGTCGGCGTTTTTTGTGCGCAATATAGCTGCACATGCACAGATTGTGATAGAAGCTCCTACCACATACTAGTTGCTAACTATGGATGCTATTTTGCATGGTGTATTGGTGGATTTAGTGTGAACAAAGGTCTAGTAAACTTTTTTCATTTTTTGGTCATTTTTTATTTTTTTCCACCTCTCGCATACGTTTTTAGATTTTCAGGTGACGAGAAACATAGAAATAAAAGCGTGTGGCCTAATATGTGAATGGTCAATGGTGGCCAACAAAATAAAGGCCGATGTGTAAACGCTCTCTCGTTTCATAGCTCGTGGTGTATTTAACTCGAGCAAAATCACTGGACATTGAGTGTGTGTTGGAATATTGGCAATACAGATTCTGCAATGCATTTAGCTCAAGACTCGTGTTCCCACGCAAACCATAGCTGACCAGTGCACTATCATAGGATATTCAATAACTCTATTATGATATTGGCCATAGATGCATAAGCATGGGTGGGCACTTGGAATGCCTGAGGTCCCGTACACGTGCACAGTCACATAACTTACCAACCGTAGTAGCGACCTTGTCACACAAGAGACTATGCCTTCAGAGCCGTTCCGTCCCCGGTAGGTGGAATCTGGAACGTGCTCGTGAATCTCAGTAGACGTGGGCCTTTAGAAGTGCTATGCTGTGCGAACCTCCTTCAGTTCCTGCCAAGTGAAACGAAACTGTCACTGAGTATCCGATGCGGTGAACGGCACAAAGACCACTCCAGCAAACCCTGAATTGTGTACTGCGTTGCCTTCTGACTGGCGCTGTCTCTACCCGACTCCAACCCCCAACTTTTCTATGAAAAGAACGGGAAGAAGAAGCTATGACTCAGTGCGGATGACCACATGCGCTCAGCAATCACACATTACACGTAGTAATCGACAAGGCCCTGCGGCACTGAGGATCAAGGCCGTGGTGGTGCATATGAGAAACACGAGTAAAACTTACTTGCACAAGCTACAAGTGCAAGGTTCCATATTGGACACCCAGCACCATAGAATCAAGCCATTCAAGGATATCTTCTATCGTCGATGCATCCAGATCGCGATCCCACGGGACTGAGGTCACAAGGTCACCTAGATCAACGCCACAAATGGTGCTCTTAAATGATGCCCTAATTAGGGGCCGTCCAAGGTTACCAATACTGGCACTAGCATTTTCAAAACGAAATGTCTTCGTTTGGGGGTGGGTGGGTACAGTTTAGGAGTTTCGTTTGCTACCAGGTTCGGCCTCATTTTCTCCGTGCTGCACTGATGAGTCCACAAAGGCCGAAACAGTTCTGTCCGCAGATTGAGTATTTCGCTTCCTGCTCTTGTAGTAGTTATTATAAATACAGTAATTGACTTATGGTTTTCTTCTGCGTCTCACGGCCGTGCCAAAACAAGCCAAGTAAAAATGATACCGGCATTGCCTTCAAAAATTGAATCATCCGTGGCAAACCTCGTCTCCGCCTTCTCAGTAAAAAGAAAATAGCTGCATCGGTAGAGATACGATGGCATCTGATGGAGCCGTCTGCTTTTGCCGCATGCTGTGCCATTCTCCCTGGAACCTGTGTCAATCCTTAAATAAAAATCAATCAATCAATCAAACCTGTGCATTTGGTTGGGACCTATCCAGCCTAGGCTTTTCCCCAAATCGGCCGGTGGAAAAATTCGCCGAAAACGAGACTTCTCGAAAAATCGCTAAGCCTTTCGCCGATTTTGGAGGGTTCCTTTGAGAATAGCCGAAAATCTACCAAATATTATTGCAAAGTGAGTTTATTATTTTTACATTATTAAATTTTGAATAGGGCAGTCCCACAGGCTTAGGGCCTTTTTACAGGGTGCCCTATGTTGAATAGATGAACGGAAGTTTACGAACGAATGATGTTTCTGCAAGACGCAACGTGCTCGAGGAAGGCTGAGGCTGCCTTTCCTTGACTAACGGAGGCACAAAACACGAGGAGGGGGGGGGGGGGGGCGATGCTTTTTCCATTTCTCAAATGTCCTCTTCGTGGTGTCGTCGTTTCTCCTTCTCGCGCTTTGTAAACGTACTGCTGAGTGAGGGAGCGGTGTTCGAGCAGACTCATTCAGTCTTCCACGCGCTGCCTCCACCCTATTCACTAGATCCCCGATCCTTGCTGGCTACGTGTTTTGATTGATTGATTGATTTTATTTTACTTCGCAAGTTCAAACGGGTTCCTGGCCCAGTTATATGAAAGCGAAGGATAGAATTTGCCAAAATCCTAATGAGCAACAGCATAGGCAATAATGAGTGGAGTACTATGCGAGCGAGAATACTGAGAAGAAAGGAACATGTCAAAACCTGACGAAACACAACCTATTTCAGGCATACATAAGGAAGGCAGGCTAGCTTAAAATCTTGCAATCTGGATACGGTGCGCACCTCTCTAGGCAAACTGTTCCACAGCAATGCTCCTGCGGTGGCGAATCTCGTTTGGCCACACCGACTGCGAGCTGGCTGGCTGAGCAGACCATTGGCATGCTGATGGCGCGTACTTCTGCCGCTGCATGCTGCTGGTTTGAGAAGCTGGGCTAGAGCAAGGCTAGTGGAGTCATTTAGACAACGCCAGATGAAAATCAGGAGCTTTTGTTTAAAAAGTTCAGTGACGCGGTAAATCGAGTTGGCAGCCAGGAGGGGCTGCATCGCGGAACATGGTGGGCTGCCATCAATGCATCGGATCGCCCGGTTTTGCATGGCTTGCAGACGCTGAAGTTGGGTCACGCGGAGGGCTGCAGAGAAGCAGCAGGCACCATATATCATATCCGGCATGACAATAGCCTTTACATATATCTTGCGCGAGCTGCGGGAGAGGCATCGACGGGCTCGCCACAAGGCGCCTATCTTCCTCACAACTTTGGTCACTATGGCGCTGACGTGTACATCCCAACTCAGGCGGTTGTCAAGAAAGACACCAAGATACCGCGCAGACTTCACTATCGGTAGAGAGGTATCGCAGCACACAATAGAGACCTCAGGCCCGGCATGTTGCGGTGAGATAGTCATTACCTGGCTTTTGGATGCATTTAAAGTTAGGCCGCGTGACTTGAGCCATATAGCGAGATCAGTGACAGCTGAAGAGACGGATTTGGAGACTTCCCCAGCAGAAGCTTTTGAATCATACAGGGCAATGTCGTCTGCGAATTGCACGCTGGGTATTGGCGATGAGACCGATTTCACATCATGGGTGTGACTTGTGGCCGAAGCGACTGTAACTTGCTGCCTGCGATCTGTCAGGTAATTCGCGAACCACTTCAGGGCGACACCAGAGATACCAACGTCAAAAAGGTCTTGGATGAGGATACCATGCCGGACTTTGTCAAAAGCCTTGGACATGTCGAGGAGGCACAGCCCTGTTACCAGACCACTGTCCTTCGCCTTCTGCAAGCTGTCCGTGAGAACACAGAGGGCATACTCAGTGGAGCACTTCTTCCTGAAAGCAAACTGAGAATCAGGCAGGGCATTACTCAAGTCTAGATGGCGAACTTCCTTCAGTTCTGTGCCCTGCTAAAAGCGCATCATGGCTCCGTTTAAATGCTTTTCGGCTAGTGTGTTTCTGTGGTATAGCGGACTGAAGAATAGTAAACGTGTTTTGCAATAATATGTATGAAGGTATTTTGTATATAGTATGTTCCCATTCCGTTTTTGCTTTGGTGTAGCCCTGAGGTTGATTGCTTATTTATTTCTACCCTTCCTCTCTCCGTACTTCTGTCCCCTCCCCCCTCTCTCTCATTCCTTCTGTCGTCCACATGTATCAAAGGAGGCGAAATCGCCTGTTTGTGGTGCGACGTTAAATAACAACAACAACAACAACAACAACAACAACAACAACAACAACAACAACTAGCTGACGCTGCACCACTCTCTTCAACAGCTTTGAGACAACTGGAAGAAGGGAAACAGGGCGATAATTGTTGGGGACTGATGGGTCCCCGGTCTTGTAAAGCGGTACAACGGTCGCCAGCTTGAACGCCAAAGGAACCGTGCCAGTGCGGAGGGAAGTGCAAAACAGTACTGCTAAAGAGTATGCCAATAAATCGGAACACTGCCGCAATAGCGAACCCGGTATGCCGTCACTTCCCGTAGCTTTGCGAGCATCTACCTGCTGAAGGAGACGTTGAACGTCCGATGGAGTTACAGGGGAGAACTCGGTTAGGGAGACAGGCCCGTTGGGGCCACACGGAACGCCGAGATGGTCGGGTCGGTTTGTGTCTGTAACAATAGTAGAGTGGAACGTGTTGCTGATCTCATGGACGTCGCAGCACGGATCTTGACGGCACCGTGAGCGCCCTGTCACGGCTAGGGTCCAGCGGATAATGCCGGCATTATATTCGGCATTATACGACTATCCGAGCATCAGAGCATTATGGAGCATTAGAAAGGAACAAAACGAGCATTATGTGAGGTTTGAGCGGCATGACGAGTTTCATTGTGGATAATATCGGGAAATCCCAGGTTTTTGGCAACAATCGGCTACAATCATGATCATGAGATGTTGTCTGATGATTGGTTTTTGCCATGAAACTCTGAATAACAACGAAACAGCCCTATTTTACTCCTTTTGTGTACCTCTTCCGTACTACACTCCTCCCATTCCGGGCATTTGACCACTATGCATTGTACCGGCGCATGACTTTGTGATTGTGTAGACACGTAACACCTTTAGCACTATTGCTACATAAAAACGCTATGATTGTAACGATGAGGTCAGGTAAATGTACGAGCCGAGCCATTTGTGAAGCATGCCCAACCGAGGCCGCGACGAGGCAGTTCAAGTGGCACAAATCCGGAGAAATTATTTACGAGGTTTCTTTTACTTTTAGAATAATGGAGAGCTATGAAGGAGACATACCCGAAGTGCATATCAAACAGACGAAGAAGAGTTTTCTAGTTGTGCCAGAGGCTCTGGGGATAGCATCTCTAGCGATACTGAAGTAGACACTGATGCATTGCTAAATTTGGACCAGGATGAAGGAGCGGCTATAAACAGAAAGAGCTCGTTCCAAAAGAACTGCCTTTGCTGAGTCCAGCTCAGGAGGCTCGAAAAGAACTAGAATTTCTCATGGACTCAGTACCAAGTCGATTGCTCAGCAGCGCCTGTCTTACTTTCCTGATGAAGCACGTACAGTTAGTTGTGGACGGTTGTAATGCCAGGCCTACAGTCAAATGCTATCAGAAAGGAAGAGTATTGTGGCAAGCCATACGTCTACACACCATCTCAAGGAGAAGATGAGAGGACAAGCAAAGGATGTAGAGTGGCAAAATAACTTCTGACCACGTGTTTCAGGATTTCCGCAAATGGGAGGGCTCTCCATCTGAGATCGGATCTCAGGAGCTGGCCTCACGTCTGGTGTTTCAGATGAAGGCATTATTCACAGAGTGGTTGCAGTGACAGCTTGTCTGCAGGCAGGAATACTATTTGCCAAGATAAACTTCATCGCAACAATGAATGACTACCTGCAATAATGGTTTCATCTCTCACTACATGGATATTAGGGGAAAGATTTGATACACCGATTATTCTGCCACAACCCTGCATCAAAGTTGGAATGGAGAGCAATCAATGGAGAAGCGATCATGTCTTATAGTGCTAAGAAGTGGTGGAGCTCGTGAGAGATAAGGTGGCAACTTCAGATGCAGATCGACGATATGCATAATTTCTTGGAAGTTTGACAATGTGCAGACTTTCTTCCATTTTTGTCCCCAACCAAGAGCATTATATCCCTTGCTGAAGCATTATAATCAGCATTATAAGGCAGTTTTTGGAGCATTATGGTTAGCATTATACGAACATTTTCGGAGCATTATCCGCTGGACCCTGGTCACGGCATTGAGAGGGCAACATTACCAACGCAGGCCAAGACCAGCACGTCGATGGATAATTTTGTTGCTAAAATCTCTGCTCAATAATTATAGGTTTCATGTATTTGCATGACATCCTGCTGGTTTGTCTACTCCTTTGCCTTTTATTTGCATTCTTTTATCTGTTTTACTGCTGTGGTTGGCTTTCACCCTTGTCTCAGTTTTACTGGCCGTCATTATGATGTGCCATGATGTCATCATGATGTGCCATGATGTCATCATGATGTGCCATGAGATAATGATATAGAATTGAAATACAAATACAGACAAACGGGTTAATTAAACACCCGGACGACGCCAAAGAATGTTCCCTCGAAACGGCCGCAGGCCCCACACCCCACTGGCAGCAACATCCAGACGCGACGGGCTCCATCCTCAGTGATCATAGCGCCGGGCGATGCCTCAACCGTTCGCCGGAAAGCGGCTGGAAAGACGGCTCTACACTCAGTAGTAGAACAAACAATGCTTCCGTTCGCCTGCGTCTGAGGTAAGACATTCAACACTGCGCATGCCTTTTTCTTTCCCGGAGGGTATCCGTCACTCCGGCACAAGTAGCTACGGGAATCCACAGCCTACTGTAAAAGCAGAAATTTTCGGTGGTGCAATATTTTCGGTATTCTCCAAAATCGGCGGTTCGGTAGAGGGAAATTTTCGGTAAAACCCGTTTTCCAGGTAAGTGTACTAGTACTAAATGTATACAGTACCGGTAGTACCGAAATTTTCGGTGCGTTTTATTTTCGGTAAAAATTGTCGGCACCGAAGTTACCGAAAATAAAACACCACCGAAAATTTCTGCTTTTACAGTACATGTACTTAACTTCAGTACTAGCTACTTGTGCCGGAGTGCCGGATACCCTCCGGGAAAGAAAAGGCATGCGCAGTGTTGAATGCCTGACCTCAGAAGCAGGCGGACGGAAGCATTGTTTGTTTGTTTGTTTGTACATTGATGGCAGTGGGAAGAGTACAAATTTACAACAGTGGAAAATAACACTGAGCCAGAAATGCGTTGACTCCTTGTTTCGATGTCTCCTGCGGGCTTCTGACTTCCTGTGCGATGTAAGCTGCGTATCCGCTGATATCAGGCATGTAGGATATGCCAGAGAGGATTCTCTCAACCAGCGACTCAGTGATGTGGCAGATAATAATTTCTTATGTTGCCAGATAAGAAGAATCATTTTTGTATGTCTGAAGCACGGGGTCGTCAAATACAGGTATTTGGACTCCCTGGTGTGAAGTAATATCTGTACCGGTATTAGATCTTGGTGAAACCACATTCTGAGTCACGGGCGATCTCAATCTAATAATTATAGATCTTAGTTCCTGCTATATTTGTATTACCGGCACAAGTACTTCATTTATGGCTTGTTAGTGCTCCACCTTCAATTCACTCGAGACTATGGCGTAATCATGGTAATAGTACTGAGGCATTTAACCCGTAAACATTTTAAACTACCGGCAACAGTAGCAAAGACCTGGGCCGTACCGGTATACCGGGTGGTGGGCTATGGGAACACGGGAGTTCGCTACGTAGATCTACAATCTTGGTCGAAGTGCACCTCATCAAGGCCTATCATCCATGCACTGTCGTAGTTCCAAGCCGCCAAGGACGGTGCGCGGATCGACGTTCCGTTCGCTTGCGTCCCATGATGCGCCGTTCCAGTTTTGCCAGTGTTTGGGCGAAGTGCATATGATCTGAACGATACACAATGTACCTTGATGAACGGAAAGGCAACTAAACACACTTCAGAGTTCAGGTGTTTTACTTCTCGCTCTGCAGCACATGATCGGCGCAGCTTGCAGCGGGCTAGTGAGATACTAGTAGTAGCGAGCTGTGGCTATTCAGAGCAATGTGACGGGAAAGACAATAGGATCCTCTGTGCGTGACTTGAGTGACTTTGCTTTATGCACACAAAGCAGCATTTGCATTGCAGATCCACCGCGCACAGGTACATGATGTAAATTGTAAGTCAGTTTCGAATGTGACAGGGAACCTCCCAATCATGGCACCTACATGTATTTAGCTCACTTCTCTACACTACCTGGCCCGGCCACAGCGATACAATGCCAGTGTGAAGTATGGCCGGTATTACTTGCTTCACTGCAAACACAAGAAACACACTTTGCTGGTAAATAGCTGACGATCAAGCCACCACAATGCCATGTCGTAACATAGCACTTAGCAGTACAGTGTCAGTGTGGAGACAGAAAAGACCGTGCAGTGGGGCATTGGACAACTACTATTTCGGCTGTTTTACCGTACGACCAGCGGTCAGCACTACACTCCTCAAGACTCGTAAGGAATCAGCCGGTGTGTGTGTGGGGGGGGGGGGGGAGGGGGATGCGTGTGGTGTGTGTGTGTGTGTGTGTGTGTGTGTGTGTACATGCATGTGTGTGTGCGCGTGCGTGTGTGTGTGTGTGTGTGTGCGTGTGTGTGTGTGTCTGTGTGTGTTGTTTTTTTTGTGTGTCTGTGTGTGAGTGTGTGTGTATGGTGTGTTTTCATGATCCAGTCGATTGAGGCTGATGAAGGGAAAGCCATGCGCATCAGCTCCTAGCATCAGAGATAATCTCGCCAAGGAGAAGAGTGGGCGAACCGAATGCAGAAGGGCTTCTCTTTCTTCTCTTCCTTAGTTTTACATACGTTGTACGTCGAAGTAATTGTTCTCCTGTTGTCTGTCAGTCCCCAGCACAGTACTCAACTGCCCTTTACTTTGTGCTTGGCACTGTCTAACAAGACGGAGCGAATGTCTGTATGTGCATATTATTTATACAGTGTAGCACGGTCTATGTTTCGCTTCGGAGGCCAGTATGGTTTCTGTACTTCGTCTTGGAGTTGAGACACGGGGACGCTGCCATACAGCATTACAGGGGGTGTGAGCCCGCCTCCCGGATCGGAATGGTCAATGACGAGCGGATATACTTGTAGCTAGCAGCAGCCCTGTTCACTTGCTCTGGCAGTCTGGCCTGGCAGACAGACAGACAGTACGCGCCAGCAGTGACCACGTGACTGTTGTGGTGTTGAGTTACCACTTGCCCCCACTGTACTGCCCAGTGATGGGCACGATGACGTCTAGCCTTCGCTAACACGAAACGCTCTCATATCAACGCTTAGTTTACTGAGTGTGTCATATCGCTAGCGCTTTGGGTTGGTGACTGGCGAGTGGCGATGACATGGTCTAGTTGGTGCGAAGCGAAGCCATCATAACCATCATAACGTTGGCGTGAGCTGCGTGGACCACTCGTGGATGCGGGTATCTTTCTGGCCCGCTACTCGCCAGCCAGCGAAGTGTTACTATAAGCGTAAGAGCTGGGTTGTGCTTTTGTCTTCTTGTTACTGTACTTCAAGAAGAACAAAACACGCAAAACCACGGAACACAAACAGCGTCACATGGCCGCTAGCCTGGCCGTCGATGCATCGCCACGCGTAGATTTACACGACGCCGCTTGCACGGTCGCGGTCGCTTCGCACAGCTACAGGATGTCACATGATGTGCACGGACAATACTCAAGACAATAGTACAAAGACACAAGTACAGACTGTTGTTGGTGTGGTGTGGTTTACACCTGCCAACACTGAGTCATAAACGGGTACATGTATATGACTCCCTGCCTGCCATGATCCTGCCCCCCCCCCCCCGCCCCAACTGAAACGACAACGCGACAGGAGTGTACCTGGTACGAGGTCATGCCTCACACACAAAGTCACATTATTACACACTGAGTGAACCTACAGTATTCGTAGTGTTACCGGTAAGCTTTAGCTGCGAGCTGCTAGCACAGTAGCAGTCGTGTCGGTGTGAACGGTCGGTGTGAACGGTCGGTGGCCACACACCTGCTGTAAGAATCTACCAGAGCTTACGAAGGCTTCCGGCGGCCCTACTACAAAATAGTAGTAGTAGATTTACTACTGCACTAGCCTAGCCTAGGCCGATCCAGCCCGTAGACATAGAAGTAGCCTTCTCGGCTTTACTGGCTTTAGTTCTTCACACGTGCCTTCGCGCCGCAAGCCAAGCGCAGCAAATTTTAGGTGCACACCAGCCCGTGAAGCACTTCACTGCACTGGTTGGAAGTCAGTAGGAAAGCGCTGCGGAGTTAGTGCGTCCGGCTCACTCTCTCTCTGCAGTGTTCCTCGGCGCAGTGCAGTGCAGGCCAAGTCACCGAGCTGAGTTTTTTTGAACCATAATTTGAGGAGTGTGGTCAGCAACACTGACGAGTTCCTCACGAGTTGTGCGTCTTTCTGGTGAGGCAAATACTGCGTGTTGTTGCGAAGAAGAACGCCTCGCTCCTTGACCTTTGAGGTGCAGACGTTTCAGAGGAAGGTTGTCTTGAAGTACGACGTGGCAACAGGTCTACTGATAATTCCGTGTTCGTGGGTTTTTTGGAGCGAAGAAGTGTAGGGACGGCAGCGACGATGGGCCATTTGACGTGGTTCTTGTCCTTGCTATTGCTCCTCGGTTCAACGTTGGCAAATGGAGGTAAGTGGGAGTGCGTTTAGGCTGCTCTGTGGCCGCACCTCACACACTCAGTGTACCGGCACCAAACTACATTCTAGTATTGTAGCGTACTTGCTAGGACAAAAATGTTCCTTCTGTCTTCACTAGGTACTACAACTAGGTTGAATGCACTGTTAGCACGTGTCGGTACGTATTTCCTTCCATGGCAGTTTGGCGTCGTGTACATCATGTGTGTTGACGGGGGTCCAAGCCTGCCTTCTGCGTCTACAAGTTATTCTGTTATAACTGTTACAATCATTGTACATGTCTTGTGTTAGTTTCGCGATACAGCAAACATAACTATTTTCGCTCACTCGTGGAGTCCTTACTAAACTTGCAGACGATCCCTGGCAATACTGTCAGGTGGTGAAAACCCTAGGGTCTGTCACGCTACGGTCCATTTTGTCATCAAGAACACGCGGAAGCAGGTTTTGACTTCAGGGGTTCCGAAACCACTGTTTTGGCTCAGTTTTTCATGCATTGAACGTCGCTAGTCCCTGCGCGGAGCAGATCTATGGAGACGCTATCTTAGTATCTAATTCTTTGCCACACCAAACTCCAAAGACGTGATGGGTGGTGAAAGCCTCGGACTTGTGATGTATTTTGTTTGTGAAACTTCCGTTCCTGTCATCATAATTATATCGGCTGCTATTATGCTTCTTTCATCTCTTGTCTTGGCTTCGATTCGCGGTGAATGGTGAAAGTACTGGGCGCTTGCGAGAGCCGGTCACTTTCATGAGGCAGACAGCCATGTTTGCGAACGTAATAATATCTCTATTACTATCAATCATTCCATTTGGAGCTGATCGACGAGATTGCCTCATGTTTGCAATGTCAACCGACAGCTGAGCATTGCAGTCTGTCACATTGAAGATCTACACATCGTCACCACCGAGCTGCAGTGGGGTCTTGTCCAATGATTATGTGACCAGCACCCATTAGCTTAGATAGCATCACCGGTTTTGCTTTTCAGCGCGAGGAAACGAGCAGCCGTAGATCGCTCTAGCATAGCGAAGTAGTTTGCCTGCTCAGGAGGTGTTCCTCTCTTATCTGCTACAGTCAAATCTGCCGTTAGCGACCTCTGCTGTAGGCGACCATCTACCGTTAGCGACCGATTTTCCGTGCACCGACGGTTTCACATACAATCTGATCTGTCCAGAGCGACCATCTGCTGTGCGCGACCAGCGACCGCGATTTCATGCACGGTGGCTGCATTCAAATCTGCTGTAAGCGACCGCGACCCAGGTTCAGTAAGGTGCGAAACTGTACTTGCCAGTGCGCTGTCAACTGCAAAGTGTGAAAATGCGCTGTCTTGCAAGTGCGATCGACTGGCGCCTGGCCTGTACTGAGGCTGTGCTGTAGCTCTCAAGTCCAGGCAGTGTCGATCTACTGCCGTGTCGCATACGCGTACTTTCCGGGTATGGTCGTCGTTGAATATCCAAAAAATGATATTAAAAATCACATTATCCTCGTCGATTTGAGTACATGGAAGCATATACCTGGTGTGCCGGATTTACCATACATCTGCCGTAAGAGACCACCTGCCGTAAGCGACCGCTTTTTCTTGCACCAAGGGGCGGTCGCTTACGACAGATTTGACTGTAGTTGTTTTCCTGCATCCAGTTCGAGTTAGTGATGCTGGACTAGACACCTGCGCCAGGATGACTCATGACATCATGTACTTGTAGTTTCAGTTAGGGTCCTCCATTGTCAACTATCTTGCATGTTCACTCGGGCTGCAGGATGGATCATTGATCACGCTGATCTCCTTATCCGTTTGTGAGCAGTATTCTTTGTTTTATAATGGCTGTGCATGTGCATGTACCAGGGAGTCGTAAAATACGACTCCCTGGCATGTACCACTACAACAGAGTACAGCCAAGAATGAGCCAATGTTTAGTCAAGACGGTTTCACTTGTGGTCTCAGGAACGGTGGCCCAAACCCAATAAGGGAGATACATGTAGCTTCATTCCTGCTCCTAATGCGAGGCACATGCCCACTAGTACAGTCAACTTTGCGAATAGCGACTGTCCTGCATGAGATGAGAAGAGTGTCCTTATTCTAGAGTTGTCGTTTTTCGTGAGGTTTTAAGTAGGGGTGAAACAAATTCACCAAATATTCTAAAATTATTTTGTTTGGATAACAATAATACTAAGACCAGTCCGAAGTGTTTTGGAAATGAATACCGTCATGTACTTCGAATTTTGGTTTTCGACATGTTTGCTTGCTGTAGTGCCAAGTACAATGTACTACTGCAGACAGGCAACATGTCTGTGTGCATGTGAACGTTTGCAGCACGGGCGTAACCCGCGTGCAAGACACATCTCGAGTACAGTACTACAGAGTGTGGTGGTTGGTATGTTGGGGAAAGAAGACTGACTCACAATATGTGACCGGTATTTGTTTACTACTGAAGTACTCCGGCCTGGTACAAACGGAATGCCTTCCCGGGGTGTAAGACACAATTGACTCACCTGAGTTGTCATGGGATATGCTGCATACAACCGGGTTGCTCACTAGTTTGCCCAGTGTCATGCCAAGCACTGTACCACTACAGGGCGGAAGTACCCGGTCCAGACGGTCAGGTCACAACCGGAGCTTGCTTGAACAAGTTGACCCACCCAAATCGTGAAAACAGGGTTTTTTCGTCGGTTATGTTCATTTTCGGTCAAGAAACCAATCTGGCCGAGCCCTGAATCCCAGTGCTACGGCCCTGCAATATACCCCTACAGTCAATTTCGCTAAAAACGACTGCGGATATAACGACAATTCACGAATAACGACAGAATTTCCATGCCCAGAGCAAAGTCCCATCTATCTGTAATACATACAATGAGACTTCAGATATAAGGACACTTCGCGAACAAGGACACTTTTCTGATGTCCCGCCGAGTGTCGTTACACGCAAAGTTGACTGTACGTCAAAGTTGACTACGTCTAAAGTTGTCTTGTACATGTACTATAGCTGCTGTAGCTACTCTAGATGCTGTATCGGTGTGAGGGTATTGACATGCAATTTTTATCCCCATTTTCTGTGTTCAGCTTGTGGGCCGCCTTCGTCACGGTGGTCTAGTCATGTGATTGGCCGCACAGAATATTGTTACTACACCGACACGGGGCTGATGAGAACTTGGCACGAGGCCAACCAGTGGTGCATATCGCAGAACGGCGAGCTGGCCAGTATCACCAGCGCTGGCGAGCAGAACTTCTTGGTGAACACTCGCGCGGGCCTCACGTCAGTATGGATTGGCCTTCACAATCGCGACCCAACGGTGAGTCAGTGCATTCCTGTGTGCATCACTCCCACTTTCCAATGTATCTGGTTTCTTTGGGAGGGGGAGGGGTGCCATTTGGGCACACACTGGTCTTAAGAAATCGAGTATCAAGATGGCAACCAACAGTTATGAGCATTAAAAAGAAATTTACCATGGGGGGGGGGGTAGTTGTCTCAAGAGCCTTCATGAAGCAAAAGGGAACGAGTCTCAAGAACCAGACACACAATATTTACCCATTATAGTGACACAAACATTTGACGGAAGGTGACAGCGGTGTGCATGACCTGGTGCCTCTAACGGCCTAGCCACTCCAGCCACTCCAGCATGCATGGTGGTACTCTATAGGGGTGCATTGTGTACAGGGTAACCTGTACAGCTATAGCTGTGTAGCTGTGTAGAGTACCCTACACAGCTATACAGCTATAGCTGTACAGGGTAACCTGTACAGCTATAGCTGTGTAGCTGTGTAGGGTACTCTACACAGCTATACGGCTATAGCTGTACAGCTGTGTAGGGTACTCTACACAGCTATACAGCTATACAGCTATAAGTGCCATTGTTCTTGATGTGAACTGGACCTCCTGATGGTTATTGTCTGACTGAGCTGATGACGTGTTACCACAACAAGTCACTACAGTTATTTGTATCCGGCTGTTGAACCCCCATGTAACCAACATGTGCACGTATTCTGTTTTCTTCTTGCTTGTCTTGCAGAAACCTGGCGAGTTCACATGGACAGACAACAGCACGTACAAGGGCCACTACACAAACTGGCCGCATGGGGCCCCTGTAGGCAACCTGGATGATGCCTGCGTGGAGATGGACAATCGCGGCTATTGGATGGCGACCGATTGCGCCATGCAGCGGGGGACGGTGTGCAAGCGTCTGGCGGCCAACGCACTGCCAGACGAGGCTGATCACGACAACCACACGATGATCAATACTACAACGCTCTGCGGTGGATGGTACGAGCACAGCGGATTCTGCTACCAGTATTTCTCCGGCCGTGTCACCTGGACAAGTGCCCGCTCCCGCTGCTTCAAGGCAGGCGGTTATCTTATCGACATCCTCAGTCAGCATGAGCAAGAGTTTGTGAACGCATTTGCACAGCAGTTGCACGTTCACAGTTTCTGGATGGGTCTGAACAGTCGTTTGAACAGTTCTGTATTTGTATGGGATGACGGCACGCTCCGTGGCCATACTCTATCTACTGACGCTTCTGCTCTGAACTGGGGGCTCTACGAGCCGAATAATCGTTACAGCAACGAGCACTGTACAGAAACACAAGCCTACCCGTCGCTGGTGTGGAATGACGTGCGCTGCAACACCGTACGGTCTTACGTGTGCAAGCGGCGCATGAGCACCACCGGCACCTACACAGACATCACACCCGCCAAACCCACCACATGCCCGGGCGGGTACAAGATGTATGCCCATCCGAACGGAGCCATCTACTGCTATCAGCGCCGCGGCTCCTCCTACAGGTTACTGTCACAGAAATCGTGGAGCAACGCTGCCAAGGATTGTGAAGATTCCGGCGAGACCCTGCTCAGCATTGGTGATCACTTGGAGGGCAACTTCGTCCGGACTCACCTCCTGTCATCATTCTTCTACTCCTACACGCGTGTCTGGATTGGTATGACCAGCGTAGGCTATGGCCACTACCGGTGGCGCGATGGTAGCCCAGTCTCCTTCACTAGCTGGTCAAGGTACATGTCGCGTCCAAGTCGCTATCAGCAGTGTGCGTACATATACCGCTACTCCAGCAAGTGGCAAATGGGCAGGTGCACCGCTCGCAACCAGTACATCTGCAAGCTGACCTTGAGAAAGCCTGACGACCGCAGCGGCCCCAAGCCAGCCATTCACAAGTACTGCCAACGTGGCTGGCATAGCCACAATGGCTTCTGCTATTTCGTAAATCCGACTCGGGCTGGAAACCATGCTACTGCTGTTGCTGAGTGCAGCAAGAAGGGAGGTAAATTGGCGAGCATCCACTCTCTTGCCGAACAAGCTGCTGTGTCCTCCTTCCTGGAATCTTATCAGGTAGCAAACTCCAGACTGGATGCCTTCATTGGGCTGACAGACGTCAAGTACGAAGGGGAGTATGTCTGGGATGACGGAAGCAATGTGGACTACACGTTTTGGTCTAAAGGTCAACCCAATGACCATTATCATCACGAAGACTGTGTGAAGTTGTACCAGCACAGCTCTACGTGGAATGATGTGTCCTGCGGCTCCAACTACTCTTACATCTGCAAGAAGCCAGCAGGTGGGTCACAGTAGTGCCATGTGTGACCGTGATTTCTCCATTGAGCCTAGCCTGTGAGGCAGATAATCGGCCCGCGTGCATTCCTTGCCACGGTGTGTGTGTGTGTGTGTGTGTGTGTGTGTGTGTGTGTGTGTGCGCGTGTGCGTGCACGTGCATGCGTGTGTGTACATATGTGCACGTGTGTATGGCTGTTGAATGGTGCAATCCCAACACAAGTTGCTATGGTTGCTGCTGTGGAACTGTATAACCCCAAGGCAATGGGTATGTACGGTCTAAGGTGTGTAATACACTCACGGTTGTGACTATATACGCGTACATGGGTGTTCTGTGTGGAACTCACTTCATAACCTGCAGGCCTTATTGGACGGAGACTTACCGGACTAGATTCTGAAACAGCAGGGAAAACACTTCAACTATTCCTGCTGATCTGCCTGTATTCCACTGTGTGTTGGTATTGTTCTGTAGATCTAGCGAAAGCAGAGATTGGTACTGAGTCTAAGTGCCCGGCTGGTTGGAAAGAGTTTGACAACAGCTGCTACAAGCTCAGTACCACCCCGCTCCCTTTCACCGAAGCGCAGAAGGCTTGCGCACAACACACCAGCAAGAAGGGCAAGGCCGGGTCATTGGCTGCCGTCTCCAACCGTGCTGCAAACTTCATGCTGACCGGTATGGCATTTGGCCGTCAAGAAAACACGTCATCGCAAATTTGGATAGGTATGTGCCAAGCTGTAGCAGGGTGATCTTCAGATCATGTGCGCGTGGGGTTTATAGAGATTAGTACAATGTAGTGCGTTCCTGTGTCTGAGTATTGTATGCCGGTGAGTGGAGATCCACTACAGGCGTTGCCGGCGACAGTCCGGCATTCTTTGAATTGTTTTCATAATAGTACTGAATGGGTATCTGTGGTGCATATACGACAAGGTATAGCCGGCTTGACTGGGAATGCAGCATCCCTCCTATGCCCATCACTGTTGTTGACACTTTCTAAACCCCCTGTAAGAAAATCGATGTCAACTATTCAAGGTTATCTCGTTGAGAGTAGTAATTTATCAACTTTGGGATGAGAACATTCTGTATAGCAGGAAATTTTGGACGGAATTTATTTTCATACGATTTCGTACACTGCCTCTTTTGAACTAAAATTAATTCCGTCCTAAAATGTTTCCTGTGAAGTTATGTACACTATACATGCGTACCGCATGAGAACACGTGCATTTAGCATGCAGCACTGTACGAAAATAAAATCCGTGCGAAAGGTCGAAATTCGGCTTTGTCCGAAAATATTTCCGTCCGAAAATTTCCTGCTATACAGTAGTGGTATGTGAACATATTGTTGAGATTCCTGAGCCTCTCGCCAATTTTCATGTTGTGCAGCCATTCACACATTTTTCTAATCAGTCAAAACAATCACACACGCTATGGTCTCTTTATTTCAAAGGTCGCTTCTGATTCACCACATTCTCGGGCATAGCCCATCATCGGGTTGAAACAGTAAAACAGTTTTGCCGTTTGATCATGATGGCGGTCCATGCCCACAAAATTCGCAATTTTTTGGGGTGACTTGACATTTGCAGCAGAGAGACCTTGTGTGAGTCACAGTTTTGACTGGATTAGATGATTGTATTCAGGTAGTTATGAATTGCATGTACATGTATGTCTGTTGTGCCCCGCACTCAGGACTGACAGACTCTGCCGAGGAAGGGGTGTATAGCTGGACGTCCAAGCAACCGGTGACTTTCGTTGGCTGGGGTTCTGGCCAGCCTAGTGAAAGTTTCAGCCCGACGGGCCGCAAAGGCATGAAGAACTGTGTGACCCTGCGCGCAGCCAATGGTCACTGGTATGACACCTCCTGCTCTGCTGTGCACAACTACATCTGCATGACTGATGATGGTGAGTGCCTTTGCAGCTGTAGACCTTCTAGAGGTGTTCTGTTGCAGAAGTCCTGAGTGTGGCCATGCACATACATAAGACGAAGAGCTATTCACTGTGACAGGGGCTACCCATCTCTTTAAGACTTAAGGTAGTGCAGCATTTGCTCAGGTTCAGGAAACCCGTTTTCGTATCAGAACTGCTTTGCCTCCCATACCAAAAAATCGTTTGAAAATGCCGATAAATTTACGGACGACCCCAACGAGCTTGCAGTGTTCAACGCGTAACAGCTGTTTGTATGTGTGTGTGTGTGTTTTCTCGCTCCTTATAGCAGATGGAAAGCCAATACCGGCTAGCCCCACCAAGCCCGTCCCTGGTAAGCACTGTTTTTATATGTGTGTGTGTGGGGGGGGGGGGGAGGGGGAGGGGCATGCGGGAATGGGTATACAAGTACATATTTACAGTAGTGGCCAAATGAACTTGACTTGTGAGCCGAGATCACCGCCAAGGCTCGTGCTGCCCCTGCCGCCCTCGGATGTTTTTTTGTGCACAGTGCATGATTGAAACGTGGCTGACTACTTTTGACTCATGGGTTGGATTTCTTTGGCCACGACTGTATATGTGTATTGGGGGGTGTTCATTTGAGCCTGGACATGTGCATGATCGTGTGCTGCACTGCACAGTGTAAAACAGACATAGTGTGTGCTGGTTTGGAGTGTAGGCAACCTACTTATAGTAACTATAATTATGCATGCATGAAAATCAGAGTTTGCAGCTTGAATGGTTTCTGTCACGTCAAAATTTCTGGATTGCATCATGATAGTGCTGCAATGCGTACAAGCAAAATTTTTGAGTGTGTCTATTCCTGCACAATAGCAGCTCAGTTGTAAGCACTTGTCTAATGACACTTCCTACTGCTTATCTGCATGACTAACATGATGTAACCCAGGAGTTTTGCTGAGACACAAAAGCAGCACACCCTGGCTTCATACACTCCTGCGATTTGTGGTATTGGCAGAACCTATTGGTAAGACTCGGACGGTTCCGATCATAGGTAGAGATGGTGTGTAGGTCTTATGTGCGCTTATACTCTGTGTATGTGTGTTTGTGTGCGCTCGCATGTGTATGTGTGCGTGTATATGTGCCTGTGCATGTGTGCATGTGTGTGTGTGTGTGTGTGTGTGTGTGTGTGTGTGTGTGTGTATGTATGTGTGTGTGTATGTATGTGTGTGTGTATGTGTGTGCTTGTGTGTATGTGTGTATATATATTATATGTGTGTGTGTATGTATGATTGTGTGCGTGTGTGTGTGTGTGTGTGTGTGTGTGTGTGTGTGTGTGTGTGTATGACTCTGTGTGTGTATGTGTTTGTATGTTGTCTTTGTTACTAGTCTGGACTAGTCCATGCGAGACAGGCTGGTTCAAGCACGACTCGGTCTGCTATGGGTTCTTTGGCTCGATAACGAACGCCACAATGCAAATGGTCGATCCAGTCATAACTCCGCAGTCTTGGGTAGACGCGGAAGCACAGTGCGCACGCCGTGGCGCTCACCTTGCCAGCTTCCACGACACCAGTACGCAGGACTGGGTTGCGAAAATGTTTGATGAGAAGCTAGAGAGTGGCGTGTTTGCCTACTGGATTGGTTTGTCTCAGCTCTCCCAAACCCAGGGTGGCTACCAGTGGACAGATGCGTCTCCTCTGGACTACACACGCTGGGCACCGTTCGAACCGAATGATCGGCGGGGCTCCGAGGACTGCGTTGAGGTAATCGTGTCGCACCATAGAGCTACGTACAACTGGCGCTGGAACGACTACCGCTGCACGTCGAGAAGGTCTTTTGTCTGTGCCAAAACCCCAGGTGAGCTGACAGTCCTCTAGGCCATGCACGCACGAGTTTGAAACCCTTTGGTGTGGCGAACAGGTATGTGAAGAAGTGTACACCCTTTCCTGATACTAGTACGCCGCACATGCTTGCATCTTGCTTAGTGATAGATGCCTAGTGTGAGTGCCTCAGGTCTTGGTTTAGATTTGTGCCGCCGGAGGTTTCGATGTCCGAGGTTTTTCCATTGCCAAAACCGCAGACAGATGATGTGCACTTTGTCACTCCTAGTCGCAGCGGTGGGAAGTCAGTCCACTGAGGTTGGGCGCGTTTTAGCTACATGTATATATTTTGAACTGTGGTAACTCATAATTGAGCCGGAATTCTTCACTTTGCTCCAATGCAGGCACCAAGTACGATCATCCAACTCCAAAGCCAACGCCACAAACACCAGGTAAAGATCTACAAGTGGTGTTTCCTGGCTCTTTAACTTAGACAATCTTGCTTGAGAACCTGTCATGCGTCAAGTGTTACCAGTCTTCCTGATGGTGACTGCAATGATGGTACTGTATGTGTGTGCGCATGTGTGTGTGTGTGTGTGGGGGGGGGGGGGGGGGGGGTAGTGCTGTAGTATCCAGTCAATCAGTCGAGGCAAGTGTTAAGCGTTACACAGTTTGTTAATTTTTTCTGTAAGAATGTTACTAACCCCCTCCTCGGTACTGCCTTTTTGGTACTCTTCAGTTGGAATGACCAAGGTATCATGCCCACCTGGCTGGATTCAAACAGTCGACGCTTGCTACCGGCTTGTGCAGAAGCCATTGTCCTGGACATTCGCAGGGAGAAAATGCACAGCTCGCAGCAAAAGCAAAGGAGTCCCGGAGGGCGTTACAGTGTCTCTAGCCAGCATTCACAACAGCGATGATCACATTTTACTCGCCGAGCACATCATGGAAGCCGCTGCCACCCTGGATAACGTTACTAACTACTGGATTGGTCTGAACGACCGCAACAACGAGAGCTGGTTCGTATGGAGTGATGAGTCGCCAGGCGACTACTTGCCCTGGGGTGCCGGGGAGCCTAACAATTACTATAGCAAACAGGACTGTGGCCAGATCAAGGGAGCGTACGGATACTTGTTCAACGACGCCGACTGCAGTCGCCAGTTCAACTACGTGTGTGGGTACTCTCGCTGTAAGTCTTACGTAGTCTGCTATGTGTGTGGGTACTCTCGCTGTAAGTCTTACGTAGTCTGCAACTACATGTGTGAGTACTCTCGCTGTAAGTCTTACGTAGTCTGCTATGTGTGTGGGTACTCTCGCTGTAAGTCTTACGTAGTCTGCAACTACGTGTGTGGGTACTCTCGCTGTAAGTCTTACGTAGTCTGCAACTACGTGTGTGGGTACTCTCGCTGTAAGTCTTACGTAGTCTGCAACTACGTGTGTGGGTACTCTCGCTGTAAGTCTTACGTAGTCTGCAACTACGTGTGTGGGTACTCTCGCTGTAAGTCTTACGTAGTCTGCAACTACGTGTGTGGGTACTCTCGCTGTAAGTCTTACGTAGTCTGCAACTACGTGTGTGGGTACTCTCGCTGTAAGTCTTACGTAGTCTGCAACTACGTGTGTGGGTACTCTCGCTGTAAGTCTTACGTAGTCTGCAACTACGTGTGTGGGTACTCTCGCTGTAAGTCTTACGTAGTCTGCAACTACGTGTGTGGGTACTCTCGCTGTAAGTCTTACGTAGTCTGCAACTACGTGTGTGGGTACTCTCGCTGTAAGTCTTACGTAGTCTGCAACTACGTGTGTGGGTACTCTCGCTGTAAGTCTTACGTAGTCTGCAACTACGTGTGTGGGTACTCTCGCTGTAAGTCTTACGTAGTCTGCAACTACGTGTGTGGGTACTCTCGCTGTAAGTCTTACGTAGTCTGCAACTACGTGTGTGGGTACTCTCGCTGTAAGTCTTACATAGTCTGCAACTACGTGTGTGGGTACTCTCGCTGTAAGTCTTACATAGTCTGCAACTACGTGTGTGGGTACTCTCGCTGTAAGTCTTACGTAGTCTGCAACGCTAACTAAACGTGGTATGTGATTGTATCCAATTACTGGTTTTCTATAAAATGTTTTGTTTGTGACATGTGAGATGTAACCCCGATTGTGTGACATGTGAGATGTAACCCCGATTGTGTTCGCGATATCATGTATTGTATACGCCTTTTGCCTCCACTCGTACGGCGGGAGCCAAAATATGTGATTACATTGCTGCTGCTGCTTGGCCAGGTGCTGCATAACTAGGAAATACTATGACGTCGGACGGAGATCAACAGCAGACCACTCTTCCTGTCTCTTCATTCCTGCCTGTCCTGTTTTGTTGTGCGTATTTTGGGTTTGTAGATCAACCTGGAGATACTGGCAAGACAACCTGTGCCACGGATGTACCATGCCGTAAGTCGACACATATTTGAAGAACCAGAATGGTGATCATTGTTAGCTAGAAATGTTGTGCACATGATCGTTCACAAGTAGGCTGTGCGTCTGGAGGAAGAAGATGTGTATGAACATTAGGGGTGAGAGCTTTCTCTCTAGCTTTCAAGAAACTGAGCGAGTACTTTTATTTCGTTTAATTGTTTTCCCCAAATGAACACACACACACACACACACACACACACACACACACACACACACAGACGCCCATTCGTATACATACCGCATGTCCGCACCTTTAACCATGGAGGTATATTTGAATATAAAGCCAGTCTCAGTTACAGTCAGACCTCGCTTAACCGCACACGTCCGTTTTCCACAAAAATATCCGGATAGGTGAGGGAACCGGATAACTGAACACACATACTGTACATGCATGTGACACATCAAATTGGGCGGCATCGTACATACATGTATATGGGTGCTATGCAGAACAACTAGCATGCACAAGCGAGAAAAATGACAGGTACATACAACTGAGTGCTGTCCACATGCATGCAGCAGGTCAAGGACCTCATTTGTTTGTACAGCTCCCTGATTGTGGCTTCTGCAAGCCACGTGCAACCGGACGCGACGAAACTTTTTGTACATGTTTCGACCAGTTTGTACACAAAATCATGCACTGGTATGCGGATCGCGAGGTCCGGTTATGTTGTATGCGTAACGTATGCTGCACATCGGTAACCAGCAATTTTCTTCCGGATGGCGAGGGATCCGGATAAACGAGGTCTGACTGTATAAAGCCATGGGCTTCCTAAATGAAGTGGCATTCGAAGTATGTTTTGCAAAAATGAAGGAATAAGTATTATAATAAACTTACAGCCCAGGAAAAAGGGTGAACAAATGGATTTAGATTGAAATTTGAAAATTTCTGTGCGGACTTTGATTTTTATGGCATGGCGTAATGGGTGAGTCATTTTGCATCTACAATAGTTAGGAAAGCAGCCGTGTTTCGAATTATGAGGCCATGGCTTTAAAGGCGCTGACATACGACGGTATGCATACCGTGATGTAAGTTACATACAGTAACACATCATCAGCTTGTAGCTGTCAGCTGATGCTCATTGTACTTCTGCTGGTTTTCAATGTGCTTCTGTGCACATCATGACTGTAGATACTGAGTGCCCAGCGAATTGGAAGCGGAACGGTGACTCCTGCTACCTAGCTATCGACACGAAAATGGACTTCGATGAGGCTACGCTCAATTGCTCCGGATACAACGTAGACTCGGAAGATAGTGGTGACTTGGTGACTATCAACAGCAATGACGAGAACAAATGGCTCACAAGAACGTAAGTTGGCTTAGTCATCGAATTAGTGCTGGGTGGAGTGTGCCGGAGTTGTAACAAACCTCTCAGCACCACCTGTGTCACTATTGTGTTATTTTGTAGACGACTGCAGTATGTAGGCACTCTACAGGAAACTCACATCGATGGAAACTCCCTTCTTTAGCCAACTCCTGACCCGAAGCAGTATATATTTGATCCGCCCATATCATAATACTGTATATGGCAGGGCAGGGACACACGGGGCACACATTACCTAGTTAGTAGTAAACACTGTGGTCACTGAGAATTTGGTCTTGCCCGGGCCTTGCTGGACCACTTCTGCCGGGCCTGCGTCAGCAGCAAGTTGGCCTTGTACGCAGCAGCAGCAGCATGCCGTGGACATTACCAAAGCTTAACATGCACTCACTCCTGTAAAAACGAACCTGTGTACGATGTGAGTAGGCATACAGCTGTGATATGTGGACCATGTGAATACATGTGTTAAAATCTCATATTCCCATTCCATTAACATAGTATTGTGCTTTTCCCCATTGCATATTGCGCCACTGCAGGTTTTTCACCAAGGATGACTACTATTGGATTGGACTAAGTGATGAAGACCAGGAAGACCGATGGAGATGGGGATCTGGTCAAAAGGTTCTTTTCACCAACTGGAACAGCGGCCAGCCCAACAACAACTATGGCCGAGATAGTGGTGAAAACTGTGGCGCGGCTGATGGGAAGAGCGGTGGAAAGTGGTTCGACCGACCGTGCGACTACTACTATAAATTTGTCTGCGAAATGCCTGTCATGGTCGGTAAGTCCGCACTGAATGACTGTGCCTAGCATATTCCCGGTAGTATCGGTTTCAATGCCGCCATTTCCAGTCAGTCAATCAACAAATCTCTCTCTCTCTCTCTCTCTCTCTATCTATCTTTCTCTCTCTCTATCTTTCTCTTCCCTACCCGTGTCTCGGTGTGTCGGCTCTCTAAGTTTCTTTTTCTCTCCGGGTCCCTGCTGTGAGCTGGCTACTGCTTGTTTGACAGGTACTGAAGTGATGGCAAATGTAACTGACATATGCATTTAAAAAGTGTCACATGCTCTTTCTAAAAAGCGATGAGATATTTCCACAGAACTGTAGGTCTGCTGAGATGACCAGTGACACTATAAAACTGATGTTGTTACTGTTGTGTATTCATCCTTTTTCCCCTTTTCCCTCAGTAAATGATTCGGTCACAACACCTTCCCATGCTCCTGCATCAGCGGCTGCAGTGACAACAACAACAGCTACTGTAACCACCACCGGTGGCGATGGCAAGGACGCAGCATCTACAAACAGTGAGTTTCCATTTAGACCGGCTTAACGACGTCATCTCTCAATGCACTGTTGGTTGTGCGGTGGTGCTTGTTGTTGTGATAGCACGTGGATTAGATATTGTGCCAGGGACTAAGACGGCCCATGCAGCAAGTACTTTGACATGAATAGGGAATAGCAAGTCTTCTCATTCCATGAACATGCAATGGTACGAGTTCATTGCCTGATCACTATTATGTACATGGTTTGTTCTGCCATTGTTTCTACTTTTGTTTGCACAGACACACGAGCCATGTACATGTAGTTGTACAAGTTCATTATCTGATCACTAATGGTTTGTCCTGTCATTGTTGTTCTCTACTTTGTTCTGCCTAGACAAACGATCTGGCCTGAGTCCTGTGGCGACGGCACTGATTGGTGTACTGTGCACTCTGCTCATCATGGCCTTGATCATCGGTGCTATTGTGCTCTTCTATCGCCATCGCCAGAGAGTCAACTCAGGCCTAGCCGGTACCATTGGCTTTCGACGCCTCAATGTCCACGACGACGAAGAGGACGACGACAAGTTGCTTGTTGATTAGGATGATGCACCAGGGATAGGATGCACGGCTGTCTGAAACACCCAATGCTTGCGTAACATGCTTGCGTAGTAACTGAGCCTAAGAGTAGTGTCCCATCACTGTTGTTGCCTTTTCGGCAAATTTGCACTCCATTGAGGTTGAGAACTAACATCGCCATAATAATTGTACCCCAAAGAATTTCAGTAGGTAGTAAAAGTTAGCTTTTGACAAGCTGTGAAAAGGAACATAAACAAGTTGGGGCTGGTATTCAGCTCAGACGATTCTTATCCCTCCTTACCCTCCTTGGCCACATTGTCTGTCTCCTCCCTTGGAGCGATTATTACATGAGGAGATCTAATTCACTCAATGCCATGATGGCAAATCACTATGCAAGCATTGCTAAACCGCAGCAATGTAATTTATGGTTTCACGGTGCTCCGCTTCAGGGGTAGTTTGTGGTTGTGATGTGACTAATTCCCGTTTTCTTCTTTGTTCATTCGTTCATTTGATAACTTGTGTTTCAGTCAATTGCTGCTTGCAGTCACAGTATTGTGGAGTTGAAATTTTCACCCACCTAGTAAGAATGGCGAATAATGCAGAAGTTTGCCACACAGCACTGGTTCTCTCGCTTTACATCGTCTCTTCCTTACAATTCTCCCCCCCCCCCAAACATATATACACTCTAATCGAATTTGACATCTTTTTCCCTTTTGTTCCAGTTTCCGGTTTTTAGTCCAATTATTGCTCAAAAGTAGCCCTTGAACGTGTCATTTTCCACCTGTTCCATATTTTTCCGGTCGACACAATAAAACTCTTGAAAGTATATGCAAGGTTTCATTTTTTGTGTGGTTTGCATCTAAATCCATATTTGGGCATAATTAATGAAGTGTTTTAATCAGATTTTGAATGGGAAATTTCACCTGAAATTGCTTCTAGACCTTTTGAGCAAAATCTCAATTTCTCAAATTTAGGGCTGGTCGCATTTCGCATAATATATTATACATGTACATGTAAACTCTTCAAGTGTACTTTCATGTCGTGACTCAGGGCGCCGAAACCGGTGCGGCAGGTGCGGCCAAAGTCGCACCCGCCAAACATTTAGGTAGGTACAGTCCATTCAGAAAAAGATGGACTTCTAGCTTTTGGCCATGATAAATGGGTCAAACTTTGAGTTTTTTTAGAATTTTTCTGCAATCCCCTATGGAATCCTCTTCCGATTATGTTTCCGAAGTCTATTTCTCCAAAAAGCAAGCCATAGCCTGGCATAGGAAGAATAGGATGTCGGCCAGGTTTTGCCCCAAGAGCACTGAATTGGGAAAATCCATCAAAAATCCAGGCCGTTTGACCCTGCTTGCAACAGTGCATTGTACGGTTCGACCCCCAGTTCAGGTACCCTTTTTGGACCCTTTTTCAAATTTCACAGCACTGCACTGTGTACGATAAAATCTTTGAAAAATCGCCTAATACGGGAGCTCGCCAGAGCCAGGGCCCATCTTTTTGTGAATGGACTGTAGGTACATTTTTATTTGATTTCGCCCAATTACATGGAAGCGAATGGAAACAATAAAATATTGTAGGAAATAGCCTAACATGATAGCAGGGTGTAGTACAAAGCAAAGAACGCTCAGTCAATGAATAAAGTAACATTTCATCTTGTGATTTGTGAAGTGATACAATATGGGCTATTCGGGCCCATTTTTCCTCCTTTTTCCAGGGGGAGGCCCCTAAGCCCCCACCTCTTCTTGGTCACACCAATGTCGAATACCTTCCGACGCCCCTAGTATACTTGTGGGAACACAAATTGTTGTTTGCGAAGAGCCTGCTGACGTTTGTTCCCTTCCCAAGTATGATTGCATTCCCATCTCAGGAGAAACCTTCTTGTAATGAACGTACTACAGGTCAGACCTCGCTATAACGACCCCCCCCCCCCCCCCCTATAACATAAACCTCACTATAACATAAGCCCCGCTATAACGACCCCCGCTATAACATAAACCTCACTATAACATAAACCCCGCTATAACGACCCCCACTATAACATAAACCTCGCTATAACGACCCCCGCTATAACATAAACCTCGCTATAACGACCCCCGCTATAACATAAACCTCGCTATAACGACCCCCGCTATAACATAAACCTCACTATAACGACCCCGCTATAACATAAACCTCACTATAACGTACGAAACGTGAATGTCCCTGCCGAAACCGCATCACTTCTGTACAAAATGTCCTCGCTATAACATAATTCGCTATAACGCACTGTTTGCTGGGTCCCGACCCGGGCGCACGGAGACCTCAGCATAACGTAAAAAGTCGTATAATAATGACTTATGTACATGGCATGCATGCCTTCTCGCGACGAATTCGAGACTGAGCTGTCCACCTCGGAAGCAGGGAGTAGTAAAGTTTCGGTATTTTACTACTCCCTGCTTGGGGTCTTCGACTTCTAATCATGTCACATGTACACGTACACGCACTGCATGACTCTTGTCACCCCTGGCCCTTTGCTGACAAGCCTATACACATCTTTGCTAGTCATCATCATACCTGTATGTAAAACAGTACAGCTGTAAGCAGTAAGTGAAGAGCGTCATTTTGACATACATATTGCATATTGGTGTGCCCAACTCACAAGAACATAAACCTCGCTATAACATAATTTCTCCCATCCCCCAGAGATTATGTTATAGCGAGGTCTGACCTGTAGTAACTTTTAAAATTACGATGTTGAATGGAAAGAGACTCTCCCAAAAATGCTATGCAGTAGCTGTAAAGAAATCTAACCGAATGGCCCATACCAGTACAAGAACCTAGACATGATCCAAGTAGCAACGTAATGGTCCTAACTATGAACCCACCTGTTTGGAGGAGATGGGATATTCACCATTGGCTTCGCCGGTGACAATGAGGCAAATTGGCTATGCTTCCAGCTGCCAACTACCCTAGCGCTGCTCCATCCATGCATTTGCAGTTGCCATGACATTGTGCCCTTCAAAATCGTTGCTGACTGGAATAGAGATTGTAGCTGATTTCAAACCGGGACTTGTGGCTTCTACAGTGATGCTATCGGCACTCAGAAGTTCATCAATGGCTGCCGCTGTTGTGGTGTCTCCAGCCTGCTTCATCTCCCCCATCCTGTGGGTGTCTTCACCAGGATTCAGTAGATAAGTGTAGTGATTAGACTCCGCATCTATTTGAGCAAGACGACGTCGGACATGAACTGGCATTGCACTGTTGAGTGTAACTTGAATCACAGCACGTACTACACCATGATATGCACTTCTAGATGTAGCCTTGTTTGCCTCATGACATGCTGGATCACCATTACCCACGCCAATGATCCGACCTGGTCCACTGGTGAGAGTGAATGTGACGTTATGACTGGATGACTGTACAACACTGTTCTTCTCATCTACAATCAATGCGCGAATCATTCCAGTGTCCTGGCCATCCAGTACTAGAGCTGTGCCTGTTCCTGTTGATGCACTTGGTACATCCAACACTAGCTGAATGGAATCAGCCGCTCCACAGGTCAGTCGTGTGTGCGTTGCCACGACTATGCCAGAAGAGGAAAACGCTGCCGCGGTTAGATTTCCAGGCTCAAACGATACACTGCTGAACTGTGCCCAGCCGTACCATTGTAGGAACTGGGTGCCAACAGTTTTACCGTTGACGCTAAGTTGTACGTGTGGTGCGTTGCTGTAGACTTGAATAGTACGCAGGTCATCACTGCCCATAGCCGTCGCTATGTTAGGTTCCCAATGCTGCACTATATGAACCAGGATGTCACCAGAGTCCGAGGGACTCGCGCTTGCAGCACTACGCACACCAGAGTTTGCACTGCTGACACTGTTCTTGTCTATGACCTGGGGATCAATGAGCGAAGGTGCATGTCTGGGAATATCTAGCTGGGTAGGCTTAGCAGTTGTGCTTTGATCATTCCCCGCGGGATGTGTGAAGTTGTACAGCCACCATGCTCTGTACCAGAATGCGGCAGCCTTGCTAAATCCAGCCAGGTCAAATGAACCGAACGATGAGGACACGTGCGGCCACTCAACCGGGGTAGGCTCGCCAAGATAATCAAACAACGTCCAAACCAGCGAGCCACTTACAAACGGACGTGTTATTCCCCGGGCACTCTGTTCACTGATGCAGTCGGCATTGAAGTTAGCCAGGTGAGTCTCGTCTGCTGTGTCCTCACCCCGCTGAGTCACACATGAACAACACTCAGAGTTTATGACGGGTATGTTCGGGTAGAGATCATAGAAGTCATCAAAGATGAAGCCCTGCATGTGTGAGAAGCCTTGCACGTCAACCTCACCGGTCAGCGGACACTGCAGGTCAGTGATAGTCTTGGCCACCATGTTTGCGGTGACGGGACGAAACGGATCCATTGCCTTCGCGCTCCCACGGAACTGTCCGCCAATGCTGGCCACATCCGGGTCATGCTGTAGACAGCCACCTTCGTTACAGAACGACCATAGCATCACACTGGGGTGGTTGCGGTCTCGTTCAACCATATCCTGAATGTCTTGCACCCACTGGCGTTCATCTCCAAAGTTGCGTGTCTCGTCCCAGACCAGTATGGCAAGCTCATCCAGGACGCTCAGCAGTGCTGGCGCCGGCGGATTGTGAGACATTCGCCATGAATTGCCGCCTACGGACTTCATGGCCTGCGCGCGGAACAGGTGCAGACGATCGGGAATTCCCGTGCCCACGCCGGCCAGGTCGTTGTGGTTGCAGAAGCCGCGCCACTTGAACGGCTCACCGTTCAGCACAAACCCGCCCCCGTAGCCGGCATGCCACTGAGCACTGCGCGCTCCGACGTAGGTGTCATTGATGATGTCGCTGACCACACCGCCTCCAGCACTCACCATCGTCACCACCCTGTACATATATGTATGTGTGGGTGACCAGAGGGTCACATTCTCAACCAAGTGCTCAGCGAAGAACACAAACGAATCGCCCGGCTTCATGTACGTACGGTTGGCGGCAAGCGCAACCAGCAGCTTGTTAGCAGCGTCGTAGAGTTGGAACGTGACATTGACCTCGTTCCCGGACTCTGCATCGCACCTCACCGTAGCTCGCACGTGCAGGCTGGCATCGGCGGTCGTTGTGCGGCCGTCTTCTAGTTGACGAATACTGGCAACATCTGGTGAAAGACTGGCAAGGATGCCATTGGTTGCAATGTGGATGTTGCTGTGGAAAATCAAATAGTTATGACGGTACAGACCTCCTCCTTCATACCACCAACCTGAACCACCGAAAGCCTGCGCACGAATAGCCAGAACATTCTCATTTTCTTTTCCGGCGCCAAACTTCACTCCCGTCACGTTGTCCAGCCGAACGGCAAAACTTGTGTATCCCGACTCGTGGAAATTGATCTGAATGGAATTCAGATACACCAGCGAACTGCGAAATATGCCCTCAAAATACACACTCACCTGACCGGCCTTCTCCCAATCACTCGGCAAGTTGAAATGTTTCCGGTAGAAGGTGAACTGATAGGGCAAGTTGCCCTGTGACGACGAAGCGTTCTCGGAAAACTCCTGTCCTAGCAAGCTGTCATGAGGAGCGTTCACGATTTCCCATTCGCTATCGTCAAAGTCGTACTGGAGTCGCGACGCATCCATCTCTGGCACCGGAGGTAGTGGACCCGGCGCAGGTCGAGTGCCGCCTACGGTGTAGTCATTCGTCGGGTGCTCGCAAGAAAATTCTCTCTCGCTATCTATGGAACAAGCTCCGCTCCGTATATCATACATCCACGCTCTGCAATAGCGACTCAGACAGCACAATGTTTGGCAGTCATCTGCCGAGCTGAAAACTGAGACGAGCCTCACCCCATAGCAGGTCGTATTCTCGAATGGCGTGAACGCAGTTCGACAGGACAAGAAGGGACCGCCACTACCATCCACTGGTGTGGAGAAATGCCTCCAAGCAAAGTCGAAATTTATCGTCTCGCGTGTAGGGCTTGGATGTGCTGACAGTGGAACATTGTCGCTTGACGAAGCGTCAGCTTTGACCGCCAACGACGGAACGGCAGCTAGGCTGAGTAGCGCTAGCAACAGCATTTCGCAATGCATCGGAAACTCTGGAAAGGAGAGGGAGGTGTCGCTGCCCGGTCCGCGACAACCCTAAATAGCTGGGCTCTGCTGGGACTCGAAGTCTCAGCGGCACGTCTGTGAAGCGGGGGAGGTTCTGAAAACTGGGAAAAATAAATGGATCGTGAGCGCATAGCCTCGGCCTCCTCGTATCGTGAAACGCAACTGTGGGCCAGATGTGTCTACAAATACAATATTTTTAGACTCTACTGAGTCTGTACTGATAAGTGATATGAGTTATGACCGTCCTCATGAGTCATGGTCCTCGTCAGCCTACACGTAGCCTGGTTCATTCATTGCATGTGTACGTGTGGGTCTAAAGTCATGTAACCATGGTAACTCAAGGTCACGAGATCGCCAGATCGCACTGTGTCTGTGACTGATGATTTTTTTTCTTTCTTTCATAATTATCTGGCTTGCAAGTGTTGAGTTTCGGAGAGAAAAGAGCAGTGCGTGGCATGTGGCCTCTAATTTCCTAAAACTTTGAAATTCTCCGTGAAGTCCAAATTTGAAATTATTATTATTACATAATTATACCGGTAGATCTACAGGCATCATCGGTAGGGACCGGCGGATTGTGCTCGAAAAGGTGGCAGATTATGCTCGAAAAGCAGTGAAATTGGCAGAACCATACAAACCTTATGGCGGGCAATTCCTCAAATTCTGCTCAATTTCTTTATCCACATACCAAACATGCATGAAACTTACCAGAAAAAATACCGAATTCTCGGCCAAATTTTCTGCCGACAGAATCCGCCGGACCCTAATCATCGGAACAAACAAAAGACTTGTCTGACCAGTGATCATACTGCTGACTGAGAGGCCATGCTGAAGGCAGTAATGCTGAGCCCGAGGGATGACCATGGCTTTTCCTGGGCACCAACTAAACAACTTGCACAGTCACGTAGATAATCAGTATGCATTTTTGCTGTCGTCACAAACTGATGTGAGTGACAACTTTTTTTCATGTGCACCAAGCCAAGGAAGTTCAATAAAATTTGCCCTAACGAATATGTGAGTGATTGTGAATGTGCAAACTCGGCAGGAGAATAAATATAAAATACTAAATTGAAAATAGTCATAAAGTTCTCTATGTGAGATCAGGCTGCAAAGGCGCATGCACAGTGTGAATTTGGCGTGCACTAGAACATGTGTTGGGTATGCAAAGGGCAAGGTGCCAAGTGTCTCATAGCACTATGTTGTACAGTGTGCAGTGATCTGCTGGAAACAAACTGGGTCTGCTCAACCCAACGTCTGGTCAAAAGAACGACTGGAGAAGAGTGGACATGCGGATTTTACTTTTAAAACGTCTTTGCTGCCGCCATGCCTGAACTGTTTCAGTGTTCAGTGCCTGACCGTGACTGCTGGTCTACTTCTGCTGGCCGCGGTGTGTGAACATGAGGCAGATGAGAGCAATGATTCGAGACACCAGGCCAAACACAAACAGGATACCGATGCACAGTGCAAAATTGTCAAGTGGATAACCTTGGTAGCTCGAGTAAAGCGCAACTTCCTGGATGTGCACGGGCGGATAGCGGTTTGCCTCCTTTTCAAACAATGCTTCTACAAACCAGCGTGCAAACGACAACGAGTAGAGGACAGGGCCGAGGGCCTGTTTCTTCATCTTGCATAACGATGGCTGAGCACCGGACATCATGGCCGACACAAGTACCAGAACCACTGTGGCCATCTGTGAACTACGACTGTTGAATATTGTTGAGATGAGATAGCCAAGTCCATGGCTGGCCCAAACCAGCATGAGAATAGCTGTGTAGTAATCACGAAACAGGGCGCGTGGTGACACTAACGCATAGAACAGGCTGAGGAAGACAAGCGGTGTGAAGACGATGATCGGAATCTGCGAGATGTTGGTGGCAAGGAAGTATGCTGGACGATTGATTCCTGCCGCACTCTCTCGCCAGAAGACGGGTTTGCAGCTGCCAAAGCATCGGAGTGCAGCCAGCATACTTGTCAAAGCTACTGCCATGCTGGTCATACACAGCAGCAGTGTCAGCTTGCGTAGCAGGATCTCGCGGTACAGCGCACCGAGGACGGCGCCCGCAATCAGCACCAGCAGCTGATCAAGTATCAACACACTGAGTTGACGAATCTGAACAATAAGACACAAATCGGCGAAATCCTAAGAATCCGAATGACCCGGCAACACATTCTAAAATACAGTGAACCTCAATCGAGCACATTCTCACAACATAGCTATGTGCAGTGCACTACAAACGAACACGATAAAGTAATACTATTTTCTCCAGAATTTCTCCTGATTCACACTTGAGTGCAAAGTTTGGGACAGGGGAGGGTAGCTGCGATTGCCATGACATAGATTTCAAATGCTAAGTACGGTATTAGGGTTTATCACATAGCCACTCTTCCGCACCCCACACTCACACTTTTTGCTGAAAAGAAAACACATACCAAATTTGGCAGAAGTCTGTCAAGGAAGGAAGGAGCCACCTTTGCATCATTCGAATTATTGGAATTTCATGCATTTGATATCAAATATATTGACCCAGCTTCACCCTACTCATCAAACATCAAACATGTATGTTTGGTCGTGCATACCTGCAGAACAAATGCCCGGCGAATGAAGAACAGCAACTGTATCCAGAATGCAGGTGCTTTCCTTGGTGTGAACTGCTGTGTGCTGGCTTGCCGCTCTGGTGGTGCCGATGATGCACCACCATCAGTAGTCATGCTGGATTGTCTCATTGTCCACAAATCTCCAAGGCTGGTCAGTGCCATGGCTGTATTGCCATCCGCTGAATCATTAGTAGCTGTGGAGGATGTGGCGTGCTTCTTGGCGGACTTGGCTTTCTTGTTATGATCGTTGATGACATCCAGATAGTGATCACTGGGATTAACGTTTGTCTTCACTGGGTAGCCAAGCTCTGAGAAATATGCCTAGCAAAGAAATCACACCGTGGGCCAGAATACATAATATAATAATTACACAACAGAACAACAAGGACAATCAAGGCTTGTTTGCTGCTACTTTAAGTTTCATGCTTACGCAATCATCAGGCAACATGAAGATCGGGTGCCGACCATGCCGGTATATATGCCAGGAGAGGGTGGTATAAAAAGCTGTGTGAGACTGTGGGGGCTAGCGCAGTAGCGGTGATGTTTTAGGCAGGGGGCTGTGTGCAGAGTGTGTGGTTGTTGAAGGCAGGGGCTAGCAGTGCAGCGTGAGCGCGAAGTGTGTGGCTGGTGTGGGCAGGAGGTGGTGAACAATGCGTGTGGATGTTGTAGGCAGGAGGCTGTAGAGCTAGCAGTGTGATAATAGCGCAATGTAAGTGGATATGTCTGGTGTGGGCAGGGTGTTATAAGCAAGGTGTGTGAACGTGAATGGTGTGGGCAGGAGGCTGTGGAGACATGTTTAGGTGACACCATGGTTTTTTAGGAGATACTTGTTCTCGTGTCGGCACTTGGACACCATTTCGGAGCGCTTGTTGAGGCTGGACGGTGACCCTAGCGTGTTCAGGATGTGATACTTTTCTCTGGTACAGAGGGAACACCGCTTCGTGATGTTGGAGTATGCCCGGGCGCGATCTTTTATCCTCCATTCGACTTCGTATTGGGCGTTGGATTTCTTCAGCTTCCAGATGTAGTTGGAGAACTCAGTGCAGCTGGAGTACTTCTCGTATCTTGTTGTAGTCATGTGGTTGGCATGGCGTGACTTGAATGGTGGCGCCGACATACCGGTGTATTCCTTTTTGGTGGGGCCTGACGTTATGGATGCCACATATATCAGCTCCGTCGTTTGGCATTCACCGTTGAGTGGACAAGATGACTTGTCTCGGCAGTTGCAGGGCTTTTCCGGTTTTTTCGTTTGCGGGCAGAGGACCGCTTTGTTGTGGCTTTTGATGCGTGCAGCCATATTTGGCATGCAACTGTAGCTTATCTTGATGGTGTTTTTTGTGAATATTTTTCCGAGCTTCGACTGCGGGGGGAAGTGCTTCTTAATGAGCGCGAGGAATCTTCCACCGATGTTTGTTTTCACATTACGGCTGTAGGGCGGGTTGTACCAAATCACCTTCCTCTTCCTTTTCTTCTTTTTGCTTGTTTTCTGTTTGAACTCTAGCGTGCTAGGGTGGCCGCTGGCGTTGAGGGCCTCCGCGTAGATAGGGATAGCATCACGGAACACCGCCTCTGAGCAGGAGATGCTTGCCAGTCGGTTGTTAATTCCAGCTGGGATGTTCTTAAGGACTTGCGGTGGGTGATTGGAGTTGACGTTGACATACAGTGGGGTGTCGTTGGGTTTTCGGTACGGTTGGTAGGTTCCTGTGGAGAGGCTCATTGTGATGTCTAGGTAGTTAACAGCGTTCAGGTTGATGTCTATCGTGATTTTTAGCCCCAGCGTCTTAAAGGTGTCGATGACAGCTTTCCTTACTTTGTCCGCACTGTGGCCAGTGGCGTTACGGAGGACGGCAAGCCCGTCGTCTCTGTAGAGGCCTACCGAGCCGCTACTGAAGTGCTGTTCGAGTTTACCCAGGAGGAAGGCGCCGACCAGCTCACATGCTTCAGCGCCATCGAAGGATCCCATGGTAACATCGAACAGCCCGTCTCTGTTTTTCTTTGCCCATGTTCGGTTAGCTCCGAATAGCAGTGACTGCCTCGCGTGTAGTATTATGTCGGCGTCACAGTCAGGAATTGCCACGAACTGCTTAGCGTAGGCGAGGGCTAGGCTCAGCAAGTTTTCGGAAATAGATGGATAGAAATCCACTATATCGAACATCACGAACGTGTGGCTAGCCTTCTCCTCGATTGCCCTGAACCAGTTTATGACGGAGGATGTGTTTTTCCATAGGTTGATGTTGGGTTTGTCCCGCAGCGCTTCCACTATGCCGCTCAGTATCTTTCTGCTGATAACGCCTATCTCCGGCTTCGCAGGGTTAATTAGGCGGCATGGTATGTTCCGGGGGAAGTTTTCTTTGTGGTCCTTGATGGTGACGAAAGCTTCTGCCTTTGCCATGGTGTCGATGCGGTCCTCCAGGCCCTTATCAGCAGCGATTTTCTTGGCCTCGTCGTTGATGGTGTCGTAGGAGCCTTCTGGTGCCGCTTGGTAGTTTCTTGTGATGTTGTCGTGGAGTAGCTTCCTGTATTCTTCTGGCGGTATCTTGTAAAGGTTTCGTGTTTTGTCTGCGGGTACGATTATGTCGTTGGAGCTGCTGATCGTTTGTAAGTCTTCCTTCATCTTGTCCTGTAGTTCGTTATGCACGCTTCGGTAAGTCACGCTGCCAATCATCTCATACATATCGTCTTCGAATTTCTTCATCTCGTCCACTTGCGGTGGGCATTTTCTTGTTTTGAATCCGAAGTTTTCTCCTTCTTGGTCGTCTTCTTTTCTGTCACCACGTAGGTAGAATATTGCTCTCCAGCGCATCCTCTTTATGAGTTGTTCCGTCCTTTCAATGAGACGTAGTGTGTACTCCTTGTGGCTGGGCAAGGGGATATTCTTCAGAGAGTATCCGAGGTTGACGCGCCTTGGGGTGTCCATTGTTGGGGTAGCACAGCTAAGGTAAGAGTGCTCTACCACGGGAAGTGGGAGCTAATTCACCGAAGGATGTACCCAGAGTGCTTGACAGTGCTCAACACCACAAAGGCAGAGCGTAATACACAACAGAACAACAAGGACAATCAAGGCTTGTTTGCTGCTACTTTAAGTTTCATGCTCACGCAATCATCAGGCAACATGAAGATCGGGTGCCGACCATGCCGGTATATATGCCAGGAGAGGGTGGTATAAAAAGCTGTGTGAGACTGTGGGGGCTAGCGCAGTAGCGGTGATGTTTTAGGCAGGGGGCTGTGTGCAGAGTGTGTGGTTGTTGAAGGCAGGGGCTAGCAGTGCAGCGTGAGCGCGAAGTGTGTGGCTGGTGTGGGCAGGAGGTGGTGAACAATGCGTGTGGATGTTGTAGGCAGGAGGCTGTAGAGCTAGCAGTGTGATAATAGCGCAATGTAATAATTATAATAATTATATGCATGAACACATACAATACCTTTTAATCCCTCCGGAGGAAATAATGTTGACCGCTGTGATGGCCTATCAAAGGCATAAATCAATAAATCAGCACCATGCCGGCCGGGCAATAGGAATACTAATGTCTACAGCTCCGGGGATTGTTTACATGCAATTGCACCCACTACTACTACCGGCCCGGAAGAGCCTACATCCTCTTGATGTCCTTCATCGGCCAACATGTCATGACTCCACGCTGGCTGTGAGTGTGACGTACATGTAGCATGTGCAAGCCCTCTGCAAAGTACATGTACTATGAAGTGTAGTAGCCCTTTCCCAAAGATGCTCACCACTGTTTCCGCAACTTTTCGTCGTTTTGGAAGAAATCGCAACTTTCGCAAATGTCTTCATTTTCGCGAATTACTATCGCACTTTTCCACAACCTTTGCCCAATGGCATGGGCGTCAAAAGGTGAAGTCACAGACTACACGTTGGACAAATGAATACTCGTTCATTTCTCGTGTGCCTTCAGACTCATTTCAGAGAAACAGTAGATACCTCAGTACGCCCCCCCCCCCCCCCCCGTGGTTGTGTAAAGTGCATTGCCTTTTGCGAGCACTGAAACGATGGAGGATGCGTGCAACAGGCTACTTGCACCGTGTAAAGTTGTGCTTCACAGCAGGAAGGGATAAAGAGTTTGCTGTCTCTGCAATTCTGCTATTTCTGCTCCTTTTCTGGTTGTTTTGGCAACAATGTATGCACAAGAACTCTCTCATTTCAAGTTGCGATGAGCGCAACTGTGGCATTTTTTCTGAAAATATGGATGCGATTTCCGCAACTTGCACTTGTTTTTGGCACGGTTGCGAAAAGAAGAAGTTGCGAAAAAGTATGGAATCTTTGGGAAAGGGCTACTGCCAAGGAGGCCGGGTTGACAGACAGAGTCACGCCCATATCATACGTACCTCTGCTTGCTGCGTGGAACCTTGGAACGCAATTTGACCACCGGGCTGCAGCAGTATGACTTCGTGAAACATCTGGAAGATCTCGAACCTGGGCTGATGTAGTACGGCCACCACTGTCAAGTGGCCCTCTTCAGCAACGCGCCGCAGCGCCTCACACACCTATCAACACATGACACACAAACGCCAGGCCAACGAGAGAGTAATCAGAGGTTGCTCCACAAGCACGGGCATGATGTAATAATTGTAGTCAATCGTATTTTTAGACTGGGTTGGAGAGCCAAGGATTAATTTATAAGAAGAAAAGCGGACGAAAGGACCGTTGGTCCAAGTCGTGCAATGTTATCGCATGAGCAGATTGTAAAGTAACTGGTGGTGTTAGTGGATATTATAGCGTATTAAACTTGTACATGACGCTATTTGGTCCTCTTTTCTTCTTATAAATCATATTTTTGTTTTTGTTTCTCATTGAAGATGGGCCCAGCAAACCCTTGCTGGAGAAAGAATACGGGATGTTGATGTCCAATCGTAGTCCCAGTGTCTGCTCCAGAGCCGGGTGAGTCGGGTAATCGACCCGGTTGGGCGGCGCTTGGACCCAGTTGAAAATATAATACCGGGTCACCTGTGACCCGGTTGGTACTTTCTACACGTTCGAACATTGAAAGGACTGACTACATGGTTTGTATGTGTGACAGATCATGCAGAGGCGCGTGTCGAATACATGTGTACCCGGCTCCGACCCGGTTGAAATGGTTGCGCCAGGTACACGTGTTGCCAGTTGTCCAACAATCCTAGAGCAGACACTGAGTCCACTGGATGTGCAAGTCCATGGAGATCTGTATGTACACTATAGTAACGCGAAGAAAAGAAGTACCCTCAGGCCTCCGAGGACCTTCGTGGGTCGTTCACACCACTGGTTTGTTTCCACGGATGGGGTGCTACATCGCGAATACGCCAGCTATCAGAAGCGACTTGCTGGTCGCCTCGCCCTCAAGTGGGACAAGCCATTTTCAATCACGATGGCTTGGGTGCGAGTTCGCAGCCAATTTGCAGTGATCCATGCAGTCGACCTCCGGCTACGCGGGTCTAGACGGCGCCTGACAGGCCTGTCGACGCAGGATGGTGCTGGGGTAGGCATCGGCCATTGAAAACTGAATTGTGTCTGTTTTACGTGGAATTTCTTGGAGTTTCCCAATGTATTGTACTTGAATAAAATTATATTTTACCTTTCATGGTATCTCAATTTTTTTACGTCTACATGACTTTATTTTGCCCGTAAAAGAGGCCGTTACCCCGTAAAAAAAACACTATAGCTCCCATCTCCTTACTTACACTTACACCGTGATGTCCACTGCTCAACTCGGCGATGATAGCAAGCATCTATGTTAGACATGGCATCTTGTGCTGGGAATACACCATCCATTGCTGTGAATGTGTTTAGTGTTCACAAGCAGTGACTTCTGCATGCACATTGCAACATGGCTGATGCACACGTGGTCTGATCGAATACACAAGTACAACCTCGAGTCTTACCTGCATACTTGAGACACTGTCCAAGCCACTGGTAGGTTCATCCAGGAACAGTAGCGTTGGATCAGCTACCAGCTCCATTCCAATGTTCACTCTCTTGCGCTGACCGCCGGAAATGCCTCGCTTCTCTTCGTCACCGATCTGAGAATCCTTGATATGCATCAGGCCAAGCAGCTCCAGTACCTCATCCACTTTACGATTAATCTCTGGGAATGTTGCACAACCAGACAGTCTGAGAATTCCTTGGTAGTACAGTACCTCCCTGGTGGTTAGCTCTCGGTGCATGATGTCTTCTTGTGGAACAAAGCCTGTGATGCTGCGGTAGGTTGTGATGTTTTCTGGCTTGCCGTTGACCATGATATCTCCCTCCACCGCGCCGTAGTATGCCTTGCCACTCAATGTATTTAGCAGCGTTGTCTTTCCTGCTCCGCTTCCACCCATGATTGCTGTCAGTGTCTTGGGTCGAAGCTTGCCAGTAGCACCTTGCAGCACCTTGACCTTGTTGCTCTTCAACGTTAAACTGAGATTGTGGAATTCAATCTCCATCGTGTAATCCTTGGGGCTCACTGCTCTGGTAGCTTCGGTACCTGCGGGAGTGGCACTGTACCGTTGCTCTGGATCCCCACGAACAACTGTGCTGGGGTTGATGGACTCCATTTCTTCACCATTGCCTTCCTGCTCAGGCGTAAATACCTCATAGCTGCTTGCCCTGCCAGGTAGCCTTGGCGCAACATAAGTGCCAAATGCGGCCTTCAGTTTTTCTTTGTAACGCAGTGCAAGAACGAAGAGTATCACTAGAAAGATGAGGACCAGGTCGAAGATGAGACTCAGGCCGAGACTGTTTTCGATGGGCGCAGATGAACCACGTTTGCATCGTGACAGTATTGGGCAAGGCTGTGGTGACATGCGGCCAGATCTACAATACGAACCTTCCGGGCATGGGATTTTCATGCTGATGTTCGGACAATAGTAGCCTTCCTTGCAGATAACGTGCTGATCCAGTCCAGCCGGTCCACCACAGGTAATGCTGCGTGGATCAGTGCGGTTGCTCATGTCGGGCAGTTGCTGTGTGCCGTAGTCTGGATCACAGGTCACTGGTGGATTTCTGGTTACGTCGATATTCTTCTTGGCAGTTACACAATATGCCCCGAGTGGGCATGGAACAAGACAGATAGTATTTATGGGGCAGTAGAAACCTGCTGGACATGGCAAGACTGCGTTGTTTGTTAGGGACCGATAGTACCCACCCTGACACGCTGGGGTCGTCCAGACGAGAGGGATGCAGTTGTTCCTGTCCGGTGTCAGGTCTTTGCACATAATGGCGTTCGGGTAGGTTTCGTTATGTTTGGGTAGAGGCACGTAGAGTATTTCACCTTCATCTATGCAGGTGTAACCAAGCACCGCATACGGACACTGGGAGCATGCTAGCAGCACTACAGCCAGCGATAGCAACGGGCCACACCACTGCATCGTCTTGTCGTCCTGGTCGATTCAAACAGAAAACACCTACCAGTCAGAATATGAGGCAACACACTGAACAGCAGCAGCAGTAGACGGCGTGGTAAAGAGGCAGAGAATCACCGACTGCTAGTCCAAGTTCCTGTCTCGCCTCTCAATCAGTAGATCTGCTCATTCGAGGATGTGAAGCAAGACCACAATCTGCACTGGATGAATGCGTACTCGGACGAGAGACATCGGACATATGGAGCATTGAAATTAATTCTTTAGTCCTATATCCTCCTTGCGGACGCACTACCGTGCAGACTCGATCTGACTCTGAGCGTCTGTTGGCAGTGTTGCGTGTAGATCTACTTGTAGCGGAGGGGACGAAATGACGGAGCTCCGGAGGTGAGGGGAGACTTGGCGCGCTTATCACACAGGCGTAGACTCTACTGGGCCGTAGACACGGTGGACAGGTAGGGGCTGAGGCCAGGGGCATCTCAAAACGTAAGTCATATCAAGTGTTTGTCTGTAAGTATTGCTCGCCGGGGCTCCCTTCGACATGGTTGAGGATTTGCCAAAATACATGTATGTACGTCTACCATGCATCTAAATCGCTTCGTCGGTGGCTAGCTAGCCGTTAGGTTTGAACGCTAGGCATCATCACTGGATCCCCCTTCACATGACACTTATCACGCGACTCCTGTCAGTACTACCGGTAGTTGATGGATGTCCCGGTCCACGTCGCCGCCACTCTATCACTTATATTATAAGTTATAAGTTTGAAGTAGTTATAATTATCGCTTGGTCTACGAGCATTTCCCCTACTACAAAAATATCAGGGCAGTAGTTGTACTGCCTTTACTGCGGCCAATACTGGGCCAAGCCCAAGCAGTACCTACTTTACTATACCGCATGTAGATCGGACTCGGATCATCCACAATACTGTCAATAGTAGATCTACATGTACATGACATGGTAGACCTACAATACTCAATAGGCTACATAGTATAGCCGATTCGGTTATACTTGGTAGTAGATCTACCATTTTCATACTAGATTATTTTATAATCTGTCCCTGCGGGAATTTGCGGAAAAAAAAATTTGCGGCAGAAAACAACAAAAAATGCGACGAAATGTGCGGAATGATGCAGAACTTGCCAGGAATTCGCGGAATTATTTACAGAAAATTGCGGATTTGGGCCAAATCACGAAATTTGTTGCATCGTATATATCTCAGTACTCCGGAGTAGTACGAGTCGTACTGTGCAAATAACCGACAGGATCATGGAAAGCACTGCGTGAAAAGTGCAGAAAAAGTGAGATATAGTGCAGAAAACAACCAAAAAACGCGGGAAATCGCGGGTTTGGGCGAAAATCACGAAATTTCTTGCATCCGTGGAATCGCGATTTCCTGGAGGGACAATAATGGACTAATGGTTAGGCCGAGTAAAAAAAATTACTAGATGATCGTCCTTTTTTTTGGAAAAATCGGGGAGGGCGGGAGGATTTTATTTTTATTTTTTTACTTTTTACCCTCTCATGCACACAGTGTACACAACAACATCAAGGTTTTTTTTCTCTTTTTTTCTTTTTTTTTCTTTTTTTCTTTTTCTTTCTTCAGCAGATCGATACTGACGTTGTGATATAATACAGTAGTAGTATGTGGTCCATATAGTAAAGAAAGTATTAAACAAAGCGTGCACATGTTTCCTGCATCCGCGATCGGTAAAAAACCAACGATTTCGGCAAAAACTCACGATTTAAAAAATAAAATATTTCTTGGGGCGCTGACAAAAACTGGGGCGGACGGGGACGATCATCTAGCTTTTTTTTTTACTTGGCCTTATGTCCATGTCATAGTACATGACTGAATCTGTACAAAACATTTGCCATGATTGTACATGCTGTACTGGCGAAGCCATGCATGCTCGGGCCGGGGATCACTGATTCACTGGTCCTGTTTCTGGTCACACTGACCAAACAACTGTTGAACTTTTATGCGCAACACTTGCGAAAGAAAATCATCAATAATTATTATTATTATTATCCCACATTGATTTTGTGTGCGACCGTGCATGTACTAGGTGCAAAGTCAGCTCAGCGGGAGAATAAATCTAAAAGTATTACAGCAAAATAGCGGCAATAAAATTAATGTTCTCTATGTCACAGTATGTGAGAGGGGAGTGCACTGTGTGAATTGTTGCATGCCGGTTCACGTGTTAGATATGCAAAGCCAGTGTCAACGGTGTCACATAGCACTATGTTGTGCAGTGTGCAGTGTTCTTGGGTGTGAAACAGACTGGATCTGCTCAACCCAGCAAAGTCTGGTCAAAAGAACGAAAGAAGAAGGGTGAACTGGTGCAGGAACCTTTGCGCAAGCAACTGAGTACCTCGCGTATGCTTATGGAAAACACAGAGCAGGCCCCGTTAAAGCAAACATACACTTGACTGTGAAAGGAAGAACAGAATCAGCGATAAGGATACATGTACAGTCAACTTCGCTAATAACGACTGCGAACATATAACGACAATTCGCGAATAACGACAGAATTTCCATGCCCAGAGCAAAGTCCCATCTAACTGTAATACATATACATGTAATGAGACTTCGGGTAGAAGGACACTTTGCGAATAAGGACGCTTTTCTGATGCCCCGCCGAGTGTCGTTATACATAAAGTTGACTGTACAGGTGGAACCTAGGCGGCGCATATTTCACCAGACCGTCTTTGTTGCCGCCGTGCCTGAACTGTTTCAGTGTTCAGTGCCTGACCGTGACTGGTCTACTTCTGCTGGCCGCGGTGTGTGAACATGAGGCAGATGAGAGCAATGATTCGAGACACCAGGCCAAACACAAACAGAATACCGATGCACAGTGCGAAATGGTCAAGTGGGTAGCCTTGGTAGCTTGAGTAAAGGGCAACTTCCTGGATGTGCACAGGCGGATAGCGGTTTGCCTCCTTTTCAAACAATGCTTCTACAAACCAGCGTGCAAATGACAACGAGTAGAGGACAGGGCCGAGGGCCTGTTTCTTCATCTTGCATAACGATGGCTGAGCACCGGACATCATGGCCGACACAAGTACCAGAACCACTGTGGCCATCTGTGAACTACGACTGTTGAATATTGTTGAGATGAGATAGCCAAGTCCATGGCTGGCCCAGACCAGCATGAGAATAGCTGTGTAGTAATCACGAAACAGGGCGCGTGGTGACACTAACGCATAGAACAGGCTGAGGAAGACAAGCGGTGTGAAGACGATGATCGGAATCTGCGAGATGTTGGTAGCAAGGAAGTATGCTGGACGATTGATTCCTGCCGCACTCTCTCGCCAGAAGACGGGTTTGCAGCTGCCAAAGCATCGGAGTGCAGCCAGCATACTTGTCAAAGCTACTGCCATGCTGGTCATACACAGCAGCAGTGTCAGCTTGCGTAGCAGGATCTCGCGGTACAGCGCACCGAGGACGGCGCCCGCAATCAGCACCAGCAGCTGATCAAGTATCAACACACTGAGTTGACGAATCTGAACAATAAGACACAAATCGGCGAAATCCTAAGAATCCGAATGACCCGGCAACACATTCTAAAATACAGTGAACCTCAATCGAGCACATTCTCACAACATAGCTATGTGCAGTGCACTACAAACGAACACGATAAAGTAATACTATTTTCTCCAGAATTTCTCCTGATTCACACTTGAGTGCAAAGTTTGGGACAGGGGAGGGTAGCTGCGATTGCCATGACATAGATTTCAAATGCTAAGTACGGTATTAGGGTTTATCACATAGCCACTCTTCCGCACCCCACACTCACACTTTTTGCTGAAAAGAAAACACATACCAAATTTGGCAGAAGTCTGTCAAGGAAGGAAGGAGCCACCTTTGCATCATTCGAATTATTGGAATTTCATGCATTTGATATCAAATATATTGACCCAGCTTCACCCTACTCATCAAACATCAAACATGTATGTTTGGTCGTGCATACCTGCAGAACAAATGCCCGGCGAATGAAGAACAGCAACTGTATCCAGAATGCAGGTGCTTTCCTTGGTGTGAACTGCTGTGTGCTGGCTTGCCGCTCTGGTGGTGCCGATGATGCACCACCATCAGTAGTCATGCTGGATTGTCTCATTGTCCACAAATCTCCAAGGCTGGTCAGTGCCATGGCTGTATTGCCATCCGCTGAATCATTAGTAGCTGTGGAGGATGTGGCGTGCTTCTTGGCGGACTTGGCTTTCTTGTTATGATCGTTGATGACATCCAGATAGTGATCACTGGGATTAACGTTTGTCTTCACTGGGTAGCCAAGCTCTGAGAAATATGCCTAGCAAAGAAATCACACCGTGGGCCAGAATACATAATATAATAATTACACAACAGAACAACAAGGACAATCAAGGCTTGTTTGCTGCTACTTTAAGTTTCATGCTTACGCAATCATCAGGCAACATGAAGATCGGGTGCCGACCATGCCGGTATATATGCCAGGAGAGGGTGGTATAAAAAGCTGTGTGAGACTGTGGGGGCTAGCGCAGTAGCGGTGATGTTTTAGGCAGGGGGCTGTGTGCAGAGTGTGTGGTTGTTGAAGGCAGGGGCTAGCAGTGCAGCGTGAGCGCGAAGTGTGTGGCTGGTGTGGGCAGGAGGTGGTGAACAATGCGTGTGGATGTTGTAGGCAGGAGGCTGTAGAGCTAGCAGTGTGATAATAGCGCAATGTAAGTGGATATGTCTGGTGTGGGCAGGGTGTTATAAGCAAGGTGTGTGAACGTGAATGGTGTGGGCAGGAGGCTGTGGAGACATGTTTAGGTGACACCATGGTTTTTTAGGAGATACTTGTTCTCGTGTCGGCACTTGGACACCATTTCGGAGCGCTTGTTGAGGCTGGACGGTGACCCTAGCGTGTTCAGGATGTGATACTTTTCTCTGGTACAGAGGGAACACCGCTTCGTGATGTTGGAGTATGCCCGGGCGCGATCTTTTATCCTCCATTCGACTTCGTATTGGGCGTTGGATTTCTTCAGCTTCCAGATGTAGTTGGAGAACTCAGTGCAGCTGGAGTACTTCTCGTATCTTGTTGTAGTCATGTGGTTGGCATGGCGTGACTTGAATGGTGGCGCCGACATACCGGTGTATTCCTTTTTGGTGGGGCCTGACGTTATGGATGCCACATATATCAGCTCCGTCGTTTGGCATTCACCGTTGAGTGGACAAGATGACTTGTCTCGGCAGTTGCAGGGCTTTTCCGGTTTTTTCGTTTGCGGGCAGAGGACCGCTTTGTTGTGGCTTTTGATGCGTGCAGCCATATTTGGCATGCAACTGTAGCTTATCTTGATGGTGTTTTTTGTGAATATTTTTCCGAGCTTCGACTGCGGGGGGAAGTGCTTCTTAATGAGCGCGAGGAATCTTCCACCGATGTTTGTTTTCACATTACGGCTGTAGGGCGGGTTGTACCAAATCACCTTCCTCTTCCTTTTCTTCTTTTTGCTTGTTTTCTGTTTGAACTCTAGCGTGCTAGGGTGGCCGCTGGCGTTGAGGGCCTCCGCGTAGATAGGGATAGCATCACGGAACACCGCCTCTGAGCAGGAGATGCTTGCCAGTCGGTTGTTAATTCCAGCTGGGATGTTCTTAAGGACTTGCGGTGGGTGATTGGAGTTGACGTTGACATACAGTGGGGTGTCGTTGGGTTTTCGGTACGGTTGGTAGGTTCCTGTGGAGAGGCTCATTGTGATGTCTAGGTAGTTAACAGCGTTCAGGTTGATGTCTATCGTGATTTTTAGCCCCAGCGTCTTAAAGGTGTCGATGACAGCTTTCCTTACTTTGTCCGCACTGTGGCCAGTGGCGTTACGGAGGACGGCAAGCCCGTCGTCTCTGTAGAGGCCTACCGAGCCGCTACTGAAGTGCTGTTCGAGTTTACCCAGGAGGAAGGCGCCGACCAGCTCACATGCTTCAGCGCCATCGAAGGATCCCATGGTAACATCGAACAGCCCGTCTCTGTTTTTCTTTGCCCATGTTCGGTTAGCTCCGAATAGCAGTGACTGCCTCGCGTGTAGTATTATGTCGGCGTCACAGTCAGGAATTGCCACGAACTGCTTAGCGTAGGCGAGGGCTAGGCTCAGCAAGTTTTCGGAAATAGATGGATAGAAATCCACTATATCGAACATCACGAACGTGTGGCTAGCCTTCTCCTCGATTGCCCTGAACCAGTTTATGACGGAGGATGTGTTTTTCCATAGGTTGATGTTGGGTTTGTCCCGCAGCGCTTCCACTATGCCGCTCAGTATCTTTCTGCTGATAACGCCTATCTCCGGCTTCGCAGGGTTAATTAGGCGGCATGGTATGTTCCGGGGGAAGTTTTCTTTGTGGTCCTTGATGGTGACGAAAGCTTCTGCCTTTGCCATGGTGTCGATGCGGTCCTCCAGGCCCTTATCAGCAGCGATTTTCTTGGCCTCGTCGTTGATGGTGTCGTAGGAGCCTTCTGGTGCCGCTTGGTAGTTTCTTGTGATGTTGTCGTGGAGTAGCTTCCTGTATTCTTCTGGCGGTATCTTGTAAAGGTTTCGTGTTTTGTCTGCGGGTACGATTATGTCGTTGGAGCTGCTGATCGTTTGTAAGTCTTCCTTCATCTTGTCCTGTAGTTCGTTATGCACGCTTCGGTAAGTCACGCTGCCAATCATCTCATACATATCGTCTTCGAATTTCTTCATCTCGTCCACTTGCGGTGGGCATTTTCTTGTTTTGAATCCGAAGTTTTCTCCTTCTTGGTCGTCTTCTTTTCTGTCACCACGTAGGTAGAATATTGCTCTCCAGCGCATCCTCTTTATGAGTTGTTCCGTCCTTTCAATGAGACGTAGTGTGTACTCCTTGTGGCTGGGCAAGGGGATATTCTTCAGAGAGTATCCGAGGTTGACGCGCCTTGGGGTGTCCATTGTTGGGGTAGCACAGCTAAGGTAAGAGTGCTCTACCACGGGAAGTGGGAGCTAATTCACCGAAGGATGTACCCAGAGTGCTTGACAGTGCTCAACACCACAAAGGCAGAGCGTAATACACAACAGAACAACAAGGACAATCAAGGCTTGTTTGCTGCTACTTTAAGTTTCATGCTTACGCAATCATCAGGCAACATGAAGATCGGGTGCCGACCATGCCGGTATATATGCCAGGAGAGGGTGGTATAAAAAGCTGTGTGAGACTGTGGGGGCTAGCGCAGTAGCGGTGATGTTTTAGGCAGGGGGCTGTGTGCAGAGTGTGTGGTTGTTGAAGGCAGGGGCTAGCAGTGCAGCGTGAGCGCGAAGTGTGTGGCTGGTGTGGGCAGGAGGTGGTGAACAATGCGTGTGGATGTTGTAGGCAGGAGGCTGTAGAGCTAGCAGTGTGATAATAGCGCAATGTAATAATTATAATAATTATATGCATGAACACATACAATACCTTTTAATCCCTCCGGAGGAAATAATGTTGACCGCTGTGATGGCCTATCAAAGGCATAAATCAATAAATCAGCACCATGCCGGCCGGGCAATAGGAATACTAATGTCTACAGCTCCGGGGATTGTTTACATGCAATTGCACCCACTACTACTACCGGCCCGGAAGAGCCTACATCCTCTTGATGTCCTTCATCGGCCAACATGTCATGACTCCACGCTGGCTGTGAGTGTGACGTACATGTAGCATGTGCAAGCCCTCTGCAAAGTACATGTACTATGAAGTGTAGTAGCCCTTTCCCAAAGATGCTCACCACTGTTTCCGCAACTTTTCGTCGTTTTGGAAGAAATCGCAACTTTCGCAAATGTCTTCATTTTCGCGAATTACTATCGCACTTTTCCACAACCTTTGCCCAATGGCATGGGCGTCAAAAGGTGAAGTCACAGACTACACGTTGGACAAATGAATACTCGTTCATTTCTCGTGTGCCTTCAGACTCATTTCAGAGAAACAGTAGATACCTCAGTACGCCCCCCCCCCCCCCCCGTGGTTGTGTAAAGTGCATTGCCTTTTGCGAGCACTGAAACGATGGAGGATGCGTGCAACAGGCTACTTGCACCGTGTAAAGTTGTGCTTCACAGCAGGAAGGGATAAAGAGTTTGCTGTCTCTGCAATTCTGCTATTTCTGCTCCTTTTCTGGTTGTTTTGGCAACAATGTATGCACAAGAACTCTCTCATTTCAAGTTGCGATGAGCGCAACTGTGGCATTTTTTCTGAAAATATGGATGCGATTTCCGCAACTTGCACTTGTTTTTGGCACGGTTGCGAAAAGAAGAAGTTGCGAAAAAGTATGGAATCTTTGGGAAAGGGCTACTGCCAAGGAGGCCGGGTTGACAGACAGAGTCACGCCCATATCATACGTACCTCTGCTTGCTGCGTGGAACCTTGGAACGCAATTTGACCACCGGGCTGCAGCAGTATGACTTCGTGAAACATCTGGAAGATCTCGAACCTGGGCTGATGTAGTACGGCCACCACTGTCAAGTGGCCCTCTTCAGCAACGCGCCGCAGCGCCTCACACACCTATCAACACATGACACACAAACGCCAGGCCAACGAGAGAGTAATCAGAGGTTGCTCCACAAGCACGGGCATGATGTAATAATTGTAGTCAATCGTATTTTTAGACTGGGTTGGAGAGCCAAGGATTAATTTATAAGAAGAAAAGCGGACGAAAGGACCGTTGGTCCAAGTCGTGCAATGTTATCGCATGAGCAGATTGTAAAGTAACTGGTGGTGTTAGTGGATATTATAGCGTATTAAACTTGTACATGACGCTATTTGGTCCTCTTTTCTTCTTATAAATCATATTTTTGTTTTTGTTTCTCATTGAAGATGGGCCCAGCAAACCCTTGCTGGAGAAAGAATACGGGATGTTGATGTCCAATCGTAGTCCCAGTGTCTGCTCCAGAGCCGGGTGAGTCGGGTAATCGACCCGGTTGGGCGGCGCTTGGACCCAGTTGAAAATATAATACCGGGTCACCTGTGACCCGGTTGGTACTTTCTACACGTTCGAACATTGAAAGGACTGACTACATGGTTTGTATGTGTGACAGATCATGCAGAGGCGCGTGTCGAATACATGTGTACCCGGCTCCGACCCGGTTGAAATGGTTGCGCCAGGTACACGTGTTGCCAGTTGTCCAACAATCCTAGAGCAGACACTGAGTCCACTGGATGTGCAAGTCCATGGAGATCTGTATGTACACTATAGTAACGCGAAGAAAAGAAGTACCCTCAGGCCTCCGAGGACCTTCGTGGGTCGTTCACACCACTGGTTTGTTTCCACGGATGGGGTGCTACATCGCGAATACGCCAGCTATCAGAAGCGACTTGCTGGTCGCCTCGCCCTCAAGTGGGACAAGCCATTTTCAATCACGATGGCTTGGGTGCGAGTTCGCAGCCAATTTGCAGTGATCCATGCAGTCGACCTCCGGCTACGCGGGTCTAGACGGCGCCTGACAGGCCTGTCGACGCAGGATGGTGCTGGGGTAGGCATCGGCCATTGAAAACTGAATTGTGTCTGTTTTACGTGGAATTTCTTGGAGTTTCCCAATGTATTGTACTTGAATAAAATTATATTTTACCTTTCATGGTATCTCAATTTTTTTACGTCTACATGACTTTATTTTGCCCGTAAAAGAGGCCGTTACCCCGTAAAAAAAACACTATAGCTCCCATCTCCTTACTTACACTTACACCGTGATGTCCACTGCTCAACTCGGCGATGATAGCAAGCATCTATGTTAGACATGGCATCTTGTGCTGGGAATACACCATCCATTGCTGTGAATGTGTTTAGTGTTCACAAGCAGTGACTTCTGCATGCACATTGCAACATGGCTGATGCACACGTGGTCTGATCGAATACACAAGTACAACCTCGAGTCTTACCTGCATACTTGAGACACTGTCCAAGCCACTGGTAGGTTCATCCAGGAACAGTAGCGTTGGATCAGCTACCAGCTCCATTCCAATGTTCACTCTCTTGCGCTGACCGCCGGAAATGCCTCGCTTCTCTTCGTCACCGATCTGAGAATCCTTGATATGCATCAGGCCAAGCAGCTCCAGTACCTCATCCACTTTACGATTAATCTCTGGGAATGTTGCACAACCAGACAGTCTGAGAATTCCTTGGTAGTACAGTACCTCCCTGGTGGTTAGCTCTCGGTGCATGATGTCTTCTTGTGGAACAAAGCCTGTGATGCTGCGGTAGGTTGTGATGTTTTCTGGCTTGCCGTTGACCATGATATCTCCCTCCACCGCGCCGTAGTATGCCTTGCCACTCAATGTATTTAGCAGCGTTGTCTTTCCTGCTCCGCTTCCACCCATGATTGCTGTCAGTGTCTTGGGTCGAAGCTTGCCAGTAGCACCTTGCAGCACCTTGACCTTGTTGCTCTTCAACGTTAAACTGAGATTGTGGAATTCAATCTCCATCGTGTAATCCTTGGGGCTCACTGCTCTGGTAGCTTCGGTACCTGCGGGAGTGGCACTGTACCGTTGCTCTGGATCCCCACGAACAACTGTGCTGGGGTTGATGGACTCCATTTCTTCACCATTGCCTTCCTGCTCAGGCGTAAATACCTCATAGCTGCTTGCCCTGCCAGGTAGCCTTGGCGCAACATAAGTGCCAAATGCGGCCTTCAGTTTTTCTTTGTAACGCAGTGCAAGAACGAAGAGTATCACTAGAAAGATGAGGACCAGGTCGAAGATGAGACTCAGGCCGAGACTGTTTTCGATGGGCGCAGATGAACCACGTTTGCATCGTGACAGTATTGGGCAAGGCTGTGGTGACATGCGGCCAGATCTACAATACGAACCTTCCGGGCATGGGATTTTCATGCTGATGTTCGGACAATAGTAGCCTTCCTTGCAGATAACGTGCTGATCCAGTCCAGCCGGTCCACCACAGGTAATGCTGCGTGGATCAGTGCGGTTGCTCATGTCGGGCAGTTGCTGTGTGCCGTAGTCTGGATCACAGGTCACTGGTGGATTTCTGGTTACGTCGATATTCTTCTTGGCAGTTACACAATATGCCCCGAGTGGGCATGGAACAAGACAGATAGTATTTATGGGGCAGTAGAAACCTGCTGGACATGGCAAGACTGCGTTGTTTGTTAGGGACCGATAGTACCCACCCTGACACGCTGGGGTCGTCCAGACGAGAGGGATGCAGTTGTTCCTGTCCGGTGTCAGGTCTTTGCACATAATGGCGTTCGGGTAGGTTTCGTTATGTTTGGGTAGAGGCACGTAGAGTATTTCACCTTCATCTATGCAGGTGTAACCAAGCACCGCATACGGACACTGGGAGCATGCTAGCAGCACTACAGCCAGCGATAGCAACGGGCCACACCACTGCATCGTCTTGTCGTCCTGGTCGATTCAAACAGAAAACACCTACCAGTCAGAATATGAGGCAACACACTGAACAGCAGCAGCAGTAGACGGCGTGGTAAAGAGGCAGAGAATCACCGACTGCTAGTCCAAGTTCCTGTCTCGCCTCTCAATCAGTAGATCTGCTCATTCGAGGATGTGAAGCAAGACCACAATCTGCACTGGATGAATGCGTACTCGGACGAGAGACATCGGACATATGGAGCATTGAAATTAATTCTTTAGTCCTATATCCTCCTTGCGGACGCACTACCGTGCAGACTCGATCTGACTCTGAGCGTCTGTTGGCAGTGTTGCGTGTAGATCTACTTGTAGCGGAGGGGACGAAATGACGGAGCTCCGGAGGTGAGGGGAGACTTGGCGCGCTTATCACACAGGCGTAGACTCTACTGGGCCGTAGACACGGTGGACAGGTAGGGGCTGAGGGGCATCTCAAAACGTAAGTCATATCAAGTGTTTGTCTGTAAGTATTGCTCGCCGGGGCTCCCTTCGACATGGTTGAGGATTTGCCAAAATACATGTATGTACGTCTACCATGCATCTAAATCGCTTCGTCGGTGGCTAGCTAGCCGTTAGGTTTGAACGCTAGGCATCATCACTGGATCCCCCTTCACATGACACTTATCACGCGACTCCTGTCAGTACTACCGGTAGTTGATGGATGTCCCGGTCCACGTCGCCGCCACTCTATCACTTATATTATAAGTTATAAGTTTGAAGTAGTTATAATTATCGCTTGGTCTACGAGCATTTCCCCTACTACAAAAATATCAGGGCAGTAGTTGTACTGCCTTTACTGCGGCCAATACTGGGCCAAGCCCAAGCAGTACCTACTTTACTATACCGCATGTAGATCGGACTCGGATCATCCACAATACTGTCAATAGTAGATCTACATGTACATGACATGGTAGACCTACAATACTCAATAGGCTACATAGTATAGCCGATTCGGTTATACTTGGTAGTAGATCTACCATTTTCATACTAGATTATTTTTATAATCTGTCCCTGCGGGAATTTGCGGAAAAAAAATTTGCGGCAGAAAACAACAAAAAATGCGACGAAATGTGCGGAATGATGCAGAACTTGCCAGGAATTCGCGGAATTATTTACAGAAAATTGCGGATTTGGGCCAAATCACGAAATTTGTTGCATCGTATTATATCTCAGTACTCCGGAGTAGTACGAGTCGTACTGTGCAAATAACCGACAGGATCATGGAAAGCACTGCGTGAAAAGTGCAGAAAAAGTGAGATATAGTGCAGAAAACAACCAAAAAACGCGGGAAATCGCGGGTTTGGGCGAAAATCACGAAATTTCTTGCATCCGTGGAATCGCGATTTCCTGGAGGGACAATAATGGACTAATGGTTAGGCCGAGTAAAAAAAATTACTAGATGATCGTCCTTTTTTTTGGAAAAATCGGGGAGGGCGGGAGGATTTTATTTTTATTTTTTTACTTTTTACCCTCTCATGCACACAGTGTACACAACAACATCAAGGTTTTTTTTCTCTTTTTTTCTTTTTTTTTCTTTTTTTCTTTTTCTTTCTTCAGCAGATCGATACTGTACTGACGTTGTGATATACTAGTAGTATGTGGTCCATATAGTAAAGAAAGTATTAAACAAAGCGTGCACATGTTTCCTGCATCCGCGATCGGTAAAAAACCAACGATTTCGGCAAAAACTCACGATTTAAAAAATAAAATATTTCTTGGGGCGCTGACAAAAACTGGGGCGGACGGGGACGATCATCTAGCTTTTTTTTTTACTTGGCCTTATGTCCATGTCATAGTACATGACTGAATCTGTACAAAACATTTGCCATGATTGTACATGCTGTACTGGCGAAGCCATGCATGCTCGGGCCGGGGATCACTGATTCACTGGTCCTGTTTCTGGTCACACTGACCAAACAACTGTTGAACTTTTATGCGCAACACTTGCGAAAGAAAATCATCAATAATTATTATTATTATTATCCCACATTGATTTTGTGTGCGACCGTGCATGTACTAGGTGCAAAGTCAGCTCAGCGGGAGAATAAATCTAAAAGTATTACAGCAAAATAGCGGCAATAAAATTAATGTTCTCTATGTCACAGTATGTGAGAGGGGAGTGCACTGTGTGAATTGTTGCATGCCGGTTCACGTGTTAGATATGCAAAGCCAGTGTCAACGGTGTCACATAGCACTATGTTGTGCAGTGTGCAGTGTTCTTGGGTGTGAAACAGACTGGATCTGCTCAACCCAGCAAAGTCTGGTCAAAAGAACGAAAGAAGAAGGGTGAACTGGTGCAGGAACCTTTGCGCAAGCAACTGAGTACCTCGCGTATGCTTATGGAAAACACAGAGCAGGCCCCGTTAAAGCAAACATACACTTGACTGTGAAAGGAAGAACAGAATCAGCGATAAGGATACATGTACAGTCAACTTCGCTAATAACGACTGCGAACATATAACGACAATTCGCGAATAACGACAGAATTTCCATGCCCAGAGCAAAGTCCCATCTAACTGTAATACATATACATGTAATGAGACTTCGGGTAGAAGGACACTTTGCGAATAAGGACGCTTTTCTGATGCCCCGCCGAGTGTCGTTATACATAAAGTTGACTGTACAGGTGGAACCTAGGCGGCGCATATTTCACCAGACCGTCTTTGTTGCCGCCGTGCCTGAACTGTTTCAGTGTTCAGTGCCTGACCGTGACTGGTCTACTTCTGCTGGCCGCGGTGTGTGAACATGAGGCAGATGAGAGCAATGATTCGAGACACCAGGCCAAACACAAACAGAATACCGATGCACAGTGCGAAATGGTCAAGTGGGTAGCCTTGGTAGCTTGAGTAAAGGGCAACTTCCTGGATGTGCACAGGCGGATAGCGGTTTGCCTCCTTTTCAAACAATGCTTCTACAAACCAGCGTGCAAATGACAACGAGTAGAGGACAGGGCCGAGGGCCTGTTTCTTCATCTTGCATAACGATGGCTGAGCACCGGACATCATGGCCGACACAAGTACCAGAACCACTGTGGCCATCTGTGAACTACGACTGTTGAATATTGTTGAGATGAGATAGCCAAGTCCATGGCTGGCCCAGACCAGCATGAGAATAGCTGTGTAGTAATCACGAAACAGGGCGCGTGGTGACACTAACGCATAGAACAGGCTGAGGAAGACAAGCGGTGTGAAGACGATGATCGGAATCTGCGAGATGTTGGTAGCAAGGAAGTATGCTGGACGATTGATTCCTGCCGCACTCTCTCGCCAGAAGACGGGTTTGCAGCTGCCAAAGCATCGGAGTGCAGCCAGCATACTTGTCAAAGCTACTGCCATGCTGGTCATACACAGCAGCAGTGTCAGCTTGCGTAGCAGGATCTCGCGGTACAGCGCACCGAGGACGGCGCCCGCAATCAGCACCAGCAGCTGATCAAGTATCAACACACTGAGTTGACGAATCTGAACAATAAGACACAAATCGGCGAAATCCTAAGAATCCGAATGACCCGGCAACACATTCTAAAATACAGTGAACCTCAATCGAGCACATTCTCACAACATAGCTATGTGCAGTGCACTACAAACGAACACGATAAAGTAATACTATTTTCTCCAGAATTTCTCCTGATTCACACTTGAGTGCAAAGTTTGGGACAGGGGAGGGTAGCTGCGATTGCCATGACATAGATTTCAAATGCTAAGTACGGTATTAGGGTTTATCACATAGCCACTCTTCCGCACCCCACACTCACACTTTTTGCTGAAAAGAAAACACATACCAAATTTGGCAGAAGTCTGTCAAGGAAGGAAGGAGCCACCTTTGCATCATTCGAATTATTGGAATTTCATGCATTTGATATCAAATATATTGACCCAGCTTCACCCTACTCATCAAACATCAAACATGTATGTTTGGTCGTGCATACCTGCAGAACAAATGCCCGGCGAATGAAGAACAGCAACTGTATCCAGAATGCAGGTGCTTTCCTTGGTGTGAACTGCTGTGTGCTGGCTTGCCGCTCTGGTGGTGCCGATGATGCACCACCATCAGTAGTCATGCTGGATTGTCTCATTGTCCACAAATCTCCAAGGCTGGTCAGTGCCATGGCTGTATTGCCATCCGCTGAATCATTAGTAGCTGTGGAGGATGTGGCGTGCTTCTTGGCGGACTTGGCTTTCTTGTTATGATCGTTGATGACATCCAGATAGTGATCACTGGGATTAACGTTTGTCTTCACTGGGTAGCCAAGCTCTGAGAAATATGCCTAGCAAAGAAATCACACCGTGGGCCAGAATACATAATATATAATAATAATATATGCATGAACACATACAATACCTTTTAATCCCTCCGGAGGAAATAATGTTGACCGCTGTGATGGCCTATCAAAGGCATAAATCAATAAATCAGCACCATGCCGGCCGGGCAATAGGAATAATAATGTCTACAGCTCCGGGGATTGTTTACATGCAATTGCACCCACTACTACTACCGGCCCGGAAGAGCCTACATCCTCTTGATGTCCTTCATTGGCCAACATGTCATAACTCCACGCTGGCTGTGAGTGTGACGTACATGTAGTATGTGCAAGCCCTCTGCAAAGTACATGTACTATGAAGTGTAGTAGCCCTTTCCCAAAGATGCTCACCACTGTTTCCGCAACTTTTTGTCGTTTTGGAAGAAATCGCAACTTTCGCAAATTTCTTCATTTTCGCGAATTACTATCGCACCTTTCCACAACCTTTGCCCAATGGCATGGGCGTCAAAAGGTGAAGTCACAGACTACACGTTGGACAAATGAATACTCGTTCATTTCTCGTGTGCCTTCAGACTCATTTCAGAGAAACAGTAGATACCTCAGTACGCCCCCCCCCCCCCCGTGGTTGTGTAAAATGCATTGCCTTTTGCGAGCACTGAAACGATGGAGGATGCGTGCAACAGGCTACTTGCACTGTGTAAAGTTGTGCTTCACAGCAGGAAGGGATAAAGAGTTTGCTGTCTCTGCACTTCAGCTATTTCTGCTCCTTTTCTGGTTGTTTTGGCATCAATGTATGCACAAGAACTCTCTCTCATTTCAAGTTCCGATGAGCGCAACTGTGGCGTTTTTTTCTGAAAATATGGATGCAATTTCCGCAACTTTCACTTTTTTTTGGCACGGTTGCGAAAAGAAGAATTTTCGAAAAAGTATGGAATCTTTGGGAAAGGGCTACTGCCAAGGAAGCCAGGTTGACAGACAGAGTCACGCCCATATCATACGTACCTCTGCTTGCTGCGTGGAACCTTGGAACGCAATTTGACCACCGGGCTGCAGCAGTATGACTTCGTGAAACATCTGGAAGATCTCGAACCTGGGCTGATGTAGTACGGCCACCACTGTCAAGTGGCCCTCTTCAGCAACGCGCCGCAGCGCCTCACACACCTATCAACACAGTCATGACACACAAACACCAGGCCAACGAGAGAGTAATCAGAGGTTGCTCCACAAGCACTGGCATGATGTAATAATTGTAGTCAATCGTATTTTTAGCCTGGGGTGGAGAGCCAAGGATTAATTTATAAGAAGAAAAGCGGACGAAAGGACCGTTGGTCCAAGTCGTGCAATGTTATCGCATGAGCTGATTGTAAAGTAACTGGTGGTGTTAGTGGATATTATAGCATAATTGTACATTCACATGTAGCTATTTGGTCCTCTTTTCTTCTTATAAATCATATTTTTGTTTTTGTTTCTCATCGAAGATGGGCCCAGCAAACCCTTGCTGGAGAAAGTGTAAGTCCATGGAGATGTGTATGTACACTATAGCTGCCATCTCCTTACTTACACTTACACTGTGATGTCCACTGCTCAACTCGGCCATGATAGCAAACATCTATGTGAGACATGGCATCTTGTGCTGGGACTGCACCATCTATTGCCGCGAGTGTGTTTAGTGCTCACAAGGAGTGACTTCTGCATGCACATTGCAACATGGCTGATGAACACGTGGTCTGATCGAATACATGTACACAATTACAACCTTGAGTCTTACCTGCATACTTGAGACACTGTCCAAGCCACTGGTAGGTTCATCCAAGAACAGTAGCGTTGGATCAGCTACCAGCTCCATTCCAATGTTCACTCTCTTACGCTGGCCGCCGGAAATGCCTCGCTTCTCTTCGTCACCGATCTGAGAATCCTTGATATGCATCAGGCCAAGCAGCTCCAGTACCTCATCCACTTTACGATTAATCTCTGGGAATGTTGCACAACCAGACAGTCTGAGAATTCCTTGGTAGTACAGTACCTCCCTGGTGGTTAGCTCTCGGTGCATGATGTCTTCTTGTGGAACAAAGCCTGTGATGCTGCGGTGGGTTGTGATGTTTTCTGGCTTGCCGTTGACCATGATATCTCCCTCCACCGCGCCGTAGTATGCCTTGCCACTCAATGTATTTAGCAGCGTTGTCTTTCCTGCTCCGCTTCCACCCATGATTGCTGTCAGTGTCTTGGGTCGAAGCTTGCCAGTAGCACCTTGCAGCACCTTGACCTTGTTGCTCTTCAACGTTAAACTGAGATTGTGGAATTCAATCTCCATTGTGTAATCTTTTGGGTTCACTGCTCTGGTAGCTTCGGTACCTGCGGGAGTGGCACCGTACCGTTGCTCTGGATCCCCACGAGCAACTGTGCTGGGGTTGATGGACTCCATTTCTTCAGCATTGCCTTCCTGCTCAGACGTAAATACCTCATAGCTGCATGCCCTGCCAGGTAGCCTTGGCGCAACATAAGTGCCAAATGCGGCCTTCAGTTTTTCTTTGTAACGCAGTGCAAGAACGAAGAGTATCACTAGAAAGATGAGGACCAGGTCGAAGATGAGACTCAGGCCGAGACTGTTTTCAATGGGCGCAGATGAACCACGTTTGCATCGTGACAGTATTGGGCAAGGCTGTGGTGATATTCGGCCAGATCTACAATACGAACCTTCCGGGCATGGGATTTTCATGCTGATGTTCGGACAATAGTAGCCTTCCTTGCAGATAACGTGCTGATCCAGTCCAGCCGGTCCACCACAGGTAATGCTGCGTGGATCAGTGCGGTTGCTCATGTCAGGCAGTTGCTGTGTGCCGTAGTCTGGATCACAGGTCACTGGTGGATTTCTGGTTACGTCGATATTCTTCTTGGCAGTTACACAATATGCCCCGAGTGGGCATGGAACAAGACAGATAGTATTTATGGGGCAGTAGAAACCTGCTGGACATGGCAAGACTACGTTGTTTGTTAGGGACCGATAGTACCCACCCTGACACGCTGGGGTCGTCCAGACGAGAGGGATGCAGTTGTTCCTGTCCGGTGTCAAGTCTTTGCACATAATGGCGTTCGGGTAGGTTTCGTTATGTTTGGGTATAGGCACGTAGAGTATTTCACCTTCATCTATGCAGGAGTAACCAAGCACCGCATACGGACACTGGGAGCATGCTAGCAGCACTACAGCCAGCGATAGCAACGGGCCACACCACTGCATCGTCGTGTCGTCCTGGTCGATTCAAACAGAAAATACCTACCAGTCAGAATATGAGGCCAGACACTGAACAGCAGCAGCAGTAGACGGCGTGGTAAAGAGGCAGAGAATCACCTACTGCTAGTCCAAGTTCCTGTCTCGCCTCTCAATCAGTAGATCTGCTCATTCGAAGATGTGAAGCAAGGCCACAATCTGCACTGGATGAATGCGTACTCGGACGAGAGACATCGGACATATGGAGCATTGAAATTAATTCTTTAGTCCTATCCTCCTTGCGGACGCATTACCGTGCAGACTCGATCTGACTCTGAGCGTCTGTTGGCAGTGTTGCGTGTACTTGTAGCGGAGGGGACGAAGTGACGGAGCTCCGGAGGTGAGGGGAGACTTGGCGCGCTTTTCATACAGCTACCCGTACTCATGGTACTGGGCCGTAGACACGGTGGACAGGTACATGTAGGGGGCCAGGGGCTGAGGGGCGTCTCAAAACGTAAGTCATATCAAGTGTTTGTCTGTAAGTATTGCTCGCCGGGGCTCCCTTCGACATGGTTGAAGATTTGCCAAAATTCATGTATGTACGTCTACCATGCATCTAAATCGCTTCGTCGGTGGATAGCTAGCCGTTAGGTTTGAACGCTAGGCATCATCACTAGACATTATCCCCTTCACATGACACTTATCGCGCGACTACTGTCACTCCTAGTTGATGGATGTCCAAGTCGCCGCCACACTACAGTCGACCTACCCTTATAACGATAACCTCTATAACGATATTACCCTTATAACGATATTTTTCTGCCAAACCAAATCACTCCATTGACTTGTGTATACAATGCCTTGGTTGGTTGGTTGGTTTTTATTTCACTTCGCACATTCAAACGGGATGACGACCCAATAAAATGACGGCGAAGGCTTAGCCTAGAAGTGGCTATGGAAGAACATAGTAAAAGCTATGGAAGCACATAGTAAGAGAATAGGATACTAATAACTGCGGGTAAACGGGGGGAGAGAGAGAATACGATGTATCTGTGATACTACTTGCGGGTTACTGAACTGCACGGGGAGGGAGAGCAGAGCAATCAGCAGCAACTCGAACTACTCCCTACAGGCGTATGGTACACATGCATGCTTAAACTCAGGTAGCCGGGTAATTGTGCGGACCTCACCAGGGAGAGCGTTCCACAGCAGAGCACCAGCAACAGAAAATCTCCGCTGACCGCGGCGGCTACGGTTTGCCTGGCTTAGTAGGCCATTTGACTGCTGATGGCGGGTAGGGGCCTTACCTCTAATGGCTCTATAACAATATTGCTATAACGATATTACCCCTATAACGATATAAAATGGGCTGACCAATCGACATTTTCCATTTTATAACAATATCTAGCAGGGAATATGTAGAGCCTACTATCCAGGTAGGGCAAGCTTCACTTGATAAGTCGTTGGGACATGACGAAATGCAATGGGGCACCAGTGGGCACCTTGCTGTGCACGTAATGTGCATGTATGTCAGTTTTTATGCTATGAAGAGTGTAAAAAATGAAAAAAATCCATGCATTATGACATGATGTATGAAACGAACCAGTTACCCCTATAACAATATTACCCTTATAACAATATTTCTTGGTGTGACGCAAATATCGTTATAAGGGTAGGTCGACTGTATCACTAAAATATCGCTTGGTCCACGAGCACTTCCCCTACTACAAAAATACCAGGACAGTAGGTGTACTGCCTTTACTGCGGCCAATACTGGGCCAAGCCCAAGCAGTACCTACTTTACTGCATGTAGATACACAATACAATACTATAGTCTATAGTAGATCTACATGACATTGTAGACGTACAGTGCTGGCAACTGAAATCCGACCCCCCCCCCCCCCCCCCCCCCCCCGAGCGGTGCGATGACATCGCAAAGAATGTGAACCCACCGCTCAGGGGGGCGGATTTCAGTTGCCAGCACTGTACAACAGGCTACATAGTATACAGATTCGGTTATACCAAGAGTACATAGCTACTGTGTAGTTATGTACTCTTGGTTATACATAGTATCTGGTAGTACCATTTTCATACTAGATTTATAATGGTTATGTCCATGGCATAGTACATGACTGAATCTGTACAAAAAACTTGCCATGATTGTACTGCAGTAGACTACTGGCGAAGCCATGCATGCTCGGGGGGGGGGGGGGGGCCCCGGTTGGGGGTCACTGGTCCTTTTTCTGGTCACACTGACCAAACGACTGTTGAACTTTCATGCGCACCAAACACTTGCGAAAGAAAATCATCAATTATTATTATTATTATTATCTAAAAATTCGACGAGGAGACAATAATTTTAATATGGCAATAAGTAGGACGAGCTGAAGCGACATGTGGACTACTTTATTAACAATGTAAGCGATGGAGACGATGCAAGAAACAATCTAAAGGGTAAATAAAATACATGTAAGAAGAAAAAGGGCAATGGAAAAAAAGATGATTCGAACAAGTTTTCGTACAACACTCTTCAGGAATCACCGTTGTACTAAAGAACAAAATGAGAACAAAGGAAATAATATAGCAATCAAGGTAGGGTGACACGATACAATGACAGCACTGGAATATCGAGGTGCGATTTCTCACAAAAGTGTGTAGAACACAAGGGTATACAAGTAAGAACTAAGCGTGACAAGTGTGTATCAGCAACAAAAACAAAAAAGTGAGAACGAATGATAATAATAACAATAATAAACAAGAAGGTGACAAAACACATTTAGGCACAAGTGGCAACAACGTTGCCACACTACACAAAAGAACATTATTTGAACAATTTTAGGGTAATAACACTATCTTTCTGGACACACAAATTCGGCTTATGAATGCGCTGACAAACAGCTTCCAAAACTTGTAACTGCAAAAGATAACCATGACGAGCACGGCACAAAACAGAAAAACAGGAATCAGAATAAGTACGACAACAGTCAGTACTAGAAACCAAATGATTGTATACTGAAGACTTATTACGAGACGGACGCACACAATCTCGACTCACGCGCACACCCTCACACTCACTCTCACCCTCACTCAGCTCACCTTCTCCCTCACTGTCCGAATCAGAACCTGCTCCGTCATCCACAGCGGTTCGACTCTCCTCCTCACTTGCATCGTCCTGCGTCTCACCTTCACCACCCACGCCAACCGTGAATGCCGTTGCCTTCATGTCAGTCGTCGTCCTTTCCGATTGTTTCCTTTGTATTTTTACCGTGAATTCATAGGTCCGGTTGTAATCTGCTGTAGATCTCCGTGGTCTGTCATTTGCTGCTTTGTTTTGTGGATTAGTTGTTGTTGTTGTTGTTGTTGTTGTTGAATGTGAACCTGGTGTTGTTGTTGGATGTGAAGCTGGTGTTGTTGTTGCAGCCATGGTTGTTGGTATTTTTGTTGAATCCAGCTCTAGTTCCGGTGGGACAAATCGACCGCCGCGGGTGCTCTCCACCAACACATACCTCGAAGGAGGAGGGTCAGGGGGAGGCAGAGGTGCTGTCACCACTCGAGGCACAGCCCCATGCAAAGCACCCAGAGGCACAGACTTAAGCCTGGTTCACACTAGGCCGATTTTCCGGCCGATACTCCGACACCGACTCCGACACGGAGTCTGCCGACTGTGTCGGATGAGTCGGACTAGCTGTTCACACACAAAGGTGGGCAATTTCGTTTGTACTTTAGTTGTACATGTAGGCTTGTCTGTTACACACGGACACGCGGTACACAGCCGCACTGCCACTAGACCGTAGTACTAGTAGACGCTAGCTAGCTAGCTAGACAGCGGAAATGAGATAGTTTTTACACGAGCCACAAAGCCAAAGCGGCAAAGGTGTGAAAGGGCTAGCGTCTAGTACAGTGCTACTAGTACTGTAGTAGCGATCCAGTGCAGCCAGTTCACATGGTTCACGTTCTGCACCAACGCTCTCCGCTGTCATGGTGAAAAGCCTACAGTGATTGGTCCGGTGCATGCTCCATCACGCGCAAGCGCTAAAATTCGGCCGGCTTTTCGGCTAAATATCGACCAGTCGATACTTGGCCGAAAACTAGTGCGACAAGAAAATCGTCGCAGATTTTCGGAACCCTGTACGACAACACCGTTCACACTACGCAATTTTCGCCCCGATCTTGAGGATTTTTCGTACGAGTCCATGTCGGCCGGAAAATCGGCCTAGTGTGAACCAGGCTTTAGGCACACCCGAGGGCTGCACCAATGGCGGTTCCGCACGCACCTCCAAAGAGCTGCCAAGCTCAAGCCCGTCCAACACAGATGTCAGAGGGGGAGCGGCAGACAGCGGCAGGGAACTATCCTGCCGTGTAGGTGATGGGTTTTTCCTAGGCCTCCCGCGTTTGGGCCTCTCAGATTGCGCACTGGGTGGAAGGATGTGAAGTGGAGTGTGTTGTTTGATACGTGCGTTCAGGTGCTGAACAGTCCTACCAACATACCGACTAGCACAATGTCGGCATTCGAAGTTGTAGATAACATGACTGAGGTGGAGGGTTGGTAGGACGTCCTTCCGCACCGTGAACGCACGCATTGTTGTGAAGACTGGCACAAAATGTACTGCATAATAAGTACGACGGACGATAGACTTGACTTCGCGACACACTTTGATCGATTCCTGCCCCTTCCATGGCAAACATAGATAGACGGGACAGCGAGGTGGACCAATCAGCACCGATTTCGGTTTCTGCTCTATGGACAGAAAGTTACGCAACAGGAATTCCGGATAGCCATTCTTCAAGAAAACAGATCGAAGAAAATCGAGCTCGGCCTGCAGCTTACTGGGCGAACAAATACGTTGCGCACGGTCCACGAGGTTACGAACTAAGTTGACCTTGTATTGAGACGAACAATATGAATCGAAGGCAATGTACTGACCAGTGAACGTAGGCTTACGATACACAGAAGTCAACATTTCACAGCCAGTCTTCTCTACAAGCACAAGCGGTCGATTTGTCCCACCGGAACTAGAGCTGGATTCAACAAAAATACCAACAACCATGGCTGCAACAACAACACCAGCTTCACATCCAACAACAACACCAGGTTCACATTCAACAACAACAACAACAACAACTAATCCACAAAACAAAGCAGCAAATGACAGACCACGGAGATCTACAGCAGATTACAACCGGACCTATGAATTCACGGTAAAAATACAAAGGAAACAATCGGAAAGGACGACGACTGACATGAAGGCAACGGCATTCACGGTTGGCGTGGGTGGTGAAGGTGAGACGCAGGACGATGCAAGTGAGGAGGAGAGTCGAACCGCTGTGGATGACGGAGCAGGTTCTGATTCGGACAGTGAGGGAGAAGGTGAGCTGAGTGAGGGTGAGAGTGAGTGTGAGGGTGTGCGCGTGAGTCGAGATTGTGTGCGTCCGTCTCGTAATAAGTCTTCAGTATACAATCATTTGGTTTCTAGTACTGACTGTTGTCGTACTTATTCTGATTCCTGTTTTTCTGTTTTGTGCCGTGCTCGTCATGGTTATCTTTTGCAGTTACAAGTTTTGGAAGCTGTTTGTCAGCGCATTCATAAGCCGAATTTGTGTGTCCAGAAAGATAGTGTTATTACCCTAAAATTGTTCAAATAATGTTCTTTTGTGTAGTGTGGCAACGTTGTTGCCACTTGTGCCTAAATGTGTTTTGTCACCTTCTTGTTTATTATTGTTATTATTATCATTCGTTCTCACTTTTTTGTTTTTGTTGCTGATACACACTTGTCACGCTTAGTTCTTACTTGTATACCCTTGTGTTCTACACACTTTTGTGAGAAATCGCACCTCGATATTCCAGTGCTGTCATTGTATCGTGTCACCCTACCTTGATTGCTATATTATTTCCTTTGTTCTCATTTTGTTCTTTAGTACAACGGTGATTCCTGAAGAGTGTTGTACGAAAACTTGTTCGAATCATCTTTTTTTCCATTGCCCTTTTTCTTCTTACATGTATTTTATTTACCCTTTAGATTGTTTCTTGCATCGTCTCCATCGCTTACATTGTTAATAAAGTAGTCCACATGTCGCTTCAGCTCGTCCTACTTATTGCCATATTAAAATTATTATTATCCCATATTGATTTTGTGTGCGACTGTGAAGGTGCAAAGTCAGTGGGAGAATACATCTAAAAGTAGTACAGCAAAATAGCGGCAATAAAATGCTCTCTATGTGAGAGGGGCCGGAGTGCACAGTGTGAATAATTCAGTGTTGCATGCCCACGTGTTAGATATGCAAAGCCAGTGTCAAGTGTCTCATAACACTATGTTGAGCAGTGTGCAGTTTTCTCGGCTGTGAAACAGACTGGGTCTGCTCAACCCAGCAAAGTCTGGTCAAAAGAACGAAAGAAGAAGGGTGAACTGGTGCAGGAACCTTTGCGCAAGCAACTGAGTACCTCGCGTATGCTTATGGAAAACACAGAGCAGGCCCCGTTAAAGCAAACATACACTTGACTGTGAAAGGAAGAACAGAATCAACAACAAAGATACATGTACAGTCAACTTTGCTAATAACGACTGCGGATAGAACGACAATTCGCGAATAACGACCGAATTTCCATGCCCAGAGCAAAGTCCCATCTAACTGTAATACATATACATGTAATGAGACTTCGGGTAGAACTTGTGACTTTGCGAATAAGGACGCTTTTCTGATGCCCCGCCGAGTGTCGTTATACGCAAAGTTGACTGTACAGGTGGAACTCAGGCGGCGCATATTTCACTAGACCGTCTTTGTTGCCGCCGTGCCTGAACTTTTTCAGTGTTCAGTGCCTGACCGTGACTGCTGGTCTACTTCTGCTGGCCGCGGTGTGTGAACATGAGGCAGATGAGAGCAATGATTCGAGACACCAGGCCAAACACAAACAGGATACCGATGCACAGTGCGAAATGGTCAAGTGGGTAGCCTTGGTAGCTTGAGTAAAGCGCAACTTCCTGGATCTCTGCGTCCGGATAGCGGTTTGCCTCCTTTTCAAACAATGCTTCCACAAACCAGCGTGCAAATGACAACGAGTAGAGGACAGGGCCGAGGGCCTGTTTCTTCATCTTGCATAACGATGGCTGAGCACCAGACATCATGGCCGACACAAGTACCAGAACCACTGTGGCCATCTGTGAACTACGACTGTTGAATATTGTTGAGATGAGATAGCCAAGTCCATGGCAGGCCCAGACCAGCATCAGAATGGCTGTGTAGTAATCACGAAACAGGGCGCGTGGTGACACAAGCGTGTAGAAAAAGCTGAGGAAGATAAGCGGTGTGAAGACGATGATTGGAATCTGCGAGATGTTGGTGGCAAGGAAGTATGCCGGACGGTTGATCCCGGCCGCACTTTCTCGCCAGAAGACGGGCTTACAGCTGCCAAAGCATCGGAGTGCAGCCAGCATGCTTGTCAAGGCTACAGCCATGCTGGTCATACACAGCAGCAGTGTCAGCTTGCGTAGCAGGATCTCGCTGTACAGCGCACCGAGGACGGCGCCCGCAATCAGCACCAGCAGTTGATCCAGCACCAGTACACTGAGTTGACGAATCTGAACCGAGTACAAAGCACAGCAGAAAATTCTAAGAATCTGAATGACACTGTGAAAACACATTCTAAATGCAGTGCACCTCAATCTAGCACATCCACGCAAAATACATGATACAGGGGCGTCGGAAGTTAATGTAGTGTGGTACGGTCAGCCATCTGAAGTACAATTTGCACATTAGGGAGGGGTGGCTGAGCCAGATATTTTGGAAATTCAGAGCGCAGATCAGTGCATATTATTGATTCACGGGGTAACTTGGGGCAAAGAGTGGTACGGTCAATACCGTAGTGACCGTAGCGTGTCCGACACCCCTACATGTGATAAGAACTAGGGCTTGTCGAATCCCCACTCCTCTACACCCCACACTAGAGGCATAGCCTCCGGTCCGGTTGGTCTGGTTTTCAACGGACAACTTTTGGGGACGATTTTGTTTTTTAGAGAGCTGATGGGAGTTCGGCGATCGTTCGGTCGCAGTACTGCATGCATGATGTACACAGTACTGCATGCATGATGTATGCAGTACTGCATGCATGATGTATGCAGTACTGCATGCATGATGTATGCAGTACTGTGTGCATGATGTACGCAGCACAGACCGAGGAGCCATGCATGTACCCTGATGTATGTGTAGAGTTTCCCAGGGACAGACTGATGGGACTCGTACAGGGTTTTTTTTGCTTCGTGTTGATCAAGCTTGAAAGCATATGCTCCACGATCATGACCCAAGGTCGTCTCAATCATCTGATGGTTTTGCACTATCACTAGAGGCAGACAGGAAAAAGTACTTTCTCCAAGTTGTGAGAATTTGTAACCTTAAAAGGTAAAATGTCCTACCGGACCAGTCAATATGTGGTGGCTACAGCCCTGCACAACCACACTCGTTATTGGAAACGAAACACGTATAATGTACATGTACTGTACGTACTTAGGTCAAGGCAAGGAGCCACCTTTCATATCATTCGACGTTTATTGGAATTTCATGCCTTTAATATAAAATACTTCGAAGTAACTTTAATAAGTATTTTGAGTCTTATCGACCCAGCTTCACCCTACTCATCAAACATCAAACATGTATGTTTGGTCGTGCATACCTGCAGAACAAATGCCCGGCGAATGAAGAATAGCAACTGTATCCAGAATGCAGGTGCTTTCCTTGGTGTGAACTGCTGTGTGCTGGCTTGCCGCTCTGGTGGTACCGATGAAGCACCGCCATCAGTAGTCATGCTGGATTGTCTCATTGTCCACAAATCTCCAAGGCTGGTCAGTGCCATTGCTGTATTGCCATCCACTGAATCATTAGTAGCTGGGGAGGATGCGGCGTGCTTCTTGGCGGACTTGGCTTTCTTGTTATGATCGTTGATGACATCCAGATAGTGATCACTGGGATTAACGTTTGTCTTCACTGGGTAGCCAAGCTCTGAGAAATATGCCTAGCAAAGAAATCACACCAAGTCTCCCCTGAGGAACTAATTTGGACCACTGCGATGGCCTATCAAAGGCATCAATTAATGGGCGTGTTCGATTACACACAATTTCATCCATTCTGGAAATCCTTATGAAATGTATACCCCATTCGATTACTGTAAAACCGGAAAGTGTAACTACCAAAAAGTTAAACGTTTTTGTAATTTAGGCCTGATTACGTGCAGAAATTTTAACGATGGTTACCTGGATCTTTACACAGACATCTAGCGATAACGTATTTTTCAAGTAACGAAAAATAATTGGTCGTTAAAACGTTAGACTTTGTGACTCGTTAGACATTCCGGTTTTACAGTACGCAGATTTCGCAGTCAGAATCCACGGAATACAATTCCCAACACTCCGAAGTTGAGGCAGAATTTCTAATTCTACCGGCAGAATTTATGCATTTGGTGTGCGCTTTCTTGACCCCACGTGTGTCTGTTGCATATAATACTACTGATTTGTGCGAATAAGTGTATCCATGAACTCTTTCCGCGGCTTTGCGAGTGGATTGTGAGCACAGAATTCGCGACAAAATCCAGTCGTTCATTTATATGGGCCTGATCCGCTCGTTCCGCTCATTCGAGAACTTTTGAAATCTGGGTCCAGAACGTGTAATCAAACGCATCCAATATTCAGCACCATGCCGGCCGGGTGATAGTACAATGAATGTACAATGTACCAGAGGATGCACCCAGTGTGCTGACAGTGGTCAATACCGCGGAGGCAGAGCGTAATACACAGAACAACAAGTTTAAAAAAATTGTAACATGAAAATTGTGGGCACAAGTTTTGCGATCGAGTCCACCAACTAAACCAGATTTTGAACAGTCAGACGTGCACAATCTAGCACAAAACTGACGAGGAGTACTGACTGCCCACAATTTCCATGTCAGAAATTTTTTTCCTTGGCTCACCATCTGAGTTCGCAATCAAGGCTTGTTTACTTACTGTTAGTCGCTACTCAGAGTTTCATGCTTTCGCAATCATCAGGCGACATGAGGATGGCACTGGCCATGCCGGTATATATGCCAGGAGAGGGTGGGTCTGGTCTGCCCACAGCCTCCTGCCCAAAAAAACACCGCTAACCCTGAAACCTGTACAGCCCCCACAACCACACACAGCTTTCCACACAGCGCTACAAGACCCACCCTCTCCTGGCTATATATACTGGCATGGCCAGTACCATCCTCATGTGGCCTGATCATCGGATTGCGAAACCATGAAACTCTGAGTAGGGACTGAACAAGCCTTCATTGCCCCACGGTTGTTCTGTGTAATGTACAATGAATATAGCTCCAGGAAATGAATACATGCGGCAGCTGCTACTCTACCCCCCCCCCCCCCCCATCTGATACTGGTCGGAGTAACACTATATACCTGGAACAACAATAGTGATTCAGCTGCGTTTTGACAGGTGGCTGACAGAGTATCATACTCGTACATTACACGGAATTAAATACGTTGAAGGATTGATTCACCTACAGACTTATGTATGCCCACATTGCACTGCATATCCACATTGCACTGTATGCCCACATTGCACTGCATACCCACATTGCACTGTATGCCCACATTGCACTGTATATCCACATTGCACTGTATACCCACATTGCACTGTATATCCACATTGCACTGTATACCCACATTGCACTGTATATCCACATTGCACTGCATATCCACATTGCACTGTATGCCCACATTGCACTGTATACCCACATTGCACTGTATACCCACATTGCACTGTATACCCACATTGCACTGTATGCCCACATTGCACTGTATACCCACATTGCACTGTATGCCCACATTGCACTGTATACCCACATTGCACTGTATGCCCACATTGCACTGTATACCCACATTGCACTGTATACCCACATTGCACTGCATATCCACATTCCACTGTATATCCACATTGCACTGTATGCCCACATTGCACTGCATATCCACATTGCACTGCATACCCACATTGCACTGCATACCCACATTGCACTGTATATCGAGGACCCGCGGAAGCAGTTTTTAATTGGTCCGACCATGGCACAGCCGTTCATGCCCTAGTACCCTGTGCATGATTGGTCCGACCATGGCACAGCCGTCCATGCCCTAGTACCCTGTGCATGATTGGTCAGACCATGGCACAGCCATGCCCTAGTACCCTGTGCATGATTGGTCCGACCATGGCACAGCCGTTCATGCCCTAGTACCCTGTGCATGATTGGTCCGACCATGGCACAGCCGTCCATGCCCTAGTACCCTGTGCATGATTGGTCCGACCATGGCACAGCCGTCCATGCCCTAGTACCCTGTGCATGATTGGTCAGACCATGGCACAGCCATGCCCTAGTACCCTGTGCATGATTGGTCCGACCATGGCACAGCCGTTCATGCCCTAGTACCCTGTGCATGATTGGTCCGACCATGGCACAGCCGTCCATGCCCTAGTACCCTGTGCATGATTGGTCCGACCATGGCACAGCCGTCCATGCCCTAGTACCCTGTGCATGATTGGTCCGACCATGGCACAGCCGTCCATGCCCTAGTACCCTGTGCATGATTGGTCCGACCATGGCACAGCCGTTGATGCCCTAGTACCCTGTGCATGATTGGTCCGACCATGGCACAGCCATGCCCTAGTACCCTGTGCATGATTGGTCCGACCATGGCACAGCCATGCCCTAGTACCCTGTGTATGATTGGTCCGACCATGGCACAGCCGTCCATGCCCTAGTACCCTGTGCATGATTGGTCCGACCATGGCACAGCCATGCCCTAGTACCCTGTGCATGATTGGTCCGACCATGGCACAGCCATGCCCTAGTACCCTGTGTATGATTGGTCCGACCATGGCACAGCCGTCCATGCCCTAGTACCCTGTGCATGATTGGTCCGACCATGGCACAGCCGTCCATGCCCTAGTACCCTGTGCATGATTGGTCCGACCATGGCACAGCCGTTCATGCCCTAGTACCCTGTGCATGATTGGTCCGACCATGGCACAGCCATGCCCTAGTACCCTGTGCATGATTGGTCCGACCATGGCACAGCCGTCCATGCCCTAGTACCCTGTGCATGATTGGTCCGACCATGGCACAGCCGTTGATGCCCTAGTACCCTGTGCATGATTGGTCCGACCATGGCACAGCCGTCCATGCCCTAGTACCCTGTGCATGATTGGTCCGACCATGGCACAGCCGTTGATGCCCTAGTACCCTGTGCATGATTGGTCCGACCATGGCACAGCCGTTGATGCCCTAGTACCCTGTGCATGATTGGTCCGACCATGGCACAGCCGTTGATGCCCTAGTACCCTGTGCATGATTGGTCCGACCATGGCACAGCCATGCCCTAGTACCCTGTGCATGATTGGTCCGACCATGGCACAGCCATGCCCTAGTACCCTGTGCATGATTGGTCCGACCATGGCACAGCCATGCCCTAGTACCCTGTGTATGATTGGTCCGACCATGGCACAGCCGTCCATGCCCTAGTACCCTGTGCATGATTGGTCCGACCATGGCACAGCCATGCCCTAGTACCCTGTGCATGATTGGTCCGACCATGGCACAGCCATGCCCTAGTACCCTGTGTATGATTGGTCCGACCATGGCACAGCCGTCCATGCCCTAGTACCCTGTGCATGATTGGTCCGACCATGGCACAGCCGTCCATGCCCTAGTACCCTGTGCATGATTGGTCCGACCATGGCACAGCCGTTGATGCCCTAGTACCCTGTGCATGATTGGTCCGACCATGGCACAGCCATGCCCTAGTACCCTGTGTATGATTGGTCCGACCATGGCACAGCCGTCCATGCCCTAGTACCCTGTGCATGATTGGTCCGACCATGGCACAGCCGTCCATGCCCTAGTACCCTGTGCATGATTGGTCCGACCATGGCACAGCCGTTGATGCCCTAGTACCCTGTGCATGATTGGTCCGACCATGGCACAGCCATGCCCTAGTACCCTGTGCATGATTGGTCCGACCATGGCACAGCCATGCCCTAGTACCCTGTGCATGATTGGTCCGACCATGGCACAGCCATGCCCTAGTACCCTGTGTATGATTGGTCCGACCATGGCACAGCCGTCCATGCCCTAGTACCCTGTGCATGATTGGTCCGACCATGGCACAGCCGTTGATGCCCTAGTACCCTGTGCATGATTGGTCCGACCATGGCACAGCCGTTGATGCCCTAGTACCCTGTGCATGATTGGTCCGACCATGGCACAGCCGTTGATGCCCTAGTACCCTGTGCATGATTGGTCCGACCATGGCACAGCCGTTGATGCCCTAGTACCCTGTGCATGATTGGTCCGACCATGGCACAGCCATGCCCTAGTACCCTGTGCATGATTGGTCCGACCATGGCACAGCCATGCCCTAGTACCCTGTGTATGATTGGTCCGACCATGGCACAGCCGTCCATGCCCTAGTACCCTGTGCATGATTGGTCCGACCATGGCACAGCCATGCCCTAGTACCCTGTGCATGATTGGTCCGACCATGGCACAGCCATGCCCTAGTACCATGTGTATGATTGGTCCGACCATGGCACAGCCGTCCATGCCCTAGTACCCTGTGCATGATTGGTCCGACCATGGCACAGCCGTCCATGCCCTAGTACCCTGTGCATGATTGGTCCGACCATGGCACAGCCGTTGATGCCCTAGTACCCTGTGCATGATTGGTCCGACCATGGCACAGCCATGCCCTAGTACCCTGTGCATGATTGGTCCGACCATGGCACAGCCATGCCCTAGTACCCTGTGCATGATTGGTCCGACCATGGCACAGCCATGCCCTAGTACCCTGTGTATGATTGGTCCGACCATGGCACAGCCGTCCATGCCCTAGTACCCTGTGCATGATTGGTCCGACCATGGCACAGCCATGCCCTAGTACCCTGTGCATGATTGGTCCGACCATGGCACAGCCATGCCCTAGTACCCTGTGTATGATTGGTCCGACCATGGCACAGCCGTCCATGCCCTAGTACCCTGTGCATGATTGGTCCGACCATGGCACAGCCGTTGATGCCCTAGTACCCTGTGCATGATTGGTCCGACCATGGCACAGCCATGCCCTAGTACCCTGTGTATGATTGGTCCGACCATGGCACAGCCGTCCATGCCCTAGTACCCTGTGCATGATTGGTCCGACCATGGCACAGCCGTTGATGCCCTAGTACCCTGTGCATGATTGGTCCGACCATGGCACAGCCGTTGATGCCCTAGTACCCTGTGCATGATTGGTCCGACCATGGCACAGCCGTTGATGCCCTAGTACCCTGTGCATGATTGGTCCGACCATGGCACAGCCATGCCCTAGTACCCTGTGCATGATTGGTCCGACCATGGCACAGCCATGCCCTAGTACCCTGTGCATGATTGGTCCGACCATGGCACAGCCATGCCCTAGTGCCCTGTGCATGATTGGTCCGACCATGGCACAGCCATGCCCTAGTACCCTGTGTATGATTGGTCCGACCATGGCACAGCCGTCCATGCCCTAGTACCCTGTGCATGATTGGTCCGACCATGGTACAGCCATGCCCTAGTACCCTGTGCATGATTGGTCCGACCATGGCACAGCCGTTGATGCCCTAGTACCCTGTGCATGATTGGTCCGACCATGGCACAGCCATGCCCTAGTACCCTGTGCATGATTGGTCCGACCATGGCACAGCCATGCCCTAGTACCCTGCGCATGATTGGTCCGACCATGGCACAGCCATGCCCTAGTACCCTGTGCATGATTGGTCCGACCATGGCACAGCCATGCCCTAGTACCCTGTGTATGATTGGTCCGACCATGGCACAGCCGTCCATGCCCTAGTACCCTGTGCATGATTGGTCCGACCATGGCACAGCCATGCCCTAGTACCCTGTGCATGATTGGTCCGACCATGGCACAGCCATGCCCTAGTACCCTGTGTATGATTGGTCCGACCATGGCACAGCCGTCCATGCCCTAGTACCCTGTGCATGATTGGTCCGACCATGGCACAGCCGTTGATGCCCTAGTACCCTGTGCATGATTGGTCCGACCATGGCACAGCCGTTGATGCCCTAGTACCCTGTGCATGATTGGTCCGACCATGGCACAGCCATGCCCTAGTACCATGTGCATGATTGGTCCGACCATGGCACAGCCATGCCCTAGTACCCTGTGTATGATTTGTCCGACCATGGCACAGCCGTCCATGCCCTAGTACCCTGTGCATGATTGGTCCGACCATGGCACAGCCGTTGATGCCCTAGGCCTAGTACCCTGTGCATGATTGGTCCGACCATGGCACAGCCGTTGATGCCCTAGTACCCTGTGCATGATTGGTCCGACCATGGCACAGCCGTTGATGCCCTAGTACCCTGTGCATGATTGGTCCGACCATGGCACAGCCATGCCCTAGTACCCTGTGCATGATTGGTCCGACCATGGCACAGCCATGCCCTAGTACCCTGTGCATGATTGGTCCGACCATGGCACAGCCGTTGATGCCCTAGTACCCTGTGTATGATTGGTCCGACCATGGCACAGCCGTCCATGCCCTAGTACCCTGTGCATGATTGGTCCGACCATGGCACAGCCATGCCCTAGTACCCTGTGCATGATTGGTCCGACCATGGCACAGCCATGCCCTAGTACCCTGTGTATGATTGGTCCGACCATGGCACAGCCGTCCATGCCCTAGTACCCTGTGCATGATTGGTCCGACCATGGCACAGCCGTTGATGCCCTAGTACCCTGTGCATGATTGGTCCGACCATGGCACAGCCGTTGATGCCCTAGTACCCTGTGCATGATTGGTCCGACCATGGCACAGCCGTTGATGCCCTAGTACCTGTGCATGATTGGTCCGACCATGGCACAGCCGTTGATGCCCTAGTACCCTGTGCATGATTGGTCCGACCATGGCACAGCCATGCCCTAGTACCCTGTGCATGATTGGTCCGACCATGGCACAGCCATGCCCTAGTACCCTGTGTATGATTGGTCCGACCATGGCACAGCCGTCCATGCCCTAGTACCCTGTGCATGATTGGTCCGACCATGGCACAGCCGTTGATGCCCTAGTACCCTGTGCATGATTGGTCCGACCATGGCACAGCCGTTGATGCCCTAGTACCCTGTGCATGATTGGTCCGACCATGGCACAGCCGTTGATGCCCTAGTACCCTGTGCATGATTGGTCCGACCATGGCACAGCCGTTGATGCCCTAGTACCCTGTGCATGATTGGTCCGACCATGGCACAGCCGTTGATGCCCTAGTACCCTGTGCATGATTGGTCCGACCATGGCACAGCCGTTGATGCCCTAGTACCCTGTGCATGATTGGTCCGACCATGGCACAGCCGTTGATGCCCTAGTACCCTGTGCATGATTGGTCCGACCATGGCACAGCCGTTCATGCCCTAGTACCCTGTGCATGATTGGTCCGACCATGGCACAGCCGTTGATGCCCTAGTACCCTGTGCATGATTGGTCCGACCATGGCACAGCCATGCCCTAGTACCCTGTGCATGATTGGTCCGACCATGGCACAGCCATGCCCTAGTACCCTGTGTATGATTGGTCCGACCATGGCACAGCCGTCCATGCCCTAGTACCCTGTGCATGATTGGTCCGACCATGGCACAGCCATGCCCTAGTACCCTGTGCATGATTGGTCCGACCATGGCACAGCCATGCCCTAGTACCCTGTGTATGATTGGTCCGACCATGGCACAGCCGTCCATGCCCTAGTACCCTGTGCATGATTGGTCCGACCATGGCACAGCCGTTGATGCCCTAGTACCCTGTGCATGATTGGTCCGACCATGGCACAGCCGTTGATGCCCTAGTACCCTGTGCATGATTGGTCCGACCATGGCACAGCCGTTGATGCCCTAGTACCTGTGCATGATTGGTCCGACCATGGCACAGCCGTTGATGCCCTAGTACCCTGTGCATGATTGGTCCGACCATGGCACAGCCATGCCCTAGTACCCTGTGCATGATTGGTCCGACCATGGCACAGCCATGCCCTAGTACCCTGTGTATGATTGGTCCGACCATGGCACAGCCGTCCATGCCCTAGTACCCTGTGCATGATTGGTCCGACCATGGCACAGCCGTTGATGCCCTAGTACCCTGTGCATGATTGGTCCGACCATGGCACAGCCGTTGATGCCCTAGTACCCTGTGCATGATTGGTCCGACCATGGCACAGCCGTTGATGCCCTAGTACCCTGTGCATGATTGGTCCGACCATGGCACAGCCGTTGATGCCCTAGTACCCTGTGCATGATTGGTCCGACCATGGCACAGCCGTTCATGCCCTAGTACCCTGTGCATGATTGGTCCGACCATGGCACAGCCGTTGATGCCCTAGTACCCTGTGCATGATTGGTCCGACCATGGCACAGCCGTTGATGCCCTAGTACCCTGTGCATGATTGGTCCGACCATGGCACAGCCGTTCATGCCCTAGTACCCTGTGCATGATTGGTCCGACCATGGCACAGCCGTTGATGCCCTAGTACCCTGTGCATGATTGGTCCGACCATGGTAGAGCCATTTATACCAGGCTGTACATGATTGTCCGGCCATGGCAGGCTGACCAAGCAGACTGATCCCGTCGTCCCTGATACCAATGCCACTACCCGCCAGGAGGAGGCTAACTTACATCCTCTTGACGCCCTTCATTTGAGCATGTCATGACACACCTAGCACCGCGGGTGCTGCTCAATGAAATACGGCTGAGTCAGTGAGTCAGTGAGTCAGCTTTGTTCCCTGCACCAGTAAACACCCCGGTGTTGGCAGGTCTAGGGCTACGCAGCCCACGGCATGGCATACTTAACTCACGCGATCGCATTTTATTGAGCAGCACTGCAAATACTAATCCTACTCCTGTATCAGGGCTTGACAATGATTACGTCAGCGGTCAACAAGTAACAACTTCTGAGTCAACTTGGATCCAGTCCGCTGACCATAGCGGAGTACGCTACGCTCACACCTCGGTTATCCGGACCCCAAAGTTACGGGCACGTCGGTCTACCGGGCACCCTTTGGGAGAGTTCCAGTGGAAATATTACTACTCTTTTGTCACTTTGTGCAGAGATAGTTGCGTCATGTGCCATATCTATGGCTTTTCCCCGTCAAAATGTATGCGATTCGGAGTTACGGGCAGTGCCGGGTGCCGGAACGCCCGGAGTTACGGGCAGTGGCGGGTGCCGGAACGCCCGGATAGATTCGGAGTTACGGGCAGTGGCGGGTGCCGGAACGCCCGGATAAACGAGATATGAGTGTACTAGTATCTGGGGATTGTTTTCCCTCAAGTCGCATGCTGGTGCGACTAACTCTGTATCAGCATTGGGTCCGGCCCCAGCCAGGAGGTTCCACTACAGTCGCTACCAGCTGATGTGTCAATCTACTGTGAAGGGAGCCACCCAAGCATGTATGCAGGCGCGTGCGCCGGTGCCCTTCAAGGGGGGGGGGGTTCCAGGGGGCCTCCCCGGGAAAATTTTCAAAAAATGAAGCGAAATCCTGCATTTTGAGCGAAAAAGGGGGGGGGGGGTTCCAGGCACCCAGGAACCCATACGGGGCACGTGCCTGGTATGGATCCATACAAAAACTGGATTCAAGAGGACACAAAAGCAGAGTTGTCATGACTCCGGGCTGGCTGTGACGTAGCGCATTCAAGCCCTCTGCCAAGGAGGCCGGGTTGACCGAGTCACGCCCATATCATAATTATGTTATTCGCTGCCTTGTTATTGAGCATTTATGCTCGTTCAGATTTGCGAATTCAAAATTAATAAAGTATACAAACAAACAATACAAACCTCTGCTTGCTGCGTGGAACCTTGGAACGCAATTTGACCACCGGGCTGCAGCAGTATGACTTCGTGAAACATCTGGAAGATCTCGAACCTGGGCTGATGTAGTACGGCCACCACTGTCAAGTGGCCCTCTTCAGCAACGCACCGCAGAGCCTCACACACCTATCAACACATGACACACAAACACCAGGCCAACGAGAGAGTAATAAGAGTAAAGAACATAAGTATGACAAGCATTGACAGCACTCGTTGTGGACCGGGTGGATTCATGATGCTACACGCCGTGCACTGGAACCGGTTCGGCTGGTCAGATTATCGCCGGAACAACTTTTTAGGCTACCAACATGACTGTGTGTTTACCGTACCCCCCATGATGTCATACACAAAGTATGCAAGGCTATGGTATGGCTCAGTATGCAAGGCTATGGTATGGCTTAATTTAAGTATGCACATATCTGGTATGGCTCAAAGTATGCAAGGCTATGGTATGGATATCATACACAAGGTATGCAAGGCTATGGTATGGCTCAAAGCAGGGAGTAGTAAAATACCGATATGTTACTACTCCCTGGCTCAAAGTATGCACATATCTGGTATGGCTCAAAGTATGCAAGGCTATGGTATGGCAATCATACTCAAAGTATGCAAGGCTATGGTATGGCAATCATACTCAAAGTATGCAAGGCTATGGTATGGCTCGACCAATCAAAAACTGCTTCCGCTGGTCCTGACCCAAAAGTACATGTATGTTCAAAGGAGTTTTGGTTGACAATTGGCATATGTAATGCACTAGGTTCAGGTCAGGTCAGGTCAGGTCGCGTCGGGTCAGGTCAGGTCGGGGAGTGAATACGTGTGCAGGGGACCAGGGGTGCAAGAGCCTGATCATTGAATACACAATTACAACCTCGAGTCTTACCTGCATGCTTGAGACACTGTCCAAGCCACTGGTAGGTTCATCCAGGAACAGGAGCGTTGGATCAGCTACCAGCTCCATTCCAATGTTCACTCTCTTACGCTGGCCGCCGGAAATGCCTCGCTTCTCTTCGTCACCGATCTGAGAATCCTTGATATGCATCAGGCCAAGCAGCTCCAGTACCTCATCCACTTTACGATTAATCTCTGGGAATGTTGCACAACCAGACAGTCTGAGAATTCCTTGGTAGTACAGTACCTCCCTGGTGGTTAGCTCTCGGTGCATGATGTCTTCTTGTGGAACAAAACCTGTGATGCTGCGGTAGGTTGTGATGTTTTCTGGCTTGCCGTTGACCATGATATCTCCCTCCACCGCGCCGTAGTATGCCTTGCCACTCAATGTATTTAGCAGCGTTGTCTTTCCTGCTCCGCTTCCACCCATGATTGCTGTCAGTGTCTTGGGTCGAAGCTTGCCAGTAGCACCTTGCAGCACCTTGACCTTGTTGCTCTTCAACGTTAAACTGAGATTGTGGAATTCAATCTCCATCGTGTAATCCTTGGGGCTCACTGCTCTGGTAGCTTCGGTACCAGTGGCACCGTACCGTTGCTCTGGATCCCCAACAGCTGTGCTGGTGTTGATGGACTCCATTTCTTCAGCATTGCCTGCCTGCTCAACCTGACATACCTCATAACTGCGTGCCTTGCCGGGCAGCCTCGGCACAACATGAGTGCCAAATGCGGCCTTCAGTGTTTCTTTGTAACGCAGTGCAAGAATAAAGAGTAGTACAAGCAGGATGAGGACCAGGTTGAAGATGAGACCGATACCGTTGACGATGGGCGCAGTCGTGCCAGGCTTGCATCGTGACAGTAATGGACAGGGTTGTGGTGATACGCGGCCGGATCTGCAATACGAACCTTTTGGGCATTGGATTTTCATGCTGACATTCGGGCAATAATAGCCTTTCTGGCAGATGACGCGCCTGTCCAGGCCGGCCGGCCCACCACAGGTTAGGCTGTGTGGGTCTGTGCGGTCACTCAGTTGCTGCGTGCCGTAGTCTGGATCACAGGTCACTGTTGGATTTTTGGCTAAACTGGCATTCTTCTTGGGAGTTACACAATATGCCCCGAGTGGGCATGGCACAAGACAGATAGTATTTATGGGGCAGTAGAAACCCGCTGGACACGGCAAGACTACATCGTTTCCATCACTTGCATTGTTTTCACCACCTAGTTCACCCAATGACAGATAGTATCCGCCTTGGCATGCTGGAGTGCTCCAAAGAAGAGGAATGCAGTTGCTCCTGTCCGGTGTCAGGTCTTTGCACATAATGGCGTTCGGGTAGGACTCGTTGTGTTTGGGTATGGGCACGTACAGAACTTCCCCTTCATCTATGCAGGAGTAACCAAGCACCGCATACGGACACTGGGAGCATGCTAGCAGCACTACCGCCAGCGATAGCAACGGGCCACACCACTGCATCGTCTTGTCGTCCTGGTCGATTCAAACAGAAAGCACCTACCAGCCAGAATATGAGGCCACACACTGAACAGCAGCAATAGCAGCAGCAGTAGCAGTAGTAAAGAGGCAGAGAATCACCGAATGCTAGTCCAAGTATTAGTTCCTGCCTCCCCTCTCAATCAGCAGATCTGCTCATTCGAGGATGTGAAGCAGCGCCTCAATCTGCATGGGATGAATAACTACTCCGAGTCGACGAGATATCGGACTTCGGGAGCATCAAAATGATAATATTTTAGTCCTCCTTGCGGACGCATTACCGTGCAGACTCGATCTGACTCTGAGTCTGAGTCTGAGCGTCTGTTACTTGTACTTGCAGCGGCGGGGACGAAGTGACGGAGGTACGAGGTGAGGGGAGACTTGGCGCGCTTATCATTATACACTAGGCCGGGGCAGTAGATATGGTGGACAGGTAGGGGAAGCGCTGCGGCAGTGCGGGGCATCTCATAACGTATCAAGACTTACATTAGTGTTGGTCTGTAACTAAAATAGGTCGTAGATCTACGCGTTGCGCGCCAGGGTTCCCTTCGATATGGTTGAAGATATGCTACGTATTTCTCGGCCCATGAATGGCAAAATCGCGTCTTCGATGCCTAGCTACCTGTACTGCTGTCCTATGTGAACGCGAGGCATATCCGACCAGGGTCACATGGCGTGGGTTGGTGGACAGGCAGCCGTCCGGATATCCTGGTGCTGCACATCGACAGGCGCAGGACCATTCAGGACAGAAGTGACAGCTTGCTCTCTCTGATTTGGAGTTCGGCCACTGGACGCCATCCGTGGTTTCTTCAGCTGCGTCCACAATCCTCCATCACGAGTGCACTCTGGACACAAACTGCCGACGCATTCACAGGCAAATGGGTGAGATCACATACCGGTAGTTATTCAACAGCGCAGAGATAGCCTTGTGCTTGTGCGGCGAAGCGACACCGCTAGCTGACATTCTAAAATACATGTACAGACAGTCAATACACGAACTGTACAAACAAAAACTACAATCCAATGACCAAAGATGCATCCAGTATTGGAATCCATTCCCGGACTGTGGAGCTTATTTCCACACTTGTCTCAACGATACCGGTAGTCGAATAGAAAACATGATCAACTTACTTGCCTGAGACGCTTCCTCTCCGTCTCACCTCCTCTTCCGGTTGCTACTGCTAGCGCGTTTTTTTTTAGGTCGGTCTGGCGACTCTGGCACACACAGTCTTACCAGGGAACCTCGCTGGTCAGCGATGCTCTACCAGTAAGCTATGCCTACTACCAGACTACATGTATTGGTCTAAAACCGTCGTCCCAGCAGGTGTCGTTCAGCATGATATTTCTTCAGACTTCGTAAGTCACGCTTTACTTCCTGTGAATCCACACAGGTGCTGTGGGACGCGCGCAGCCCTCATGCTCAGCGTCTGTAATCCTAGTCGGGAATTATTTCGCAAGCACTCAATGGCCGCGTTCGAGTACACACATCTCGGTCAATTCTAGAATTAGTTATGGTGGATGCACCGTTCGATTACACAAATTCCGTCGTCAATTCTGAAGAGAGAGCAGAATTGCTAATTCTAGAATTGCTAATTTGATCACCCCTGCTAACGTTTTTGCCCCCACTTGTTTTTCATGATCAATTGCTTCTTGCCTCCCCGGGTAATTAATTATTTCCATCTAGGTGTTTCTGGCTATCAGTTCTATCACACCTATCAATCGTCCTTATTGGCGTCACGCCATCGTGGAATAAAAGAATACTGTATAATTATATTTCCAGAAATGACGCACTCGACGTATAACGCCATCCTCACTCGGCCGGCCTCAGTAGTAAGCATCTACATGTACATGTGCATGCAATAGAGAGCATGTGAAATTATGTTGTCACGGAATGTGTTCATGTATGGGGCATTGTCAGTCGACAACTGAAAAGTCGAAAGGATACACTTTAGTTTATAAAGGAATTCGGGTCAGTCGTTTCACCCCCTAGGGCCACACTTTGTTTTTTCTATGTTTCTCGTCATCGCCCGCGTAGGTTTTCAGAAATTTCGGAAGAAAAAAAAAGTTCCTACTACGTACATGTGTACATGTATGTACGCTGCACATGCTGCAGCAGCTAGATGCGTCAATCAATAATCGTAAACGTTTGCACCACAGCAGCAAAGGAGCGCTCCTCGTCCGTTCTCTGCGATGAAGGCTGTCATGACGAAGCTTTCAGTCGTTCCCTGCCTGAGGCTCGTGGGTCCCAGGAATACCATAAGTCGGACGAGTTCCGCGGCAACTGGCGTCTGTGGAACGATGTCGTAGGCAGAAAATCCAAGCAATAGACGCATGGCAAGGAAAAGATGAGCAGCATGGAGACAAGAGTTTGATAAGTGGAGACAAGAGTTTGATAAGCGGACACAAGAACGTTGAAGTAACAAAACCAATAATTAATGAATCAACAAACGTTTCCCACTCGACGAGTGGGAAACGTTTGTTGATGTGATAGCAGATAAATGTATGTTCTCTTCGCCATCTCGTAATCAAACTTTATGCTCTCATTGTTGTTTGCCTGATATTCTGATTTCGTGGGCTGATGTGATAATGTAGTGCAATCATGTATGGGACTACATGTACATGATTGTACAATGTAGTACTGTATACATGGTATCAAGAGTACGAACTCTTGATGGTATACGCAGTGTCTTGTATGAATCACGCATATACATGTCATGTACATTGTAAAAGGTATATAGTTTTAGTAGAAATTGTTCTTGTTTTTTCCTTGGCTTTTGTTTTTTTTCCGCCCGCCCGCGTACCTTTTGTTAAAACTTGCCGACGAGAAACATAGAAAAAACAAAGTGCGGCCTAGTAGAGGCAGTGAAAATTGCCGAAAGGCGGGCTCACCACCCGTGTGTGTATGTGTGTGTGTGTGTGTGTGTGTGTGTGTTATATTTTGGAAATAGCTGCAAACGACCTGCATGTCGAACCACATACTTGTGCACATACAGTACACACACGTGCACACACGTACACATGCACGCAGGGACGCATGCACACACACACACACACACACACACACACACACACACACACACACACACACACACACACACTTGTGTAGTATCCCTGCTGTACAGTTTTCACATGACTACATGACTAGTACTTAGTAGTACATGTATTTTGCATGACTCTTATTGTTTAGAAGCATACAGTACTTCCTACATTTACGATTGTTCTTCCATGATCCTTGCATGGCGCCACTACACACTGGAGAGTAGCTAGACCAACACTAATTATCAGTAGTCTTCATTGTTTCCAAAATACAATACTTGTGCCGCTATGCTTCATTTGCAAGAGGTCCTTGTGCAGTTGTATGGACTTATCTTCACTGCGATATCAGTTTCATGCTCCAATGCTTCCTTTGTAGCACTGAGGCGTGCTGCGATTAAATGGTGGCAGTGAGGTTGCAACATGCCAAGGGAGGAGCTAGCTCGCTTGCATACTGACTGGACCTGTGGGGACCAGGACATATGGCTGTCGAATATAACACCAAGGTGTTTGTGTTCATGAACAATTTTAACGTTAGCATTGGCTCCTGGAAAGTGCAACGGCTGAGTAGGCGGCGATGGGCTGATGAACATTGCTTCGGTCTTCGCGATGTTGGGCCTCAGCTTCCAAGCTTCCATCCATGCTATGGTGGAGTTAATGCCGGTCTGCATGGAGGTAACGAGGTTGGACGGCGAGCTGTCAGAGCACAACAGTGCAGTGTCATCAGCAAAAAGGCTGACGTCTGGAACTAGAGAGGGCAGATCGTTCACATAAGTTAGGAAAAGAAGTGGACCCAGTATGGACCCCTGTGGAACACCAGACACTACAGGTAAAGGATCGGACAAGGAAGCAGAGACACGGACAGTTTGATGACGGGACGACAAATATGACGACAGCCACTGCAGAGCTGCACCATGTACTAGAAAAATGTCCTCAAGCTTTGCAAGTAGGCCTGGATGCCAGACTGTATCAAACGCTTTTGACAGATCAAAAAAGACAAGACCTACATGCTTCTTCAGATTACGATGTCCGTAAATATCCTGGATTAAGCGTGTCAATTGCAAAGTAGTTGAGTCGCCACGACAGAAGCCGGATTGTGCAGAGGAGAGGGCAGGGGTGACATGGTGGTAGAGAGATTCATAGAAGATGCGTTCACAGACCTTGGATATAGTTGGTAGGAGGGAGATGGGCCTGTAATTAACAGCTTGGGAGCGTTGTCCTTTCTTAAAGATCGGGACAACAATAGCAGATTTCCACGCAGATGGGAAGACTCCTGCACGATATGACAAGTTGAAGAGCAAGCACAGGGGATACGACAAGGAAGGCACCAGCAGTTTAAGGACTTCATTTGGAATTCCGTCTTTTCCAGGAGACTTGCAGCTCTTTTAAAAGACGTTTCAGTTGTTTGCGGACCACACCAGTTGTTGTAAAGACCTCCAGAAGTGGAGCGCGCAGCTCTGGAGCTGGGTGCAGGGGCGGGATAACCCAGTTCGGATCGTCGGGAAGGCCGGGAGAGACAAACTGTTTGTTCAGAGTGTGGTGTTTGTAACCACAGACATAATCATTGTGAATCACCTGAGGGCCAGACTATTGTTGGTAATGCTAGACCTTATGGAAGTGTCGAATGACCGCACTTGGCATTCATCCATTCCTGCATGCTAGCTATCTCGTGTGTTTGGACTACCTCCATTATCTTCCTTTTATATTGCTCTACTCTGTAATATTCAACCAGTTGCGTACTGGACAAGTGAACTACGGTTGTGCTTTGTTTTGGGTGTTGTGAGTCACGGACTAAAACACTACAGTGGCGACGAAGATTTTGTTTTTCTAGTGTGCTCCGAGCATTACTAGTATTAGCTCCGGCTATGGCGACTCATGGACACATTGAGTTGTTTGATGTCACTGGCGGAAACTGGTCGACGTACGAACTACGCTTGACGCAGTATTTGGCAGCCAACGGCATCGATGATACCTGAAGCGAGCAACGATGCTCACGGTCATCGGAGGTCCAGCATTTGAACTGCTGCAAGATTTGCTGGCCCCGAACGCCCCAACTGACAAGACGTTTGCGGAACTTTGCGCGGCTCTCAAAGGACATCTCGCACCGAAACCACTTGTCATTGGAGAACGATACCGATTCTACCAGAGGGACCAACGTCCAGGAGAATCGATCGCCGCCTACGTGGCTGAACTTCGCCGTTTGGCAAGGACCTGCGAGTTCAATGCCCATCTTGCAGAAGCTCTGCGAGATCGCTTCGTCTGCGGACTGAGGAGTGCAGGTACGCGGAGGAAACTCCTGGCCACGGACGCACTGACTTTCGACAACGCCGTCAAGGACGCGCTGGCTGATGAGCTGGCCACCAGGGACGCTCTGGAAGTCTCCGCGACGGATACGAAGAACGCTAGCGGTGGTGTCCACAAACTTCGCACCCCATCGAGAAAGCCTGTGCCTGGTGCACGATCTACGTGTTTTCGCTGTGGCGGCGTTGGACACAAGGCGCCTTACCTGACTGCCGCTACAAGGACGAAGTTTGCAATGCGTGTGGTAAGAAAGGCCACTTGCAGCGGGTTTGCCGAAGCAAGCCAGCTGAGCAGCCAGGAGCGCGACCAACTCCGCGACCCAGATCATTCAAGCGCAAAGGCTCAGCGATGACAGGTCACAACTATTTGTTTGCGAGCGACGAGGACGACCAGTCCAGCATTCGCTATGTGCGTGTCTCCAAGATCCAGTCGAGCGGAAAGCCACCAGCACCACTCACGATAACCGCACAGATCGCGGGACAGGAGTTATCTATGGAAGTAGACACGGGCGCTGGTGTCTCTGTTTTACCAGCCGCAACATACGTGCACTTGTTCTCCGAACACCCGCTTCGCCCAGCAAAACTGGTGCTGCAAGCCTACAACGGTGAATCGCTTCGATCGCAAGGCGTGCTGCGCTTGCCTGTCACCATCAACGGTCAGCAAGCGGAGGCTGAGCTGTACGTGGTCGACTGCGAGGGCCCAGCATTGCTAGGACGCACATGGCTCCAGCAATTTCGCCTCAACTGGACAGAGCCTACGGTGAATCGCTTCGATCGCAAGGCGTGCTGCGCTTGCCTGTCACCATCAACGGTCAGCAAGCGGAGGCTGAGCTGTACGTGGTCGACTGCGAGGGCCCAGCATTGCTAGGACGCACATGGCTCCAGCAATTTCGCCTCAACTGGACAGAGTTGGCGGCTATCAGGAATGTGAAATCCTCACTCCAGGAGTTACAACGTGACTTTGCAGCGGTATTCAATGATGAACAAGGATTGTTCAAGGGGGCGAAAGCCAAGCTCACGCTGAAGTCTGATGCGACTCCAAAGTTTGTCAAGGCACGATCGGTGCCAATGGCGCTGAAACCCAAGGTTGAAGCAGAGATACGTCGCATGGAGGCTGCTGGCATCCTCACTCCGGTGGAGTGGAGCGAATGGGCAACACCTGTGGTACCTGTTCTGAAGCCAAACGGCCAGGTCAGGCTATGTGGAGACTTCAAGGTGACGGTGAACCCCCAGCTCCACATCGACCAACACCCGTTGCCGCTCATCGAGGAGATCTTTGCCTCACTCTCCGGAGGGCAAGAGTTTACAAAACTCGATCTGAAGGCAGCGTACACGCAGATGGAGGTGGACGACGAGTCGAAGCCCCTGCTTGCGCTCAACACCCATCTGGGTCTGTTTCGACTCAACCGTCTCCCATACGGGATTGCGTCTGCTCCCGCGCTAGGGCAACGAGCCATGGATTCTCTGCTACGAGACCTGCCAGGCGTTAAGTGCATGATCGATGACATCATCGTCACTGGCCGCACACCGGAGGAACACCTCAAAACGCTGATGAAGGTGCTCCAACGTCTCGCTGATGCGGGCCTCAAGCTCAACCTGGCCAAATGCCACTTCTTTCAGCCGAAAGTGGAATATTGCGGCCACGCCATCAGCGCACAAGGCCTGCACACGATGCCGAGCAAGGTTGATGCAATTTGTGATGCTCCGCCGCCGGAGAATGTGCCGCAAGTACGCAGTTTTCTGGGGCTCATCACCTACTATCAACGCTTCATTCCGAAGACGTCAACTATCCTGAGTCCACTAACAGCGCTGCTGCAAAAAGGAGCGGCGTTCGAATGGACAGATGAGTGCCGACAAGCCTTCCAAGAGGTCAAGCAGGTGCTGTCATCCCAACAGGTGCTCACACACTATGACCCGACACTGCCCGTTCGTCTCGCAAGTGATGCGTCACCATATGGGGTTGGAGCGGTCTTGTCGCACATCCTGCCATCTGGAGAAGAGCGACCGATCGCATATGCCTCTCGAAAGCTCTCGAATGCGGAACAGGCATACTCGCAGATCGACCGTGAAGCGCTTGCAATAGTGTGGAGTGTGAAACGCTTCCACAACTACCTGTACGGCCGGCATTTTGAGCTGCTCACGGACCACCAGCCGCTGGTATCAATCTTCCACCCGAAGAAAGGCCTGCCTGCTATGACCGTAGCACGTCTTCAACGCTATGCGATGTTCCTGGCCGGACATGACTACACGATCATGTACCGCCAAACAGACAAGCATTGCAACGCCGACGGATTGTCACGGCTGCCGGTAGGAAATCCTCCAGTACCAGATACGGCAGAGGAAGCGGTCAACATGTTCTACATGGACCAATGCGAACCACTCCCAGTGACAGCGGAGCAGATCAAGGAGGCAAGAGCCAGCGACCCGCTATTGCGTGAGGTCCATCGCTATGTGCTCCAAGGTTGGCCCAAGTCGTGCCCAAGAGCAGAGCTACAGCAGTACTTCCAACGCCGCAACGAGCTTAGCGTTAGCAACGAGTGCTTGCTATGGGGCAATCGCGTCATCATTCCGCCGGACCACCGGAAAGCTGTCCTGACAGAGCTTCATGAAGGCCATCCAGGAATGGTACGAATGAAGGCATTGGCGAGAAGCATCCTCTGGTGGCCGGGCTTGGACGGCGACATAGCAGACGCAGTCAAAGCATGCCTCGGATGCCAAAGTGTCCAGAGCGAACCTGCTGCAGCACCAGTGCACCGATGGAGCATGCCAGACCGCGCGTGGCAGCGCGTCCACGTAGATTACCTTGGTCCATTGCGGCAAACGATGTGGCTCGTCATTGTCGATGCCTATTCAAAATGGCCCGAAGTCATTCCGATGCCTTCCACAACGTCTTTTTACGGTATAATTATGATGAAGAAAGGAAAATGACAAAATGTTACGAGTTATGACAAACTGTCCACCAACGTAACCAGATCTTATACAGTCAGCGAGTGCGACAAAATGGCACAAAACTGACAAGGAGTACTGAGACATTCGGCGACCTGACACCTACTACTACTTATAGCTCCAACACTTCTCCAAGGCGCAAACCAACAACCTTCCAACTTGGAAGGCTCAGGTTCGGAAAGGTCCAAGAGGGGAAGGAAACGCGCTCGCTGACTGTATACGATCTGGTTACGTTGGTGGACAGTTTGGCGTTTGTAATAACTCGTAACATTTTGTCCTTTTCCTTTCTTCATCATAACTATATTTGGGGAACATACTACAAGTGACAATTGAAAGCTTCTGTTTATGTATACAATAAATGAGGAGGCCGAGGGTTTATTGGTCATAAACCCAAGGCCGGAGCATTTATTGTATTTAGAATCAACCAGTAAAAACTCCTACTCAATCTCCAACAACAAAATTAGTGGACAGTGTTATTTGTGTTGCTATGACAACTCGTGTGCTGGACGAGTATTTTGTTGTCATTGGTTCAATTTCTTTTACTCTTCATAGGCTATCAGATCATTTTCCTTATTCGGTCCATTTATAACCAGTATCAAGAGTGCATAAACAGTTTTTTTTTGTTTGTTTATGGACTCTTGCGCCAGTACACTCATACCTCGTTTATCCGGGCAGTCCGGGACCTTGCACTGCCCGTAACTTTGAAATGTCCGTAACTCCGAATCATATACATCTTGATGGGGAAAAGGCCATAATAAACATGGCATGTGACAGAACATGGCATGTGACGTCACTTTTTCCACACAAAGTGACAAAGGAGTAGTAATATTTCCACTGAAACTTTCCCCCAGGGTGCCCGGTAGACCGAAGTGCCCGTAACTTCGGGGTCCGGATAAGCGAGGTATGAGTATCTATAATGAGAGTGTGGTCTGTCTCCATGGTTACCGGTGTTCATTTCATAACTATAGCCACTGCTCCTTGTTAGACTTTATCTGGAAGGTCCATTTTTGCATATTCCAACAGCAGCCAGTACAAGGGAGCTAGCTCCCTTGGTTATGCGGACTAGGTCCGATCCTAAAAAGTTGTTTTTATGAACTGTTTTTATTGGATAGGATATGATTATGTTGAATAAACGAGGTTTGTGTCAATGGGAGATTGACTTGGAGTTTTTACGAGTTGATTCTAAAGAGAAGTAATGTCCAATGTAAACGGCATATGTACATAACTATGTACTATTGCAATAGTATTCCTTTCTTCCTATAAACACAGCTAAAACAGGTTAGGTATGCCATGTCGTGATAAATCTATTATTGCCCTCATAATCGGTCAATCGTGCAATAATAGATACATATAACATAAAATCTTCACTAGTAACATAAAAATAAAAATAACTTGCCATCAATTTACCCACCACCTTTGCCTTCATGATGATGATGATAAAGCATACTAGCGTGTCACACACCAGGGGCAAATCGGCGACACGGACCATTCACATATGCTGCTGCCGGGGCACTTCCCCTCATCCTCTTCCCTACCGCGAATGCTTTCTTGTGTGACCAATCTGGCCCAAGCATAGCAGCCATTGCGGCAAATCCAGATTGCCCCACGACCAGGGATTGACACTGGCTAAGAAGGTAAAGGTCGAAAAGAATCCGCTTGGCAGCTCGCTTTCGTGTCGCATCATCACTGTTTCCAGCTTCGTTTGATTCCATCAACAAATGCACCGGCCCAATACCAGCGCGTTCTGTATCAATAAGAATATGCTTCCGATTAGGAGACAAAGCTTTGGCAGCATCAAGAAGAGACTTAGAGATATCAGGCTTGTCACTCACCAATATCCAAGGTGTGGCCCCTGTTTTTCCACCTTGGGGAAGACGCTTCTCCGCAGCAAAGGCACAAGATGCAAATTCTTCCATTTTAAGATTGGGCTGAAACTTGGCCACTTTGTCCGCTAGGAATGCACCCGTGCGCACATGGAAGCAAACAGCCCTGCTCAAGCTGACGTCATTTTCCTTCAAGTACTTGTCAACAGCGTTGACAGTATCTGGCCTGAAGCTGAAAAGACGGCGAAATACAGAGCGATACACGGGCTCGTGCCCCGTCTTTCCTATCTCTTCCAGGTGGTGCTTCCGGTTGTACGGGTTCACAAATGAGAGTGCACAGCCCTCGTCGTGAACATTACCAACCCGCAGGACTTCCGGCAGGGACCTGTTTATTGCCAGCTCCTGTAAAACTTGACATTGAATAGCGTTAATGACAGGGCTAATGATAGCCGGTATAGGTGATGTTGAATCAGGCACAGGCAGAATGTCTTTGCCTTTGCTTTTCGCAAGAGCAAAGCGCTTCATAAGTGGCGGACACTCGTTCATATGCCAGTTGATTGTTCCTACCTCGCCACGCAGCAGGTATTCTTTTTTGGCTAAGTCGAAGTATGTCTCCACTGGGAAGTGAGAAGGTGAATTCATGAAGTAGGCTCTTCCGGTGACCACGGCTAGGAGGTACGTGGCCATAAATCCATTAAGGCCTTCACCCATGGCGTAGCACGGCTGGTGACAGGTAAGCACAACAGCGGAGAGTGGTATCTTGCCACTGCACATATCAATCTGTATGCGTGCATGTCTGTTCAGCAGATCCGTCCAGTCCGATGGCACTACTGGCTTTGGATAAGTGGTGTCCCAATTGTACACGTCCCAGTCTGAAGCTCTTGTTGCTGCTCTTGTTGCTGCCGCTCCTGTGGATTTCGCTATCCTTAAATCACTCTCTTTGAGTAAATTTGTTGCACTTGAGGACACAACTGATTGCCCATTCGCACTGAAGCGAATGTTTTTATCATGTCCATAATTGCCACCAGCATGTGATAGCGACGCCGACAGCGATCCTGCCATACTCCCCTTGCGCATGTCCACACTCAATACGATCCATAATATCACTGCTGCGAAGGTGCATACTGTAACAATGATGGTCTGTTTTGACCAGCGGCCCAGCGTCGGCATGGTGCACGTCCTGAAAATTCGCCAGTTTACCCCGTCTCAATTCGTTCCATTCCACCACCAGTTACACCTAACCTATCTTCTAAATCTAATAATCTTCGGAAATATACGTTATCATGATTGCAACAGGTCAGCAAAGAACGAAATAGAGGAGTCAGCCCGGTAAGTGGTGAACTATTACCGAGTAAAGAAGCTCCCACAGTCCCATGGGCCGGCTAGGGAGCTTATAATTATACTCGCAGTCCCAGGGTCCGGGAGCTTATAAATACATGACTATGATTGTACTCTTGAAGTAAAATTACTATAACTATAAGTAGTTGACAATTGACGGTAAAATCGATCGATGATAAAAACTTTTTAAAAAAGTACTGAAAACCTGCATTTTTGTGACGTTTGAATCAGCTACATGTGTGTGCAATGATTATCAGGGAGTCGTAAAATACCGGTATTTTACGACTCCCTGATGATTATGTACACATGTAGCTACGCGCAGTTGCTGACGTGAACAATACTGCGGCGGCAACACGACGACAATCATCTACAACAGAACAAAAGAGGGAAAAATTTCTACATGACATAATGTATACCGTATTATCTCTAATATAAGCACGGTCCTTTATTTTTTCAATGTACCTCCGCCCCGTGCTATTATTGGAGACGTTCCTTTATTGGAGACTGTTCCATCATTATTTCAACCTCATTTCAGAGGCATGTTGCCATGCCAAATTCATGTATGACACACACATTTCAGGGTTTTTTTCGCCGGTACAGATAATGAATTTACGCAGTGTGCTTATAATAGAGACTGAGCACTTTATTTTTTGAATGCCGCCCCAAGGTGTTCTATTATTGGAGACGTGCTATTATTGGAGACTGTGCTTATAATAGAGATAATACAGTATCCTACCCGGCCGGGGATCGGGGAGCAGTACGTACATCTCTTTAAATCGTGCAATAATAGATACATGTACATGTATCTATTATTGCACGATTTAAAGAGGTATAGATCGAGTAAAAGACCGAGGTCCCCCGAGGTCTTTTACGAGGTCTATATTTCATAATATTGACCGATTATGAGGGCAATAATAGATTTATCATGACATAGCATACCTAAACTGATTTTAGCTTTGTTTATAGGAAGAAAGGAATACTATTGTAATACCGTATTATCTCTAATATAAGCACAGTCTCCAATAATAGCACGTCTCCAATAATAGAACACCTTGGGGCGGCATTCAAAAAATAAAGTGCTCAGTCTCCATTATAAGCACACTGAGTAAATTCATTATCTGTACCGGCGAAAAAACCCTGAAATGTGTGTGTCTGACATATAAATTTGGCATGGCAACATGCCTCTGAAATGAGGTTGAAATAATAATGGAACAGCCTCCAATAAAGGAACGACTCCATTAATAGCACGGGGCGCCGGGCGGAGGTACATTGAAAAAATAAAGGACCGTGCATATATTACAAAAAAAAAAAGGATATTTACTCGGATACGATAAACTTGGCAATTGGACACACGCGTGCAATTGATTTTTTATCTTGGCCGAGGCCCTTTTGCTCGCGATTATCTTTGCACGCCAGGAAAAGTGTCAGTTGTTGAAAGTGCGTACTGCAAATGCAGTGCTTGAACCTAGGGAGTAGTACAATACCGGGTATTGTACTACTCCCTGGCTTGAACAAGGGAAAATTCAAAATTGAATATTTCCCGGCATTTTCAGGTCACTTGTGACTATGGATACTGTATAAGCAGAAATATTCGTCTGGAATTTAATTTCGTCTTTTTCGTCCAAGGAGATTTTGGACTAAATTAAATGTAGGACGAATATCAATTTGTCCAGCTGTTCTATACACTCTTATGATCCATGGACGAAATTTTCAACCGGACGAACTCCTTTTCTTTGGAGTTGGACGAAATTATTGACCGACGAAATTTTCTGCCTCTACAGTACATTGACGGTTGCGAATTTTGCCCAGCACCGTGTGAACTGGATCACGGTTTGCCAGTGTTATCTTGGTCACACGTGTGCAAGTGTTTACACGTCGTGGGAATGGCCTATAACTTATAAGAGATTACAAGTTTCTGTGGGGGTCAATAATAAGAGAGTGATAAAATACCATATTGGTTACTTTTCCCGTTTGTGTCTTTCCCTCAAACTACAAAAGTGTAGTCAAGATTATTGGTATTGTACTATTATTGTATCGTACTACTCCCTGATCCTACCAACCCCTAGAGTAAAGAGGTTCAAATGGTCGCAAGACCGGGACTCTGCCAACCGGGTTATGGTTGTAGCAAGATCAATAAGAGCAAGAGTACATGTACGAGATAACCATGTACAGTAGGTATCAGTTATAGCGTGGGTGTTTGAAAAACGACTTTCTGTTCTTATTTCCGATATTTCTTACACACGATAAATCAAGTGTGGCATATCATATGCATGTGCACAGGGGCAGGAAGATCATCGTACATGCAACGCAGTACTTCTGTGCATGTGGCTGGTCATAGTCTCCAGTAGGCCATGTCAGCTGGCAATCTCCCTTCAGCAACAGCACAGTTGGGTTTTGTTCATGGCCTTGAACCTGCACTTGGCACAAACATGGCGAGATGTGAAAATTCTAAAAAAAGGTACAGATTGCTCAGGTAGAGCTAAAAAGGAGATGGCCCAGACTGCCAAAAAGGCTATTCTTATGTAACGGTCTTGGTAAACCATTCCTGGTAATTTCTCAAACGCCTAGCGATATCAGAATAGAAATTGTAGAAGATCTTGCTTAGCAGCAAGAAGCAAGCAGCCGTATTGGACTCCATTAATCAAACAATGGCGAGTTCCACACAAATGGCAGACCAACATTGTTGAAGCGAACTTGCTTGTCCAAAGCGTCAATGGCGGACACCTCTTCATCGGTCAGTTTGAAGTCAAAGATGCTCATGTTCTCTGTAAGACGACTTGGTGTGACCTGTACAGGGGGAGGGAGAAGAAAGACGGGCAAAGCGGCAGCAGTACTTTCTATTTGATGACCTGGCACTCTGTTGAGAAGTACATGTACATTGAAGTACTATGAAAGAAGAATTCTTTTCTAGGTGACCCTACCTATAGAGCGATCTAGTATCGGCGCCACTGTCCCTGCCAGTATCATGCCAACCGAACCTCTGGTTCCAAGCAAAATAAGTGTCTGCCTTGGGGGTTAGAACACATTGTGTAGATCGCTGTACTGTTTCACCATTCCAACACAAACGTGTACTTGTTCTCTGCATCCAAAGGTCGAAGAGGCCACCTTGATACTTTTTATTATTTGACAAGCTGTTCTTCATTACAGTCTAGTCTTTTGTTTTCATCATCACAAAACAAAGTGCCCCTTTACGGTGTCGCTGATTTCTTCTCTGACGAATCAAAGCTGATAAAGAAGGATGAGAATGACCGGGAGTCGATACGATCCAAGACTTCAAACTTGCTCCACATGCTGCATGTATTTCTACAAAAATGATGGCCACAATTAAAAAAACACAAGCTGCTTTACAATATGGAGCTAAGCAGATCCCGTGTGTTATCACTGGGATGGAGACCTTACACTGGCGACAATTGAACGGCAACATTGCCAGCAACCAACCTTCTTATTAGCACAGCTGAGATCACTACCACTAACTCGTACTGTTGCGACCAGCGTGGCTCGCGGCTAAGTTGCTCGTTTAGGAGCGGGAAAGTGATCGGCCAATGGTTGTCAACACAGAGTTCTACACATCCATGGTATGGGCGACACTAACTAGCGCCGCTGTCCGGTATTCAGGAGGTGTTTGCGGCGCAGAAACAAAGTGCCGATGTAAGTTTATATCCCTGGCGATGTTTGGGTGCGGAGAGCACTATGCATGTGGTGCCCCTCCGGCACCAACTTCCTTGGCTCACTCAAGCTAAACTAATGAGGGGCGGTGGCATGTCTGAACACTGGACTGGGTACAGAGCACGGAATGGTGCATGTTTGCAGGTTTGCCGAGTCGAAAGCTTGGTGGGCTTCTCGTGCGCTCTGGGTGGTAGCTGTGAGTCAGCCAAGTATCAAGTCGAGTCAACGGGAAAGGCGCTAGTTCGAACGCTGAATCCAACCTTAGGAACAAAGCAGCAGCGTGTTCCTTGCAAAGCTCAGTATTCGTACTGAAGACTAGAGTGAAACCCGAACAAGCCGATCGCTCAAGGGACCGTAGAACTGTATGTGGATTGTGGACCCTGTGTACAGGTGGTCTTCTAATCCATTCATTTGACTGGAAATAACATTCCTTGGTCCAAGTAGTTGTAGTGGTCCTCTGGGACAGGTTGTCACCCTATCAGAGTGGTCACATTGACAGGTTTTACTGTAGGTGCACGGGTACATGGGCCACATAGCCACATAGTCACATAGCCACATAGTCACATAGCCACATAGTCACATAGCCACATAGTCACATAGCCACATAGTCACATACCCACATAGTCACATAGCCACATAGCCACATAGCCACATAGCCACATAGTCCCGACGCTGTTACTTTGAGGTTGGACGTTCCCACCGTTGTACAAGAGAGAGTAAACGAATACACAAGACACTACACATGGTGGGCACTGGTGAAGCTTTTAAAAGTTCTCTCGTCGATACTGTTGAGAATAACCTTGTTATTGGGGGTGACTAGAACAGCCTGGACTTTCAGGAAGTCCCAGGCATTTAAATTTTTGATACGGCCTACTTCAGCTATAAAAGCGATCAGCTGGTCAGAAGCCGGTTCAGAATAGAGTGACTGCACCCGCATCTGAAAAATATCTTGTATTGTAATGTACCGGCACCTTTACTTCATTGAATTAAACACATGCTCAACCACCTCTGCACACGGGCGGCAAATGAAGTAAACACTGGCCCGCATGCCCCTGCATACAGCCAGCAAAATCCAATGAAACAGAGGCTTCTCTTGTTGCTGCAGAGGCAATGATTCCAGGGCACTAGCACTTGCAGTGTGACTTGGCATTCGTGTGATCTAACAGCGATTTTCATTTACACTTTTGTTATTAGTTTGCTTCACACCTTTTATCAGTCATTACGTATGATTTATAATGCAGTGGCAGTACCAGGCGTGGGCCATCCCCTGGATTATCAAAATGGGTGCCTTATCATTTTTCTGTTGTTTTTACTCTTCTTCGTGCTTCGTAATAAAAGTCTCATTACCCGCGAAAATGAAACAGAGGGCTGCACTAGGCCAGCCACTGCACGGAACACAACCTACCGTCTTCGGGACAACGCTGCAACCTTTCTGGACATTCCATCGGAGCGCAACCTGCAAGACAGCACAGAACAAAAAAAACAGATTGCAACTACCGTAAAGTACCGCCAGAGCGCCCCGTCTCGCGAGAGCGCCCCACCTTGATTTTACAGCCATTGGAAGAAAATCGTATGGCAGAGTGCTACTAAGTTTGTACGATGTGAGAACTTTAGTGTACTAAGGTCACAAGTGACATGTTCTTATGTGGAGCTGGCATCCCCTCGAAGGTAAACTGGGTACGGATTGCCTGCACAATGTGCATTGTTTGTGCAAGGTTCGTGTCGTATGACCTACAGACAGGAAACCACCTCCACAAGACGACCACGAAAAGACGAGATGGTGGGGCGCTCTGGCGGCACATTACGGTACATGTATGTGCAGTCCTTGTGCACACATGCTGAGATCAACTTGATCAAAGCAAGGGCAACTGTGATACAGTAACCGCAATAACACTAGGTGCCGAAAAACGGGAGGGGGCTCTCCGCTTCAGGCCAATGGTGTTTATATTTTCAAGATTCCAACGTCCTTGTTCTTATTCACTACCTTGTACATTCACATAGTGCAGGTATGCTGTGCAAGCAGTGTTACATGGAAAGTTGGAAGCACACGCTGATGTGTTTCCTCAATCTTTGCTTCAAGTCTTTCTGTGAGAACCGGACCTATGTGCCGGTAAGAAGGCAATCATGCCTGGGCAATTAGTGAAGTAAAATAAAAGTCAACAACAACAACAACAAGTCTGGCACGTTCAAATACCCAGTAAATGTTTTTGACTGTATTCTAGCCTAGTTGTTCTTTGAAGCCTGTAACATTACTTGTATACGTGCACATGCTTGTGAGAGGGTTGAGACGGTCGAGGCGGTTGTGTTATGGTCTGACGAGGATGAGGATGAAGGTATTTGCACAGAAATGCACCAGGCACCAGCCACATGTAGACTAAATTAGTGGCAAGTGAAATCCGAACCTATGTGCATTTTACACTGCGCTGCCACCGTCGGCCGGCTGTACGATTGCATTTTACACTGCGCTGCCACCGTCGGCCGGCTGTACGATTGCATTTTACACTGCGCTGCCACCGTCGGCCGGCTGTACGATTGCATTTTACACTGCGCTGCCACCGTCGGCCGGCTGTACGATTGCATTTTACACTGCGCTGCCACCGTCGGCCGGCTGTACGATTGTCTTCACTGCATCTACCACTATATGCTGCAGACAAAAAAACGTTGTTAGAGCGCTGGCGTTGGATGAATGCACTGTATGCTGGTAGATGTCAGTGAGTGCATGTCACGGGTAACCGTGCACACCTGCAGCACTCATCACATCGTTTGCATGTTATACGCACCGTTTCTGGTCATGCATGACATCTTGTGACGTACGCACTGCATGTACGCACACCGTAAAGTACCGCAAGAGCGCCCCGTCTCGCGAGAGCACCTCATCTTGATTCTACAGCCAAGGGAAGGAAAATCGTATCCAGAGCGTTGCTTAGTTTGTACTGTGTGAGAACCTTAGTGTACTAAGGTCACACTTGGCATGTTTTTTTGTGTGGAGCTGGCATCCACTCAAAGGTAAACTGAGTACAGACTGACTGAACAACGTGCAATACGGGTACAAGGTCCGTGTCGTATGACCTACTGACAGGATGCCACCTCCACAAGACGACCATGAAAGGACGAGATGGTGTGGCGCTCTGGCGGTACTTTACGGTACATACAGAGCTAGACCGACGGCCTCCGACAACAGGTCTTCTTCTTCTTCTTCTGCTTCAGGTGGATTCTGGTCATGGTTGTTCTTCACTTCTCGGTACAGCTTGGTAATAAGCATAACTTCATACCGGCGGTACATGGTATCACTCTGACATAGTCAGGTACCAGTAGATAACTGTTAGACCACCGGGCTCACCTGAGCTGGTGTTTTGCCATAGCGAGCACCAATCTCCTGCACCAGGTCCAGCTCCAGGAAGTTCTTGCTGTCAAACGGCACACCCAGCACTTGGTAGGATGGGTAGCCGAACGGGGAGTACGCCGTCATGTGGATGTTGTACCTTGACAATAGCCTGCCGTACACACACACACACACACACACACACACACACACACACACACACACACACACACACAGCATACGCGCATGCACAAATCCCAGTACATTTTCAAGCATGTACAGTTGAACATCGATTATCCGCACATCGACTATCCGACCATTCAATTATCCGTAACAGTTTTTTTGGGCGCAAGTGCCGTTGAGTACGCACTGTGCATGTAGTGAGCCATTCAAAAAATACGAAAATTTTGAAAAGTAAAAAGGTCGTGCGGCTAGTAATAACCACTGAAAGTGTGTGAGTGACAGTTTTTTCTTATCCAGAACATTTGCCTTATCTGAACACCGCCTGACAGTTGTCTGCCCAGAGCTGCAGAGGTGGTCGGATAATCGATGTTTAACTGTACAGTAAACCCTGGTGTAAGTGACCTCTGGTTTGAGCGACCACCTGCTCTCAACGACCGTTTTCCATGCACGGACCGTTCTACACAGAAACTGCACTGGATACAGTGACTACCTGCCTTGCGCGACCAACGACCGACTTTTACGGACCACATGCTATATTGGACCTGCACACAGCGATCAAAACTAGCCAAAAGTGCCATCTTGGCTGGCAGGGTTGACTGCAACAGGGTTGAAGCGCGCTCTGAAGCAAGTGCATGCAGTCAACAGAAGTGACAAGTGACAGTGCAGGATGTGCTGCACGCACTTGAGTGAGGTGTGCTTTGCCTGCACGAAAGTATTCTAGGCTCCACACCTGTCAATATGAGTACATGAAAGTACAATCATGCACATGTATGCACCCAATTGGATATGCCACAAACGTGTGCGACCTGGTTCTAAAGACCACCTGGCTATAACGACCGCCTTTGCTTGCACCGTAGAGTGGTCGCTTAAACCAGGGTTTACTGTATTGGCCATTGCTGTCTGATGATTATTGTCAGGAGCAGGCTAGACTGTAGCCAATCAACTATGCAAACTACCACACCAAATGGGGATACAGACACGGACACAGACATAACCAAACACATATAAACACACGCACACACAGAAACACACACATGTACACACACAACACACACAACCTACCTTCTCAGCACCGGTTGAACAAGATACGGGTGAGACTCGACCTGCATGGGAAGAGACGCAAGACAACAAAGTGACAAGTAAGGTTCTATTCTCGGCCAAATAATAAAAAAAGGAAGGTGTGAATCATGTGATCATGACGGCGAAGAAATGTCAGTATTGGATGTGTATGCACCAAATGTACATGATTGTGTATCAGAATTAGGACCAGCATTGCAAGATTTGCAACAGTTACAATCTCAACCAGTGTGGCCTGTGCCATATTTGCTGCCCACAACTCGACAATGATGGCGCCACATCCCATGCTGCGTGTGCCTCGAGACCTGAGATATTACATCCTCTCTTCACCCCACAAACACTGAGATATTACATCCTCTCTTCTCCCTACAAACATGCACACGACGAGTACAGGTGGTAGTGCATCAAGCCAACAAGCAGAGGACGTTGACATGGCAATTGTTCCCTGCATCAAGTACATGACCGTACAGTGCAGTAACAATAAGTGCGGTGTTGATTTTAATATACCTTTATCATGTCATGCGACATTCATCCAATCGCTTCCATCTAATCCCTTGCAAGTAAACCTGCTTCATACTTCATTTTGCGCACAGGAAACACATCGCGCGATGGGCCAAGCAAGTTGAGCTCAAGTCAACTGTTTCGCAATGCTACACGTCTCCCATGCATGAGATGAAGTACGAATCAGGCTCTAGGTGACAAGAATGCTACTCTCAAAGTGAGACACATTCCGGTTGGAGAAGAGGTTCGTTGAACCTGTGTTGAGGACCTTATGCCATCTTGCTGTCTGTGATCAACTTGCACGTGACAAGGTAGTAACTTAGAGCACACTAACCTGGTCCACAGCTGGTGGAATTCTGGCATAAGTCATCAGGTCTGTGATGAGAATGCAATTGAAGTTAGCCACACCAATACTGCGAGCTGTACACAAACAAACACACACGTGCACGCGTACATGCACACACACGCACGTACATGCACACACACACACACGCACACACACACACACGCACACACACACACACGCGTGCACGCATACATGCACACACACATACACACACACACACACAAACACACACACACACACACACACACACACAAACACACACACACACACACACACACACACACACACACACACACACACACATGGTCAAAGACACACACACACATGGTCAAAGACAGACAGACACACACATTGAAGTTTCGCTAAATATGAACCCAGTATATTAACATGCCCACATCTCCAGAAACTCAAGACGCATTCCCTAGCCAAATAGCCTGTCAGTAACAAGTTACTAACAACAGCACAGAGTTTTTCATTTTGATTTTTCTCTCTGGCTGTATCCAAAATTGTATCACTGTTGTAGATTTTTCAATAAAAGTATTGAACAAAGTGTTTGTTGTTGTTGTTGTTGTTTCAAATCTTTATCCTCACGATAGCCAGTGGCGATGTTTGAAATCTTTTATTCTCATGTTGTTGTTGTTGTTGTTGTTGTTGTTGTTGTTGTTGTTGTGTCGCATTCCTTTATGTCAAATCAACAATACTCCGATTCCTAGCAAAGACTGCGGTTAAGGATAAACATCTCACCGAGACCAGCGTCGACAAGACCTTCCATAGCCTGCCAGGTCTCTTGAATAGGAACTTTGGCCTAAACAGAACAACAACAACAACAACAACAACAACAACAACAACAACAACAACAACAACAACAACAACAACAACAACAACAACAACAACAACAACAACAACAACAACAACAACAACAACACACACAGACACACAGACACACATGCATGCACTCACAAAGATACACACACACACACACACACACATGCACACACATTGTGTGAACACCAAACAAACCCACCAACGATCCATTCGGAATAAGAGACATTCGTGATTGGAACCATAAACAGGTCGAATAGTGTTTTTTGGGGATTTCCCTTTTGCAGTCACATGTACATAATATGTACGTACTCGATCTGTATGCACATCTTCAAGGACGCCCAGAACCTCACACCAGTGCAGTAATCCTTCAACGATGCTCAATTCTGACCAGACGAAAGTTGTGGAGTGAGCACATCATTGGCTTGTGCCCTGTTCTTCTTCTTCTTGGTGGTGGTTGTCGCCGTAGCAGTTGCCTCCTGCTGTTCTGAGGTGGTTGTGCGGCGAGTCTGGACTGGGCCTTACTTAGCTCTCGGCACCAGAAAACCAGACAAGAAGACGTTGCAGCAGTGCAATTGGCCACGCATGCATGGCAATGCCCAAACCAAGCACACACACACACACCTTCGACCTTTTGACGCCCATCGCCGGAGGCGATGATAGCAATGCTACGGCAGAAGCCATAGCAACTTGTGCTGGGATTGCACCATTCAACAGCTTGCAAGGCTGAAGAATTGACCGTCACTATTCAGCCTGGTCTACACCAGGCAGCTATTTGAAGTGACTTTTTCTGGCCAGAGAATCTCTATTTTTGGTCTTTTCGGGGGGTTTTCTTCCCCTGCACACACATCACACCACATACTACGGCATGCACTGGCTATTGGTAACCACCCAGGAGAATGAAAGAACAGTCAGGAAGAGTCTGAGAAAGAGAAGAAAGACGTGTGTGACCATAATCGTCGGGAATCGAACCCGCAACCTATCGATTGGAAATCGCTGCACATACCACTGCACCATATGGGACACACACACACACACACACACACGCACGCGTGCGCACACACACACACACAACATGTGAACTGACCATCTGTGGCAAGCCGTTCTCGTCCATCTGAGCGCCGGGTGGGTACCTGATGTAGACAAGCAACAGCACAGGAACAGTGGGCTATTTGAGTATGACAAGATGCCAACATCACTACTGCCACTGCAGCCTACATGCACTGTACGGCAGGTGACTGCAGACCATACACACATCAATACAACACATACTGGTACTCCGACACTCTTAGAGAATCAATGATGACTGGTGGTGTTCCTACGGATGCGGAAAACTAGGCCTCCAGCCAAGTCTCACGTGAACCTTGAATATTATTGAATTTTTTATGATCAGCTGAAAAGCTTACTTCTCCGTGACGGGCACATATTTCATGGCCAGCGGGAAGTGGATGAGGTACAGGTCGACGTAGTCCAGGCGTAGATCCGACAGCGTGCGCTCAATGGCCTCTTGCACATGCTCCCTGATAAAATGAGGACACGCACATACACACACGCACATACACACACACACACACGTGTATAAGTTACATGCATACATGTACCGTAAAGTACAGCGAGAGCACTCCATCTTCATTTTACAGCCAGGGAAAGCGGAAATCGTCTGGCAGAGTGCAAAAAGAGGTGTACGGTGTGAGAACCGCTGTGTACTACACGGTCACACTTAGCATGTTCTTGTGTGGAGCTCCAAGGTAAACTGAGTACGGATTGACTGCACAGCGTGCAATGTGTGTACACGGTATGTGTCGCATGACCAACAGACAGGACACCACTTTCACAGCATGATCGCGAAGGGACGAGTAAGAACAACAACAACAACAACAACAACAACAACAACAACAACAACAACAACAACAACAACAACAACAACAACAACAACAACAACAACAACAACAACAACAACAACAACAACAACAACAACAACAACAACATTAGCCACTGGCTATCGTGAGAATAAAGATTTGAAACAACAACAACAGCAGCAGCAGCAGCAGCAGCAGCAGCAGCAGCAGCAGCAACAACAACAACAACAACAACAACAACAACAACAACAACAACAACAACAACAACAACAGCAACAGCAACTACAGCAACAACAACAGTGTCACGTTTCCCTGCTTACTTGGCATGGTGAGTGTTCCACAGCTTGCTGGTGATGAACAAGTCCTTGCGTGTTACGTCGCCTTCAGCAATGGCTTCTTGTAGCGCTGCTCCGATCTCTGCCTCATTGCCATCTGGTACATGGTCGCAGGAGAATCGAGAATATTTCTTACGGAGCACTTAATACAGCCCTCTAAAGCAGCACCAAGTGTAGTCCGACGTCATGAATAAGGGTTGGTTCACAAAAGCCAAATCGGCGCCGGGAAGCACCGGCGGTGAGCCAGCTCCCGGTCCGTCCCGTATACGGTTCGAGTACTGCTGTAGTACCAAATATACTACATTCTGTTGAATACTATACGAAAACTCCTCTCTCTCTCTGGTCGTACTCAGCCGTATTTCCAGGCAAGTCTCCGAGTACCTGGGCAACATGCAATCTGGGTTCAGAGCTGGTCGCAGCACAGCAGATGTAGTGCAGGCGCAGAGATATCTCTCTGCCAAGGCGATACGGTCCCGCTGGGATTGCCACATCCTCGGCCTAGTGTGTGTGTATGTGTGTGTGTGTGTGCGTGTGTGTGTGTATGTTTGGTCGGGCTGGCATATACCACGTACTGAAGTAACTGGTTACGTGAGCGATGACCTACAGTTGTCGTAAGAGCGGGGTAGTAAACATACACTGTCCCGCAATGTCCTGTACCATGTGTGCGGTGTGTATGGTGTGTACGGTGTGTACGGTGCCGTCAAACATACCAAGAGCCGGCCTTCACCCACGTACTCAAATGCGACTTTCGAATTTCGACTACAGGATCATAACGTTTTAATGATTTGGTAGAATGTACATGTATTCAATGTGTATCGAGAGATACTAGTATTAATTCCCGTAGCTATGCAGAAGACGTTGCTTCAGTAACGTCTGGCGCTAGCCAGGGTCCACACAGCTTTAATTTGGTGTTTGTGTGTTTGTGTCACGCCTGGCGCTATCCCGTATCTGTCCCGTACCGTACCGTACCATCAAACACAGCTGGCCACATACAGCTGGCCGTGATATTCAAATAGGGCTTTCAAACGCAAGATCATAACGTGAAGCAACTTGGAAGAATGAGTATGAATGCGAAGTGTATGGGGAATGCATGTAGGGCGATAGTGCGGGTTCGAATCCCAGGTAATGCTTGAAAAAGAATAGGAGAATTGAAAAATTTATAACATCCCTTTTCTTTTTTTGCCGTCAAGGCGGTAGACGGTGTCGTATTTCCCTCGACCGTACCTGTCCCGTACCGGTCCCGTACCTGTCCCGTACCTATCCCGTACCGTACCGTACAATCAAAGACGGCTGGCCACAATGCATATTCAAATAGGGCTTTCAAATACAAGATCATAACGTGAAGCAACTTGGAAGAATCAGTATGTATGCGAAGTGTATCGGGGAATGCATGCAGGGCGATAGTGTGGGTTCGAATCCCAGGTTATGTCTAAAAACAAAAAGTTGAAACTTTAATATAAGAATTTATAACATCCCTATGCATTTTTTGTCTAGGTCATCAAGGCAAAAAAAAGCATAGCGTAGGGCCCTGAGCTTCCAAGCTCTTTCGTTAGCCTCAGAAAGTAAAAAAAAACGGGGCGCGGCTTATTCTCCAGTGCGGGTTATACTTCAAGTACTCCGGAAGATATGCTACATGCAATACATCAGTGTGGCTTTGAATCCCGAGTTTGTGTTATCACTGGAGTGTGTAATCACTGGAGTGTGTTATCACTGGAGTGTGTAATCACTGGAGTGTGTAATCACTGGAGTGTGTTATCACTGGAGTGTGTTATCACTGGAGTTTGTGTTATCACTGGAGCAAACACAATGAGGATGCACAGGTGCTTGCCGTACGCACAAGAGTCACACACAGATACGGCACGAGACGGCTGCCGCCAGCTCAGGGCCCTCGATAAGTCAGGCATGTGTTTGTGTTTGTACGTGTGTGTGTTTGTGTGTTTGTACGTGTGTGTGTGTGTAACGCCATGCCAAATATTGTTGACTTTGCGATTTCTCTCTCTTCTCTTCTCTTTTCTTGTCGTTGTCTCCCGCTTCTGGGAGCGGCGTGGCCCGATAGGGTAGCTGTACATGTAGTAGTGTATGTGTGTGTGTGTGTGTGTGTGTGTGTGTGTGTGTGTGTGTGCATGTGTGTGTGTGGCCGTCGTCACAAATAACTGATCGCATAACTGATGACACGAGCGACCACCAAGAGTCGTAGGCGACGTGGCAGCAGCGCAGCGAGCCCTGACACATGAGCATAGCGAGAGTAATGAGCTGGCTCTCTCATTTCGTATCTGTGTGTGTGTCACTGTGTGTGGTGTGTGTGTGTGTGTGTGTGTGTGTGTGTTTGTGTGTGTGCATGCGCGTGTGTGTGCACGCGTCCGTGTAGTATGCCCATGATCACGTGACAGGCCCACAAAGGGACGGTGGCGCACCCGGCGCGGGCGTTCACTCGTGACACGTGACTAAGCACCAGCTCTGCAAAATGACGATGACCTACATTCTAGTATTAATATCATCCTTCGCGACCTTTGTACTATGCAGGTGTTGTCCGTGGAGAATTTCAATTTCAATGATGTTCTACCAAGCATTATGTACTATGTAGGCAGTGCAGTTTGAAATTGAAACTACATGTACGGGTAATACGTAACTCTATTAATATTTCGAAAGTTTTCAATTGGGAATTTTCGCTGAGGACGTAATCAGTGACTTACAGTCAGCAGCACAGTCGAAATGCCTGTAGCCCAACTTGATTGCTGTGCGAATAGTCTCTTTAGCTACATTGCCCTCGATTTTCCAGCAGCCAAGACCGACCAATGGCATCGAATGCCCACTTGAAAGAGTAACACTCTCCATCCTGAACTGCAGTACTTTATTTACTCAACAACAACAAAAATAATACTTTCACCCTCGAGTCGAGGCCTCAGCTCAGATATGCACAGCGCGCGCGCTAGCACAGTAGCAGCAGACAAATGATTATGTAGCTAGCAGTAGGGCTACCGGTATACCGGTACCTGTACTACAAAAAAAGGTGCGCGGATTATTCCCGGAATAATTTGGGAATCGTTGAGAAAATTTTGGGAATTTTAGGGCTCACAGTTGCATGCGCGTACATAATCGTCATTCAACATCAGCGCCATTTTGTTCCACGAGGTGCTGGCGTGATCAGTGAAAACCGTGTTTCAGCCAATCGCCGGGCTTGGAATTTTGAATATTATTTGAATCTTCTATCGATTCGTTCTAAGGGTGCGTTCTTAAAGGGGAAGTATACCCTAAAATCAAATTTTCACCAGTTGTAGTCTTCGGGGTGCTGAGTCGAATGGTCTTGGTCCGAGGAAGCTGCGACGCTCCCTTCCTACTTGAATCCCAATCGAACTCACGCACTTCCACCGAAACTGGGTGACTGCGCCCTACTAGATGGGGATTTGTATGCAAAATGTCACTAAAAGCGCCATTTCGTTCTTATAAAAGCACGGATGACCGCGATTGGCCCATATGTTGTAGTCTTTTGGACGCTGAGTCGACTGGTTTTGGTCCGAAAAGGCTGCGATGCAGCGTTCCTCCTTTATTCCCAATCGAACATGGTTGAACAAGCGGTCACGTGCTCCTGGGTGCCCAAATCACCTGGTCACCGCGCCAGCAGGCGACAACTTTCACACCAAGGTTCAACTCGAGTTCAACTCGAGTGACAGGACTGCACCCAAAAAAGGTCAAACAGGCTAGTAAGTTGTACCCTGCAGGCACGGTGACCAGGTGACTGGTGTACGCAGGAGCACGTGACCGCTTCTTCAACCATGTTCGATTGGGAATAAAGGAGGAACGCTGCATCGCAGCCTTTTCGGACCAAAACCAGTCGACTCAGCGTCCAAAAGACTACAACATATGGGCCAATCGCGGTCATCCGTGCTTTTATAAGAACGAAATGGCGCTTTTAGTGACATTTTGCATACAAATCCCCATCTAGTAGGGCGCAGTCACCCAGTTTCGGTGGAAGTGCGCGAGTTCGATTGGGATTCAAGTAGGAAGGGAGCGTCTCAGCTTCCTCGGACCAAGACCATTCGACTCAGCACCCCGAAGACTACAACTGGTGAAAATTTGATTTTAGGGTATACTTCCCCTTTAAATCCTCTCGGAAAAGTTGGAGACTCTCCGAAAAGTTCGAGAGCTGTTCTTATACATGTATCCTCTCCGACTTTTAGGAGGCTCTCCAAAGCTCTCCAAGCTCTCCAAGCTTCAGAGGTGGTTGAAACTTGGAGATTCCCGCGGTTTGGGATCAGCGCATGCGAACTACGACTAAAAGCCACGTGTTCATCATGAGTGTACGCATTTCCCTTTTCGCATACGCACATACATTCATCACTCAAGATCGCGGCCCCTTTGACGCTTCATTTTGCTTGACATGTGCAAAATATCTCCGAATTCTTCGAGACCCGTTCTTGAGTAATCCCAGTTTCTTCGACTTCTCTTTTCTTCTTCTTCTAGAAGCTAGAGAATATAAGAACGCACCCTAAAGATCGACTTACCGGAGAGCCATGACATTTTCAAGGAGGATTCCCATGGCTGAAGGACTACAGTCTACAGACTGTACAGGATTACGGAACGATTTTTTCAAATCCGTGCTCTGATCATGAGACCCACGAACGGGATTTTTTTTTTTTTTTTTTTTTGATTTCACTCAGGGAGTCCGACGGTCAAATAATTATAATGTACGTATGTACATGATACAGATAGTGTAAAAACAACAGAAAAAAATGATAAGGCACCCATTTTGATAATCCAGGGGATGGCCCACGCCAGTGGTATAAATCATACGTAATGACTGATAAAATGCTACACCTGTGAAGTAAAAGAAAAAAAAAGGCCCAACCAGCATTTTGGGCTTACGGGGGTCGCCATGGCAAATAATAATAATTATTAAAGAACTTAAGACTATAAAATTAATGACGGGAAGTCAGTGCCAGCTTCGGCAGCAATTAGGGAGGCAGAAGAAGAGACAGGTGCATGTACAGCGACTTGAAACAGAGCGGCTACCACGCAGGCACATGACACTCGCTCTGAGCAACGCAAAGCTAAGGCGGCAGCGGATGAATGACATAACAACCGAATACGGTTCGCTGCTTTTCTCAGCAATGAGAGATGCAATTCGCTTGTAAAGCGAGGCAGATTGCTTGCCCATGCCACCGGTTGTCGAAAACTGAGACCAACGGGACAAACGTGAAGCAGGCTCCCGCAGCCTCTCTTCAAGTTCATACGATCTCTTCTTCGCTTTCTCATGGCGAACGTAGGTGGCAGAAATGGAGGAGGACTGGTTCGAAGACGCAAAAGGGTTGAACACCCGGACGTCGAAGAAGGTGCGTTCGAACCGCCCTCCCCACACTCCATTTGCTGCTACGTCCAAGCGAGCCTGGTCGTCGCGGATGGCGGTGCGATAGCGCAGCTGCTCCCCACTCAGGGGCTCCAGACAATGATGAGGCTCTACAGATACGTTGGTGGCAACACGCTTCAAGAAACCAGCGGTCACATCGCGGATCTCGTTATGCCTGATGGTAGGGTAACCGCCGGTGGGGCACGAGAGGGCATGGGCCACAGTAAACTGGCTTCCACAAACGCACCCTGATGGCATGCGCTGTGGTTGCCAGTTGTACCTTAGGTGCACTCCATCGCGAAACTCCGCTTTGGAGAGGGCAAATCCATGGCGCTTCAAGGGCCTGCAGGTCAGCCAACTGGAAGAGCCCTTCTCCGCAGCCAGGTCGATTACACGCTGCTTGGCCTCCGGCACACTGGAGCGGAGCAGCAGGGCTTGGGCTTTGACAGCATTCCGTGTTGTTATCCTCACCTCCGCCTTGGCAGTACGAACGAGACTGGTTGCAGAGCCGAGCGCCATAGTCTGCAGCTTGATGTTGGTCTGCAAGGACTCAGTCACCCTTCGCGATGCATCATACTGGGATGCGAGATCCACAGGATTGCCCAGCCCGAGCCCTCCGTGACGACATGGAAGCTCAAGAATTGACCTTTCCTCCGAGTTGACAATATGGCCGGTAAGAGCGGGGATGAGCCTCTTCATTAGCAGCTTCTCCACAGGCGTCAGAGCAGCTGCAGCTGTTGGTGTGGTGCGGCAGAGGAAAGACCACTTATTCTGCAGGCCTTGGGTGAGTGCAGCGTATGCAGCTTGTGGTTGCGTTTCCGCATACGAGGACAACTTCTCCACGAGGTTGAGCCATCTTGTTGCCTTCTGCTCAACAAAGCTATCCAGGAACGCAGGCGTACCAATAGCCGAACCCAGGTACCGGCAACCATCGACGCGGATGTCAACTCCAGTGTCGGCGAACATCTCCACTGCTCGGTCATAATGCTCCGGTTTAACCAGGAGAACCGACTTGGACGGGTTGAGATGATAGCCGTAGGCAGGACCTTGCTCTGTTAGGCTATGCCACCATGCACGCAAAGGCATCCGTGAGCTTGCCACCTGCTCCTGAGTCATCAGCAAACCAGGCTTGCACAGTATTTGCAGTAGAGACTGACTGCAGCAAAGGAAGAACACCGAGAGCATAGAGAGGCATTGCAATCGGGTCCCCCTGCGTGGTACCTTCGGAAGAGAGGATGACTTCTCCACCGACAAAGAGCTGTGCGGGTTGCCTGTAAGTGTTGATGACAACTGGTGACATGGCTGGACAAAGATGTTGGAGGTTCTGCAGATATACAGCACGATTCAAGCAATTGAACGCGTTTGAGGCGTCTGCTAGAAGGAGGCCTTCCGTTTCGTCATCTGCGAAAACTTCTCTCATGGCATGAATAGCGGCTTCTACTCCACACTCGTGACCGGCACAAAGCTGTAGGCTGCCGGCTGCTTCCAGGATGTCGTCTCGCAGAAGGCTGAGGATGGCTTTGCCCACAATCCGCCTTAAAACCTCCCCTATGCCGATGGGCCTGACACCCGGTTTTTTGTCCAATAGGAATAGGCGACATGACGTGTAGGCTTGCAGTGACCAGGGGTCTGCCATGGATGTCGCCAAGTGCCTTGCACATGAGGCCACCGCATCACAAAGGTCGTCTGACGCAACACCAAATTCGGTGCACATTCGTCTCCATGTGTCGGCATCCACTCCAGAAGGGCCTGCTGCGCCATGGGTGCTGAGTGCAGCCCGGCGAACAACATCTCGAGTGAGTGCTTCGAACCGTACGGGGTGTGGTGGTGCTGGAGGTGTGCCGGGAAGCACGGCGGCCGGTTGGGTTGGTTCGACAAGGGGATGCTTTTCCACTAGGATATCTCTGACTGGCCTGTCGCCAATCCTGTCATTCAGGTCAAGTATGCCTCCCGAGGTGTCATCATCCAGATATTGCAGTGCTGCACCCAGTTTGCCGTCGGTCACAAGCGAAGCAAACCGTCTGGCATTATCGGTGGTGATCCTGTCCCGTTGCGCCTGTTGCTTTTCCAGCTGGTTATGTATGGTGCGACATTCATGCAGGAGGTCTGAAAGCGCCCCTGCTCTCCACAGCTCCAGACGACGCTTTAGACACTTGGCATGCGAGGAGGTGGCAGCTTGAAACGGCTTCTGGATGAGTAGCAGCTGGAACACCATGGCAACTTTCAGAGCCTGGCCTTCAAAGGGACCGGCATTGCCAAATACCAGCAGATACTGGCTGAGCTGGTTCACAAAATCTTTGCCCACACCGCCACTGGGGACATCGAAGGCATTCGGCCGAAAATGCACAGCTTCGTCGTATGTTCTGTTGATGGCATTGGCACATTCTTCTGCAGTCATGGTGCCCAGAACAAAGTTGATCCGTGCTGTCTCGGTGTACACAGGCAAGTCAAATGTCGCAGGCCTCCCTGGTTGTGGGCAGTCGGGTTCATGTGGGCCTGGTACTGGTAGGTCATCCTGACTTTGATCGAGGTACGCCAGCAGCTGACCAGACGTGGACCTA